CTCATAATTTATGGTCCTCGTAATATTGTAGGTTATACTGAACTTGCTATCAAAGTTGAACACTTATTCCTAGTATTTAATACCTTACAAGACTTAATTGAAAACCTGTTGGAGTAGCCAGAGAGAGAGAGAGAGAGAGAGAGGGAGGGAGGGAGGGAGTGGGAGAGAGCGGGAGGGAGGGAGTGGGAGAGAGAGGGGGAGGGGGGGGGGGACAAAAGGAGCCACAGTTTTGTAGCACCCTCTAAACACGAGAGGCACTACTGACACACTCCTGTCTCTCTTCAAGTGCCAACTGATAAACAATTTCAAGTGACGATCTTAATTTCTTTCCTTATTATGCATACCATACTCATGCGGTGGGCGGTGGTGGCAGGGTTACAGAGGCACATAATGGGTTCAGGAACACATCCCCAGAGTTCGTCTAAGCAGGTGACACTATTGAGCTTGTTACACAGTTGTCTATGTTATATATACATGTACATTATATATATATATATATATATATATATATATATATATATATATATATATATATATATATATATATATATATATATATATATATATATATATATATATATATATATATATATAATATACACACAATCATTTACACAAATACATATACATATCGATAATATTTGTATATCCCAAGTGATTCAACAAGACTCACAAGAGTCAATATACTATAGTGACCAAGGGGACTATAAACAGTTCTCATGGTGAAGTGGTAAGTCACTCATCCGGCGTTTCCCGAGCGCTTTGTCCTGGGTTCGTATCCTGGCCGGGAAGTATTTACTGGGTGTCAATCCCTAACTGTAGTCTCTGTTTACCAACAAGTAAAAATGCGGACCTGGTCGTTAAAAGATTTGGCGGGTCGTATTCCAGGGAACATAGGATTAAGGACCTGCCCGAGGCGCTACGGGTGCTGGTGGCTCTACAAGAATGTAATAACTCTTGTATATATAAATAAAATAAATATATACACAAGGTACTTTACATCTATGGTGCGTCACACAGTTACTAGTCTTGCTCCACACCCACCCAACTGGGCGGCAGCTTTACAGTCACGTGCGCCACACTCACCCAACTGGTCGGCAGCTCTACAGTCACGTGCTCCACACCCACCCAACTGGTCGGCAGCTCTACAGTCACGTGCTGGTCGGCAGCTCTACAGTCACGTGCTCCACACCCACCCAACTGGGCGGCAGCTTTACAGTCAGTGCTCCACACCCACCCAACTGGGCGGCAGCTGTCACGTGCTCCACACCCACTGGGCGGCAGCTTTACACGTGGGCGGCAGCTTTATAGTCAGTGCTCCACACCCACCCAACTGGGCGGCAGCTTTACAGTCACGTGCTCCACACCCACCCAACTGGGCGGCAGCTTTACAGTCACGTGCGCCACACCCACCCAACTGGGCGGCAGCTCTACAGTCACGTGCTCCACACCCACCCAACTGGGCGGCAGCTCTACAGTCACGTGCTCCACACCCACCCAACTGGGCGGCAGCTCTACAGTCACGTACTCCACACCCACCCAACTGGGCGGCAGCTTTATAGTCACGTGCTCCACACCCACCCAACTGGGCAGCAGCTTTATAGTCACGTGCGCCACACCCACCCAACTGGGCGGCAGCTTTACAGTCACGTGCTCCACACCCACCCAACTGGGCGGCAGCTTTACAGTCACGTGCTCCACACCCACCCAACTGGGCGGCAGCTTTACAGTCACGTGCTCCACACCCACCCAACTGGGCGGCAGCTTTACAGTCACGTGCTGGCTGCACCTACATTTAACAAACGAGCTGTGGTTGCAACGCTCCAATGTCTCCTGCTGTGTAATAACAATTGCATCATTTGCCAGTTTCTTAGCTTATTTAGGGAATATTAATAAATGTAATTTGTAATATACTCGTATGTCGTCAGATACTCTTCCTTCTTTCATTTACAATTTTCTCACAATATGAACTCACAAGAGGGAAGGGAGGGAATTATCAGGAGGAATAGCTAAGCCATTACGACTATATAGCACTGGAACTCAAAAGAATTATCATAATTATTGTAAATGAATACACAAGGAAATAACAAAGTAATAACTATTAATGGAAAAGCTGCGGTACAATTAACTGATGTGTAAAAATAATTACAAGCAATAAGTGGAGTCTAGTGTATTTTAATGTTTTTATATATATATAAGATATTAAAGGAAAGATTAGGTAAAGATAAATATAAATGGGATTGACATAGTGGGGACTTAGTCTCAGAGTAGAGTAAACGTGGCACTGGAGGGATGGGTTGGTATAATGTATTCTCTTCCCATCTCATTTGTCCTTGTACTTCATACTGACCTCCTCAAATGGTAGTGTGATGGGGTGGAAGGAAGCAAAATTCACTTGAATGATATTTAAATAAAGCAAAAACAACCTTAGGCAAATTAAGAAGATTCGTAACTTTAGCACAAAGATACAGCTGCACTGTATGGGGGGGGGGGGGGAGGGCCTGGTGGATAGCACGCAGGACTCGTAATTCTGTGGCGCGGGTTTGATTCCCACACCAGGCAGAAACAAATGGGCAAAGTTTCTTTCACCCTGATTGCCCCTGTTACCTAGCAGTAAATAGGTACCTGGGAGTTGGTCAGCTGTCACGGGCTGCTTCCTGGGGAGTGTGTGTGGTGTGGAAAAAGAAAGTAGTTAGTAAACAGTTGATTGACAGTTGAGTGGCGGGCCGAAAGAGCAAAGCTCAACCCCCGCAAACACAACTAGGTGAATACACTTATACAAGGCTACATCTCGAATATCCTCCAGCACCACTACATATCTTGAAGAATACTAGCATACTAGGAGCCGGTGGCTGAGCAGACTAAACACTGGACGCGTGATCCTGTGGTCCCGGGTTCGATCCCGGGTGCCGGCGAGAAACGATGGGCAGAGTTTCTTTCACCCTGATGCCCCTGTTACCTAGCACTAAATAGGTACCTGGGAGTTAGTCAGCTGTCACGGGCTGCTTCCTGGGGGTGGAGGCCTGGTCGAGGACCGGGCCGCGGGGACACTAAAACCCCCGAAATCATCTCAAGATAATCTCAAGAAGATGCAAAAACCGCAGGCGTTAAGAAAACCAACAAAACACCTTATGACCAGACAAATCAGGAGCTCCATGAATCCCTGAACACAACATCTAGACCTTAGACTACAACAGTGAGCCACCAGGATGTGGAACTCTGTCGAAATATTAGAAGACCCATTGATAGAAAGTTAACTCCAAGATGAGACGCCGTTGAGACAGTGCTTCGGATTCGTAGTCTTGAGGTTCCGGGTTCGATCCCCAGTGGAAGCTGAGAAAAATGGGCAAAATGTTTATTTCACCCTGATGCCCCTGTTACCTAGCAGTAAATAGGTACCTGGGAGTTAGACAACTGCTATGGGCTGCTTCCTGGGGGTGGAGGCCTGGTTGAGGACTGGGCTGCAGGGACACTAAGCCCAAAAATTATCTCAAGATAACCTCAAGATGGTTCCTGCCCGCCATTGAGGAGCTGGAAGAACTTGACAACCTGTGACAACTAGCCTTGTAATTTGCATGTAACCAATGTTGTAACCATTTTTTGTGTAAGTAAGGTTTAAATAAAATAAAATTACAAAATACACACTATATAAAGGGTGGTAGAAGACAATATGTGAGAGTTGAATCCGTTCCTGGAGACAGCTTGAATTAATCCGTTCCTGACTAACCTGCAACTGCACTTCAAACTAAATTTTATACCTAATTCATCCAAATCTACACTACAAAAGTATGTTCAGGTTATTACTTGCCTTTGCTGATGACTCCTGTTGGCGTATGGAAGACTGTGAGGAGGGGGGAGGGGAAAGAAAAGAGGTGTTACTGTTTGGAAGGAGAGTCTCCTTCCATTATAACATCAGGCTGTGAAGATTTCTCTGGAGTACACTCTGGTACATTTTGCCTGCATACCACTAGGTCTTGGTTGTGGCTCACTGCTTGATTTTCTCACTTTTCTCACAAGGAAACGTTCCATTGAAGATTGTTTTTTCCCTTCTTTGCATCACTTGTCTGTAGTGACATCACATTGTCATTAAAAAGATCAATGCAACGGCCTACTACAGCTTTATCTGGGTGATTCTTTTCAGCAAAACTTTGCAGTCTTTCCCATACTACACACATTTTCTTAATTAATGAGGAAGGGACATTCTCTACTGCCGCCTCCTTCCTCCCCTGAAGATTTGTTGTACTGACTAACTAGTTCAACAACACGAGGACTATTTTCATGCTTCCGAATGATCTCTTGTTTTTCCTCAATTGTCATCCTCACATGCGATTTCTTGCCTTGAACCTTACCACTGGCTTTCTTGGGACCCATGGCGAGATATATAATAACAACTTTTATGCTCAAATGGGCAAAAATCCGACAAAAAGCTGTAAATTCTTGTAAAGAATTCAGGCGGGATAGTCACTGGGCGCGAGGCACTGGTAAACTGAGGCGCGACCGCCGTGCCACCACGCGCTAGGTCGGCCCGTACGCACTTTGACAAACTTGTAACCCGATGCAATGCTCATATCCCGATGCAATGCTCATATCCCGATGCAAATTTTCCAACCAAATCGGGCTCGTAACCTGAAAAACTCGTAAACAGGGACGCTCGTAACCCGGGGATCCACTGTATATATATTCCGAGGCTAAGGGTCCCCTTCTTCCAGCCAGAGGTGGTACTCCCTTCCCCTATTAAAATTTTATATATATATATAAATATTTTTTATTTATTTTATTTATGTTATAAATAAAATATTAGTACAGGTACTGTACTGTGTTCCATATACGGTGATATTGTACATAGTTTTATCCTCAAGTACAGTATTGAACACCTTATTGCTCTCAAGTACAATATTACTTGATAGTACCCAAATGGTATACAGTTACTATTTGCTTAAGAAGCTAAGCGTACAAATGCAGTATTGGATGTCTTGGGTAATGATATGTTTATGCTGCAGGTGACTGCAGTCCCGAACTGTGTGTGGATCAGAGACGGATTAATGGGCAGTCGGAGGGAGAACTATGCTGGACCATCGATGTTCCTGCACTCTTGCCAAGAAGTAATTGGATTCCTTACTTTTATAGTCATTATACACCATTTTTTGTTGTTTTTCAATTGTAATATAAGTTTCTCTAGTTGAAAATATGCATCTATTGTCATGAATATCATTGATAGTCCATCGTAGAAATAAGTTGTTTGGTGAATTTTCACTTACGTTAATTCTTGCATTGTTACAGATGTAGGGAATATAGTAATCTGTTACCACAGTGGAGAAGAGAGCAGTAATGCATGTTTGGGGTCATCTGCGGTGCTACGTGTTGTAAGATTAAGTGATGGGTCTGCCTCTGACTCGTCAGAAGATGAGACCCTTCATCCATCATTGACCCTGCAGCGCTCTCTCTCCTGCATAAAGTTTATCCATTTCACACTTTCAAGTGAGTTTGAACCATTTTTCTTTTTAAATTTGTTCCTAAATTACAAACCTAGGAAATGAAGTACAGTAATAGGGATGATATAATTTTTCATACAGTACAGTATACTGTTTTTCATCTCTCACCATGTCTCCTTTTATTAAGATTAAATTTTGGCTGCCGATTCAATTTACTTTGCTGTTTAGGAATGTCTGCTTATTTTATATATGATGATCCCACATTGTCCACCACTATGTGATGTACATAGCCCCTTATTCCCTGTAATGAAGGGTAGCATAACTGGCCTGGTAACCCATCTTCCTCACCTTCTCCCTACAAGGGCCAGAATCAGCCTTGGATATAGGGTTTGTGCTTCATTCAACCCCAGAAAACAAAGAGGAATATGACAAATGTGAAGGAATAAGTAAACAAATGAGGATGGAAGTAGTGTAAATTTTTAAGGAATGAATGTGCGATGTTTTTGGTTTATGTAACACAAAACTTAGAAATGAGAATGAAGAGTGAAATGGGGCTAGGATTTTAAGAAAAGAATAGGAGTGGAAGAAGATTCTAGTAGTAGGGAGGGAGTAACCCTTTTAATGATTGAAGACTCTTATGGGGCATTGAATGACTTTTCATGGTGCAGTTCAAGTTGCATTTATTTGAAATACAAATATGAAATGGTTAAGATGGCTGGTGATGGCGTATGATCTCTGTGATGGCCAAAATGAGAAAAAAAAACAGCGTTGAATGTAATGAATCACCATTTTCTGGGTGAGACCCGGAGGCTCCCCGGAGCTATACCGGGCTGATGTGTATATATTAGACCGTGGCAACAGTCAGTTGAAGGAGTTCTAGGCCTAAAGGAGCAATGGCCTAAAGACACCCCTGTGTAACTGGAAGCAGTCTTTGTCTGCCATCTACCAGGTCAGGCACCCAGAAAGGTAGGAATTCCAAAACAAACTACTGTTGATTTAATAATTGCAAACCAAAAGCCGAACTAGCAACAGAACTCCCAAATCAAAACCAAGAAAACCAGTAATGTCGTCACCGCAAATGCTGCGTATCTGTCTGCGCAACCCCCCTCCCCGGGAGGGGGATGGAGGGGTCCCAGACCTCTGTGCCGGCAACTCTCCCTAGTTCAGAGGCTGAGTATCAAAAACGCGAAAAAAATGCCGACCGGAGGGAGGGAGGGAGGGATGCCGGAGAGCCTCCAGGTCTCACTCAGAAAATGACTTTTCATTACATTCAACACTGGTTTTCTGTAGAGCCCCCCTTTGGCTCCCCGGAGCTACCTAACCAAAGAAAAAGAAAAGGAGGACTTATCCGGGAGGCGGTCGTCACTTACTCCTCAACTCGAAGTCGAGACAACTGGCTGCAACCTGCGACCCAAGGCTACACACGCCCAAGAAGGTCCAGGAACATTAACAAGATACCGTGCGGCCAGGACCCTGTTCGACCTCCAAAAGCCCCGTGTCCAAATGTCAGCCCAAGACATATTCCCCAAAACAGCAGCCAAAGCTGCGAACTTACAAAAGTCATGGGCACAAGGATAGACCACAGGCTGGCTGGACCGAATAATCCTGCGGACGACCTGGGAGACCCGCTCCCAGGAACAGGGAAGAAGGGAAACCGCGTCCACCCAAAGCGCGTCCCCTGCCACGGAGGCCATGGCGCACAGATAACGGCGAAGAGCTGCAACCGGACACAAAACATGATGCACCCTCGGCCGAACCAACCAAACATCAACAACCCAAGGACCCCTTCGGAAAGCAGCAGACTCATTCTTCGCTAGAAAAGGAGAAGGCTGCAAATGAGCGAAACGACCACCAGGACTGAAAGAGCAGAAACCTCGTCGCCGGAGGAGAGCATGAAGCTCCCCGAGCCGACCCTCAGAGGCCGATGCCATCAAGAAGAGAGCCTAAGAAAAACAATCCTGAACCGAGGGGGCCACCACAAACCGAGGAGAAGAGAGAGAAGAGAGCACCCGGTCCAATGACTAGGATAGCTCAGGCGGCGCATGAGCAGGCCGGAAGGTGAAAAACGGCCGAGAAAGCTTGTGGAATGGAGCAGAAATGACAGCCACCCCGAATGCAAGCTGCAGCAGCTCCATCAGCGCCACACGATATGAGGCGACATTATTTGGCATAAAATGACGGTCCTGAAACAACCAAGAGAGAAAGGAAAAAACAACCCGATCAGAAATCGAAGACAAACTACGTAGAGACAAAAAATGCCGAAAAGACCGCCAGGAAATTTCATACTGCCATCTAGACGAAACTCGCAGGTGGGACACCATCAAAGAAGCCACCTGATCGCCATACAAGTGCAGATAAACCCGCATCAAAAAGACCAGACACGAAGAGTGGAGAAGATCGAACCAGCCATGTACCGGACCGGACCGATCTGCTGAAAGAGGGGGAGCCCCAGGAAGACCCTTGGGTTAGGACATCAAGCAAGAAGCTCCTGAAACCAGGGCTGGGCCGGCCACCAAGGAGCCAACAAGACTACTCTCCCCTGGTAAGTCTCCAACCAAGCCAGGAACCGGAGCAACAACTGGACCGGTGGGAAGAGGTATAGATAACTCCACCTCGACCAGTCCAGCCAAAAGGCATCGACCTCGACGGCTTCACAGTTTGGGAAGGGCACCACACAAACTGGAAGATGCCTCGAAAGCAGCCCCTAGAAAGCAGCCTGTAGCAGCTGTCTAACTCCCAGGTACCTATTTACTGCTAGGTGCACAGAGCATCAGGGGGAAAGAAACTCTGGCCATTTGTTTCTGCCTCCGCCGGGGATCGAACCCAGAACCTTAGTACTACAAGATCCGAGCGCTATCCACTCGGCCGTCAGGCCCCAACCTGGTTTCACTTGTTCCACACTATTATGTGGCAATTGTCTGTTGAATTCTATTTGTTGTACTGTACATTGCTACATTATAGGGTAATGTAGGGGCCCGGTAATACAGTCAGGTTCATTCTCGACACACACGTGAGAATTCCGGGTTCAAATCCCTGGCGGGACAGAAATGGTTGGGCACATTTCCTATCACCTAATGCTTCTGTTCATCTAGCAGTAAGTAGATATTCAGGAGTAGTCAGCTTGTTGTGGGATTGCATCCTGGGCGGTGTCAGTAATTTGACTTGGTGGGGGGACCTCGATATGAGCCTAATGTGTATGAATACACACAAGCTGCCTGTCTTCTGACACTGAATTATTATTATTATTATTATTATTATTATTATTATTATTATTTTTTATTATGTTTATTATTATTATTATTATTATTATTATTGTTTATTTTGGCAAGGGCATTTTGAACTGTATGACAATTGTATAGTTCTTAACATCATTCATTAACATGTTCATATGACTAAATTTGGGAAGATTTTTTATACATTGAACATAACTGGCACTAGAACCTAGTTTATTGCTGAGTAGCTCTATTTCTTTGGTACATAGGCATGAAGAAGCTATGTAAGAACATAAAAACATAAGAATGAAGGTAACTGCAGAAGGCCTATTGGCCCATACGAGGCAGCTCCTATTTATATTCACCCAATCTCATTCATATAATATGTCTAACCCATGCTTGAAACAATCAAGGAATCCTACTTCTATTATGTTACGCGGTAATTGGTTCCGCAAATTGACAATCCTGTTATTGAACCAATATTTACCTAGGTCTTTCCTATATCTAAACTTATCCAATTTATACCCATTGTTTCGAATTTTGTTATGTGTTGATACTTTTAATACCCTATTAATATCCCCTTTGTTATGCCCATATGTATACATCAATCATGTCACCCCTAATTCTTTGTCTTAAAATGGAATATAGATTTAACTTTGTAAAACTCTTTTCATATAAAAGGTTTCTAGTTTGTAGTATTAACTTTGTCATCTTATGCTGAACGCGTTCTAGTGAATTTATATCCATTCTATAGTATAGCGACTAAAACAGGACTGCATAATCTAAATGGAGCAAGGTATAGCTGAAGAATAACACCAGGTGTTTTATTACTAACGCTTCGAGAAATAAATCCCAATGTCCTATTTACCTTGCTTCGAAAACCCATGCATTAATTTCCCGGCTTTAAATGATTGGGCACCATGTACCCAATGTAAGATGTACCCTTGCATTTTACCAGTCCAGCTGCTTATTCCAATCTGAGATACAAAAGCTAGGTGTCCCACAGTATGGGCATGCTACATTCTGTTTGGCTGGTTCAGGATATTGCAAAATGCCTGGGGATGCCTGCCCTGATTGCCTGTAATAAAAGCATATTTAGTTATGATTATATTTCTGTCAGATATTTCTGCTCATGGACTGCGGAGAGGTATATTTTTCCAACCCGACCCTTATGTGAAGCTACGTATACTTCCTGGTGAATCCCAGACACTGTTACCTCATCATGGGCAGGAATCCCGATCCTCTGTGGTGGAGAACACCATAAATCCATCTTGGAAAAGACAGGTTTGTCATTATTAAAATTTGTTATATTCCTTTCATAGATAATATTGTAATTGAGTTTCATATTTGCTTAACCATAGTCTCTCAGAATATTTTTCTGTAGAGTAATGTGTTGAACAAATTTAGATTTTCAATTATTTTTCATTCTAAATATATCGGTGTATTATTTTTTCTTGCACATCATTATTGACGAGGCCAAATCTTTTTTCCTTGCCATAGTCTTTGTACACTTTCTTGAGATGAACTGTTCCATGCAATAAATAAATGTTTGTTGGATTTTGAGAATAAATTCACAGTTATACAATGTATCAAATACGTATGTAGTTATAGTAATGTAGTACTTGGGATACTGTTGGATTCTTTTAATGTAGGAAATTTGGCATTTATTTTTTTTACATATATGAAATTTGAATTTGAATAATTGCTTTGAATAACTGTGTGTAGCTGTTCTGTACTTGCTTTTTGTTGGATATAGAGTAAAGGAGCTGTTAGAGTAAATAATACAGTATAGATAATAGATGTGCAATTAGATTAATGAATCTTTCACAATAAATACAGTTGGACATCAAAAATTAAAAATTACTATTCCAAAGGGGGATTTAAAATGATTAAATTAAAAAAAAGCATTAAAAAAAATTCATGAATCTAAACTTAGGGTTTGTTGTTTACACAATGGGTTGTGATAAGTTTTGTGGAGTGATGAGTGGGAGCATATTACTCACACTATAAAATGTTGAGTATATAACAAAAAATTCTCATTACTTTACCTAACATTCATTCTCCCTTTAGAATAACTGTTTTGTTTTGCTTTGTAAAGTAAAAATACGTATACATAAACATATACGGCATACATAGACGCAATAAAGTACCTAAATTATTGGGATCATCTCAAAGCTCTCTAAATGTACTGTACTCACTAGAAAGGAGAAAGAGAGATATCAAATAATATACATGTGGAAAATACTGGAGGGCCAGGTCCCAAATCTATACAGTGAAATAACAACATACTGGAGTGAACGATATGGAAGAAAATGCAAAATTGAACCAGTGAAGAGCAGGGGTGCCATAGGAACAATCAGAGAACACTGTATAAACATCAGAGGTCCACGGGTTGTTCAACATCCTCCCAATGAGTATAAGTACAGTGTATAAGAAAACTAGATAGTGTTCTTCAAGAAGTGCCGGACCAACTGGACTGTGGTAGATATGTGGGCCTGCGGGCTGCTCCAAGCATCGGCCTGGTGGATTAAACTCTCACAAGTCAAGCCTGGCCTCGGGCCGGGCTTGGGTAGTAGAACAACTCCAAGAACTCCATCAAGCAGGTATCAACCAGATATGTGTTTTAACAATTAATTCTTAATGAAGTATATTGTCTATATTTTCATATATAGTACAGTACAGAGGCTGTACTATGTATTGTTTAACAAATAAGTTACATCAAATAACTAAACATATTTGATAAAGGCTGTACAGGAACTGTATTGGTAAAGTACCAAGACATTGTACTACAGTGTGTGTTATATTAACACCTGGGTTAACAATGTGTACAATATAAAGAATGAGAAAGTACAGTGGATACCTGCTTAAATGGCTTGGTTAGCTCTGGACGCTCCTGTTGCATCTCATTTTTGCCATTGTTTTTGCTGTTATTTAATAGTGCAAATCATAAAATATGTATTTATGCATTTATTTATTTTGATACCAAAATAACATTAAAAATATACACTATTACACATTTTTATTGCTAGTTATTATTATTAAGTTTAGGCTTCTAATCTGGGTTAACCAAAGCCATTGCATCAGACACTTAACCATATTGGAATTCTTGTGTTGCATTTGGCTTTCAATTGGGTAAGGTTTTATTGGAGTAGGAATCTACAATTACCAAAAATCTACCATGGGCTGGCCTCTGATTGTTTTAAGTTTTTGATGTTTGACTATCAAAAAAGTACATTTTATTGCAGTGATGTACAGTAATGTGTAACCTGTAAAATCTCGACTACAGTGTATCTTTTTTTGGAGCTGATCTGGATTTCTGAATATTTTGAGTTTTTTTTATTTTTTGTTACCTATGATTACATTTTGTGTCATATATTAGATGGTAGATATGATGAATCAAATGTCCATATATCAAATGAGAGATAAATAAGCACAAATGTTCTTTGTGCTTATTTAAACACAAGTACTGTAATATATTAGCAATGACTTTCCCATTTAATAAAAATTGATATATGATAAACACTGCAATTTCTGGGGGGGAGCCCCTGCGGTTCCCCGGAGCTATCCAGGCTGATATGGTAATGTCAGATTTTGGCATCAGTCATGTGTATGGAGTTCTGTGGGGTCTACCGGGGACCACGAGCCAGAACCTGGCCCCCTCAGAGAGGCATGGAGAGCAATGGCCTATAGAAATCCCTGTGTGGTTGGAAGCGTTCTATGTCTGCCATCAACCGGGTCAGGCACCCAGAAAGTTTCCCCTCGCTTTGTGCGAGTTTGAGGGGTTGCTCTGTTCCCTTGTCTCAGGGTGACTCTCACTGTTTCTGTGGAGAGCCCTTTTGGCTCCCCGGAGCTATACAGGGCTGATGTGTATATATTAGACCATGGCAACAGTCAATCGAAGAACTTCTAAGCCTACCTGGGACCAGAGCCAGAACCTGGCCCCCTCAAGAGAGGCATGAGGAGTAATGGGGGTTCCTGGGCCTGGTCGGGCATGCCTAACTGCCAGCCTTGGGTTGGCAGTTAGTTTTGTCTCCGCTTCGCGTTTGGGAGTATGCGACTTCCGCCTCCCAGGTTAGGTCCCTCTTGTTTTCCTCTGTGGGTAGTTAGCTCCGGGGAGCCGACGGGGCTCCCCCCAGACAACCAGTGTTGAATGTAATGAAATGCCATTTTCTGGATGAGACCCAGAGGCTCCTCGGCATCCCTCCCTTCCCCCTGGTTGGCGTTTTTTTTGCGTGTTTTGATGTCCAACCTCAGAACTGAAGAGTGGGTGGCCGGCGTGGGGATCTGAGGCTTCCCCCTTTTCCCTCCAGTGGAGGGAAGAGCTGCGCAGACAGAGGCACGGCAACGTGTAACGTCATGCTCGTTTGCGCGTTTCTTTTTGAGGAGTTCTATCCACTTGTTCGACTTTTTGTAGCAATTTTCACCAGAATAAGGGTTTGTTTTGGGACGCTTACCTTTCTGGGTGCCTGACCCAGTCGATGGCAGACATAGAATGCTTCCAACCACACGGGGGTTTCTATAGGCCATTGCACCCCCATGCCTCTCTGAGGGGACCAGGTTCTGGCTCGTGGTCCCCGGTAGGCCCACAGAACTTCATACGCAAGACTGATACCGAAATCTGACATTAGCATATCAGCCTGAATAGCTCCGGGGAGCGTCCGGTCTCACCCAGAAAATGGCGTTTCATTACATTCAACTCTGGTTTTTTACTTAATGAATCATCAGTCTTGCAGTAAATAATGGTACAGTAGAGTACAGTTTATTTGTAAACTATATGGTCAAATTCATTAAAATTTATAGCCATGAGAATTTTTCTTTTAATCTTTGCTATCAGAATTATCTTTCCTGGTTCTATTAATTACCTGTACGTTAAAAAGTGTCCACGTTTTTACACCAAACTTGTCAACAAACATCTTTACTCCCAAGAGATCTCTATACACGTCTCTATAATAATTAAACATCTTGGTATGTGTTTTGATACTTTTCTTCTACATCCTGCTTGGTTTTGCCAGATCACTCTTGCTGGCAGACTTTTTTTTCCTCACAAATAAATAGATATCAAAAGCAAAAAGCATAAAAAAGTGCTTGAGTAAACACAGGCAGCACAGTCAACAAGATCACATAGTGTAGAGATGTCCATCTCAGTCTTCTTCCTGACCACTTACCAGCCTTGATAATTTTTTAGCAACGGTTTAGTAGTTTTGTCAGTCATAATACTGCTTCTTATCTATTCAAATATTATATAGAGTCTATTAAACTTTCAATGCAAATGCTAATGAATCTGGGCCTAAATCCAAATTCCAGAAGGCGATCTAATAGGAAAATTTGTCCATTATTTGAATGTGTTCATTATAAAGAAGTTCAGGATTTGGAGGTTACACTATATATATATAATTCTCTTTCATTTTTTCAACAGTAAACAGTTTTCACGGTCTTGCAGGAATTCACCTTTGTTGCATATTTACATGATGTATTGGAAGTTGAATTAAAGGACAAGTTTGCTAAAAGTCGGCCTATCATCAGTCGTTTTCTTGGTCGACTTACCATCCAGGTAGCTACACTCAAAGAACGTGTTAAAAGGTAAAATATTTTTTGAACTTGTAAGAGTTAAAGGCAGAAAAGATATTTTCAAATAAAATTTGCTCCTCGAAAAATTAATATTTCTGTGGGGAGCCCCGCTGCTCCTTGAAGCTATCTTACTGATCAAGTGCCATACTACTCGAGTGTCATCAGTCAGAGTTCTTGTATTGCCTACCGGGGACCACGAGCCAGAACCTCGCCCCCCTCAGAAAGGCGCAGGGAGCAATGGCTCATGAACATTTTACATTTAAGTATCATCTTGCCATTGGTCAGAGAAGGCACCCAAAAAGATAGGCAAATCAAAACAGACTACTGCCTGATTTAAAGATGTGACCTATGACCTCAAAATACCAAAAGAACCCCCTCCCCCCCACCTAAAAAAAAAAAATAAACAAGCAAGACTTCGTCCAGTTAACCACCTGCTGTTAGCAACTACCCCCCCCCCCCCCTCCCCAGGTGCTGCGTAGGTACTGCCCTTGCGTGGTCAGGGTTGATATGGGATGAGACATGAATCCCGAACATCCTTGGGTGTTCGGGATTCACTCTCTGTTAGAGAGCTTTCTCCGTAGTGGTGGTCTTCGACCTTGGGGTGGGTAAGGGGCTTTGGGCTTTGGTGTTGGGGATACCTATGACCCCAGAGTCTTGTGGAACTTGTACTTCGCTTGTACTCTAATTCACCATCCTCCTCATTAGATATTCTGCGGGATCAGGCAGCTGCAACATTGCAAAGACGTTTCTCTATGATGTAATGTGCCAGGTTGTGTGCACCCTTGGAAGCCCCGTAGCTTCCCAGCTTGAACTTTTGGGATTCAAATTTAGGGGCATTGGTCGCTTTGGCCTTGGTTCAGTCCACGACCCTAATTCCTTCGCGTGGTATGCCCTTTGCTTGAAAGGCTTTTTTTGCTCTTCTCTCTTTCCCTTGCTGCCAGCTCCCAAGCAGCTGAGGGTTTCAGAATTGGGGTGGTGTTAAGCTCGGGGCGAGGCTCGGGTGGCTTCAGGGGTTGCCCCTTCTGATACGGGCATGGAGGTGGTTGAGCTACTCCTTCCTCTCCCTGAGATTGAGCCTCGCTGAGGTTTCTTCTACAGGGTAGGGGTTTTCGCATTCCTTCCTTCCCTTTATGAGGTGGGGCTCTTCCACTCTGGTTCGTTTCCAGGTGTCTTTGGGTTCCCCAGATTCCTCTTTTCAGAGGTTTTCTTCCTCGCACTTTTCCTGCGGAGGTTCAGGAGGATTTTAGTGCTTACCTCCTGCAGGACCCAGTTTTACGCCTCAGTGATGGATTCAGCCTCCTTTGCATTCGTTTCTTCTTTCCCCTATTGGGTGCATTATGAGGCTCTGGAGTCTTCCTGGCTGACAGACTGTCCCTTCTTTTCTATTTGGGCTTGATATTGGTTTTGTTGCCCTGTATGCTTGAGTTGAGGGAGGTTGCCACAGTGTTGAAGGTGGGGGGGGGGGGGGGCCTGAGTTTCTCAATGAGTGCCTCTTCACTTTTGTGCTTCCACTTGATGTCGGTCTTTTTCAATTGCATGCTCAGGTCCCCTCTCTCTTTTCGCTGCTTTGGTGGCCGATGACCTTCAGACTCGTAATCACTTGGCTTCTGTCTTTTGTTGGGCTCACAGTACGGTGCGGGAGTGTGTGGCAGTGTGGCAGGTGCTGCGGGGGGTTCAAATTCCGCGGGGTTCGGTGATCTGGCTCCATTCGGACTGCTCTCCCATAGTTCATTATCTCAATCAGGAAGAGGGGGGTCTCTTCGGTCCTCTTTAAGGCTGGTTGCTTCAGGTAGCTCTTCTGCTGAGTTCTCGGGGTTTAGTTCTCTGCGGTGTTCATGTTCAGTGGGTGTCCAACATTCTGGCAGATAGTCTGTCTCACTTCATTCCCCTTTCCACGGCATGGACGGTTGATGCCGCTTTCTTCCTTTGGCCTTTGCTGGATGTATGGTTGCTTAGTGGTGGACCTCTTCTTGTCGGCATGGTTTCCGAGTCCTTCCTTTGTATGTGGCGCCGTTCGCCAATTACGAGGCCCTCGCGGTGCACTCTTTCGGCAGGACTGGTCGAGGTGGGGGTTCCTGTACCTTTTGTGCCCAGTCCAACTGTTGATTTGGGTTCTGGCTTGGCTGGAATCCTACAGGAAAAAAATTGTTCTCTGGGGCTAATGGTGGCCCCGCCAGCCTTGGTTTTAGATGCTGCTTGCTTGATATCCGAACCTGGGCATTTTTCCGCAGCTCCGCCATTTTCAGCAGGACAGACGGGTGAGGTACCTCGCTAGTTTGACCTCTTGTGTCATATGTGTCTGGTCTTTGACACATGTGTATAGCTCCATTTGTATGGTGATCAGGTTGCTGGTTTGATGGTGTCCCACCTACAGTCTTCTTCTCCTCAGAGACAGTATGAGGTTTCTCTGCTGGCTTTCTACCATTTTCTGTCTCCATTTTGTTTCATAGGTGTCCGACAGGGTTGTGTTGTGCTTTCTCTCCTGACTTTTTCTGGATCTGCATCTCCTGCCGAATACTGTCGCTTCTTATTGTGCGGCATTGGCCGAACCACTTCAGCTTGCGTTCGGGGTGGATTTTACTTCTGCCCCGATCCTCAAGCTTTCTCATGTGTTTTTTCACCTCTGGCCTGCTCATGTGCTGCCTGAGCCTGCTTGGTCTTTGGACCAGGTTCTTTTCTTTCTTTCTTCACTTTGGTTTGTGGTGGCCTCTTTGGTTCAAGTTTGTTTCTGGAAAGCTTGGTTTTTGTTGGCTATGGCCTCTGGGGGTCCGGTTGGTGAGCTTCATGCTCTTCTTCGGGGCTAAGGGTTTCTATAGTCATGGTGGTCGTTTTGTTCACTTGAAGCCGGCTCCGTCTTTTCTGGAGAAGATTGAGATGGCGGGCTTCTGGAGGGTCCTTTGGTTGTGGATGTTTGACTGGTTCGGCCAGGAATGCATCGTGTGTTGTGTCCAGTAGCCGCTTTACGCAGCTACCTGAGAGCTACCGGTTCTGTATCAGTGGCTGCACTATTGATGGATCCGGTTTCCCTGGTACCCTGTTCCAGGGTTCATGTGTTGCAGGTCATCCACAGTATCCTTAAGTCTAGCCAGCCTGTGGTCTTCTTTCGTACCCATGATGTGAGGAAATATGCTACTTTTTTCAGCTGTGTTTGGGAATATGTTTTGGGACGTTATTCAGGAATGGGGAGTTCTGGAGTTCTAACAGGATCTTGGCTGCCAGGTATCTGGTAAATGTCCCTGACCCTTTGCCGCCTTCTGTTGCTTTGGGATGTCTGTCATGGCTGAATGTGTTTTGCTGGGATTGATGCCTGCAATGCTGCTGCCTCCCTGGTAAATCCTTGTTTTTGCTTCTCTGTGGGAAGTTAGCTTAGGTTAGGTCCCTTCCCCCTGAGAGGGGTGGCACTAACAAGTGGGGGGGGGGAATTTGTTGGACAAAGTTTTGCTTGTTTGTTTTCTTTGTAGGGGAGTTCTTTTGATATTTTGAGGGCATAGGTTGCACTTTTCAACCAGGCAGTACAGGAATCTGTTTTGATTCGCTTCCCTGATTGATGGCAAGATGACATACCGGTACTTTCAATGTAAAGTGTTCATAGGCCATTGCTCCCTGCGCCTCTCTGAGGGGGGCCAGGTTCTGGCTCTGGCCCCTGGTAGGCAACAAGAACTCTGTGACTAATGACACTAAAGCAGTATGGCACTATATCAGTGGGATAGCTTCAGGAAGCCTCCGAAGCTCACCAAGAAACTGACGTTTCATTACATTCAACACTAGCTTTTTAGTTTTTTAAATGTTACAGGATTTACGGGTTGCTACTGGAGTTATTAGCTATTTAATCTTACATGTAGACTTTCATTATTTTCTGAAATGGAAAAAAATTTCATTAAATACTCTTGATGTGAATTGTGTTTATGGACTTTTTCTGAAGAAAACAGATATTGCATGGTGACAATTATTTTTTTAATTTTTTAATATTTTAGTAGATGCTGCTGCAAGTTTCCAACTGTTAGAGCATGCTTGGAAACTGATATTACATTCATGATTTTTATAGGTTGAGTTAATGGCTAACCAAGTAGTCTGTTAGTCATAAAAAAATGTCATAAAAAATGTCATAAAAAATCTTGAATTGAGTGTACTGTAAATGAAAAATACTTTTGAGTAATACACCTCAATTACTCCTTAAGGCAAAATCCTACTAGTCTTGTGTTAGTATCTCTCGTGGTCAAGAGCACTCTTGCGACATCAACTTCTTTAAGCTATCCTCTTTTGTGTTATACTGGCACTAGGGAGACAGTGACAAATTTTAAACGAGGCCAGCATGTAGACAGAAAAAAGACTCGCTTAAATTCAAAAGCCTTTCTAGGTGCAACTTGGCAACACAAAAATTGCCAGCCTGCTCTCTGACTAACTACCTAGAAATACACTAGGTCACGACCACCAAATACCATCAAGTGGTAGAACTGACACCACAACAAAACCCTCCAGACCAGGCTCAACACATTCCACCTGAATCCCAGTCTAAAAGAGAACCTCAAATCACAAGGAAGGTAAGGTTGGAAGTGTAGGAATGGGGGCAACCAAATGTACTACTCGTAACATTTGTGAAAAAAAATTATAAGCCCACTTAAAGGCCCCAATACTGTAGCCCCAATTGCCCCATACAAGCCAAAACGGACAGGGGTATGCTCCATTGGAAAGATACATATTTGAAAGCATACCAAACAGACACCAGTTCTTGATCATTGAGAAGTGATTGCAATAACTATGAAAATCAAGTTCAAGCCCATGAGTGAGGCATTGGGAAAAAAGATTGAGGCAAGAAACCAAAGACTTCCAGGGGCCCTCCATTCAGACATAACCCAAAGAATAACTCATCTTGCAGCCGAAAATGAGTCGAACCAGGAGGCTCTTTGAGTCTCCAATGCAAGAGGTGGACCTTCCTTAAACCAAGGTAACAGTTTAAAAGGAAGGGAAAGAAAATTGCCCTGGTAACCCATATCAGTTCTTAGAAGTGGTACAAGGGCTAGGAGCTTGGATAACAGCCCACTAATTCATGATATTAGATTAGCAGATAGGAATGTAGACTTGGATCCCAAAGAGCCAGCCGCTGAGATTAAGGTGCTTACCTTTCTGGGTGCCTGACCCGGTCGATGGCAGACATAGAATGCTTCCACCAAACACAGGAGTTTCTATAGGCTATTGCTCCTCGTGCCTCTCTGAGGGGGCCAGGTTCTGGCTAGTGGTCCCCGGTAGGCCTAGAACTCCATGCACATTGACTGATTCCAGGGTCTAATACATTCATATCAGCCCGGTTAGTCTCCAGGTCTCGCCCAGAAAATGGTGTTTCATTACAGTCAACGCTGGTGTTTGCTGTTTGGTATTTACCCTGCCCTTGGGGGCCAGCTGGGGTTTCGTTGCCTTTGTTTGTCCTTAGGTAAGGAGTGGTTTTGTGCTGGTTAGGGCGTCGAGATGTGCAGCCTGCCTACCTATGCAGCGGCCAGCTCCTGTTTCCTCTGGGGACGTTGTACTTTTCAGGGGTTTTCCTTTTGTTCTTGTTTTTCTTGCTTGGTGGGGGTCTGCCTGGTGTGGCTATCATTCCACTTATAACATTTTGGTGGCCCTCTGCTAGGCCCCCGTGATTGTATATGTCACTGGGGTTTCAGTGTTTTAATCTCCCACCTTCTTAGTTTTGGTTTTAACCAGTTAGCAATACTTTGCCTAGGCTTAGTTTCTTACCCGGATGCCCTGTAGCTGCTCCACTTTGGTTATAGGGACCTGGACCTGGGGGTGTTAGTTGCTTCGACTTTGGTTCAGTCCGCGCTCTCTGATTTTCCCCCTGTTGTTCACCTTGCTTTCCCCTCCCTGCTTCAAGCTCTCAATCGTCTGAGGGTTTAGGAGTCAGGGCAGGGTTTAGTAGGTAATGAGACTCGGGCAGCTTCCGGGGCTGCTCCATTTGGGTTGATGACGGAATCATTCGAGCCAGTTCCTCCTACCGAGGCTTCTGGGTCCCACCAGCCGGCTCCCTCCTTTTCAATCTTATCCCTGGACTCTGCCTCCTCATCAGGGGTAGAGGGTATGGAGGACTGCTCTGCCTCGTGTTTTGACATGGGGGATCCCGGTCTCCTTGATCTAGGGAGAAGTCGACCTGAGGCCATGGGCCCCCTTTGACACGCTTGGGGTGTTGGTGCCCTCTTTGCAGGGGTTGTTGTTGCAGGGGTAAGGGGTTTCCTTACCCCCTTTCCTGTTTGAACGTTATTTGGGGTCGGCTCCTACCCAGGTTCGGTTCTGGGCTCCCTTGGGTTCTTTGGCTGCATCTTTCCAGAGGTTTTCTGCCTCTCATATCTCCCCTAGGGAGGTTTGGGAGGCTCTTGCTGCATACCTCCTGTGAGACCCAGCTTCTGCCTCCATAAGGAATCTGTAATTGTTCAGTTCTTTTTTCCCGTATTGGTGCATTTGGAGGTTCCGGAGTTTTCCTGGCTGGCAGACTGCCCATTCTTTTCGTTGGGGGCTTGGCATAGGTTCTGTCGGAACTGCACGCTTGAGTGGCGAGAAACTTCTACTGTTCTGCAGGTTTACCTGGGGGCAAGTTTGAGCACCTTAATGGTTGCTTGTTCACCCCTGTGCTTTCTCGGGATGTTGGCAATGTGCAACTGCACATGCAGCTTCCTACCCTTTTGGCATCCTTTGCATGTCCGTGGGCATTTGGCTTTGGTCTTATGTTTATTTTCCCTTCTCAAGCTGTCTTTGGCCTGGCTTGAGGAGGATGTGCAGGAGATGAGTGCCGGGCCTTCATCTGGTGTGCTGTCCTTGGCGGCTCGGGCATCGGGGCATCGGCCGCACTAGTAAAGCTGTTTGTGCCTATCCTGAAGAAGGCGGTGTCTCTGTTTTTTGCTTCTCGCCTAGCGTGCGATCAGGCTGTGCTTGGTCTCTTTGGAACCGCTTAGGCCCTGGTTCTTAGGTTTTTATCACTGTTTTGTCCGTTGCTGTTTGGGGAGTCTGCTGATGCACAGTTTCTGCAGGCGGCTTCATCTAGTTGTCGTCCTATGTCAAACTTGTTGGTTCTCTGAAGGAGGCTGTTCTTGGTTTTCTCGGAATGGTCGTGCCAGGACTAGGGGTTGCGTTGGTCAAGGTGGGCCATTGGTGCCAGGTTTTGAGCTGACTTTGCTTTCGGAGCTGTCGTCATCTGGTCTGTGCAATGATCACCCTGTTCATCGACCGGCTTCTCATAACGGCCGACGGCCCTTTTGCAGTTCACTCCGTTGACGGGGCGATGGGGGGGAAGGCTCACTCTGTTTGTTTGCGTTTGGTTCCACAATTTGTGGGCGTTTTCGATCATGTCATCCAGCCTGTGGTGCTGTTGGGTGGCTCCTCCTTTGGGGGGTTTGGGGCTGACTAGGCAGGCTTCTTGCTCTGCGCTTTGTTAGGTCATCTCAGAGTGGGTGCGCTTGGGTGTGGTCGAAACGACCCCGTCCCTCAGGTAGGTTTCTCGCCTGTTTCCAGTTCCAAAATGGGACTGTGTGGATCTGCAGTTCATTCTGGACTTGTCCTGTCTGAACTGGATTTGTTGCCCCTCCTTTCGGATGACCACTCTCTCGGGTCTGGCTTCTGTTGGAGCCGAGTGCCTGGATGGTTGTCCCTGGATGTCAATGATGCGTATTGGCACGTATATTATTATCTATAGTATAGTATAATTATCACATCATCCAAGAACTGTCGGTTGGATTGCCAGCGCAAGGGGTCTGAGGCTCCCTTCCCCCTCCCAGGGAGGGGGTGTGAGGGGTTGCGTAGACAGCAGTGCGGCAACATGATGACATTAAGCTCGTTTGCTGATTTTCATTGGGGAGTTCTGTCCACTCGTTTGGCTTTCGGTAGCAATATTTTTACCAGAATAGGGGTTTGTTTTGGGGTGGCTGTCTTTCTGGGTGCCAGACCCATTCGATGGCAGACATAGAATGCTCCCAACCACACGGGGGATTTCTATAGGCCATTGCTCCTCGTGACTCTCCGAGAGAGCCAGGTTCTGGCTCGTGATCCCCAGTAGGCAAAAACTCCATGAACTTTGACTGATGCCAGAAAGCTAATAGTTACATATCAGCCTGGATATCTCCGGGAAGCCGATGGGGGATCCCCCAGAAAAGTTCCTTTCCTGCTCTTTCCTACTGTTAAGTTGCTGCAATTGTCTTTGTTAACATAGTTATCAGGTAAATAATAGCATGGGTCAATTTTAAAGCTTGACCTGATTAATACCATGACTTATTTTCTTTGGAGAAGTTAAGAAAAAGAATGTGGTAGTGTCACTCATGACATGCCTTTGCTTGTACATGTATTCTTGTTCTCTCAGTATTAATGAGTAGAAATATACTGCATATTAGCTATAGCTCCCCAAGTTCTTATTTTTTCTAATATTAATTTTTGTTTGTTTTCAGTGGATTATCAGGGATTATAGACTTTCCATTAAGTAGCAAGAATACAGCAGATTCAGTGTCTGGCCACGTGTACTTCACAGTAACGTTCGCTCTTCCATCAAATGCTGCAGGGATCTGCACAGGCCATGGTGGACTGGAGTGCCCTGGAGAGCAAGATGCAATGCAACTGAAGGCTAATACACTAATTGACACTTGTGGTGATGAAGAGTTAATTACTAATGGCCATTTAGGATATAGGAAACATATCATGAGGTCAAATAATAATGTTACAGTAAATAATGGAATTAGTACAAGTTTAGGGGATGAAGTTGTTTTAAATGGGGATGTGATACTTGATGAAGTGAGGGCCAACAGTGATGAACGGACAAATACCAGTAGTAGAGAGTCGGATTACTCTCCAATATGGAAGTATTCATGTAAAGTTCCTAATGTTACCAGTCAAATAAATCCAGGTGAGTCCAATGGTGGGGAAGAAGCCATATATGAAACTGTGTACCCAGCTGAAGACTATCAGAATCAGGATGGAGATCTTGCTGCTGTTGGTAGCGAAGTGAGTGGGGCATTGAACAGTGAGTCTAGTCAACCAGTAAGTGATGAGGATTCCCCGCCTCCTCTTCCACCAAGGACTAAATCCCTTCAGAAGTCTTTTGCAGATTCTGGTCATCGGCCATTAGAGCGCTCCATGGCAGTTCAGCTTGGTCTTCCCCCACCATTTCCCACAGTGGTTAAAAAGCGCCCAATGCCACTACCAACTACTGTAGGAAATGGACAGGCCAACACATTAGCTGGAACTGGTACACCTGGGAAAGTTTATAATGGTGTGAATGAACAGAGTGTTAGACCAAAGGCTACCCATCTTAGTGCCAGCTCTCAGTCTAGTGGTGATAGTGAAAGTAGTGGAGCAAGCTTTTGGGAGGGTAAAAGAATGCAGTATTCCATGGAAGGATCATTTTCCTATGACATTGTTGATTTGGATGATGCTTTACAAGTTTCTGAAACATTGCATAATCAAATTGATGTAGATAGTCAGTGCCAAGCTACAGAATCTTCAACTCAGGGACCTCATTCATCTTTGCAATCATCTTCTTGTGCTTCCATGGAAAGTGAACCTTCAGAGGATATAATTAGACCTTCCATGTTTCAAAATGCTCTGGATGAAGTTTCCACTACACTAGAAGGGAAATTTTCAATCGATGCTGCTGGTGCTTGTAGTACCGTGGCACCACTTGCAACACCAGAACAAGATTCAAGTCTTCTTCAGGAAACAACTTCCACAGACACACTATTAGAAAATTCTGATGAAACCTTGGAACCAGATTTCAATGTGAATTATAGTGAAGCATGCCTAACTAAATGTCCTGATAATGTCAACAGTGATAGTGAAAATGCTACCTATGATGCTAGTGTACCGTGTGTTGAAAGCTTTAAATCCCACAGACATTCTTTTCCAGAAATGGTAAATAACCAAAGTGATTCTGTATCTAGTCCAATTAATATAACAGGTGAATGTGATATGCTGTTCAGTACTCAAGAAAGGGAAAGCACAGCGCTGGAAAATATTATAAGTGATGCTACAAACCAGTTGAGTATAGCAGCAGAAAGTGTAAATAATTATGATGAACAAGGTGAAGAGTCTAGAATGGCTGCTAGTTGCCTTAGTCCTAAATCAGATACACTACATTCTGATGGCCTTGATCAGGAAGGCATAGCAATGCTTAGAGTTGCAAGAGAGGGATCAATCTCGGCTCGCTCGCCATCTCCAAGACTGAGCGATTCCCTCCAGGTATCTAGTTCTACCTCTGAATCTATGTCACCTATTAGTGGATCAGTGACTTGTTCTGTGTCTTCTCAAGCTGGTGAGGATGGCAGAAGAGGCTCTGAATCAACTTGCATGGTGATAAGTACTGAAAGTTCATCCTCCAATTCTGTCTTTGCAAGTCCTACTACAGAAACAAATGATTTGAATGTTGAATCATTAGCATCTGCTTCATTCCCTGTGGATCTGAACATTCCATCAGATTCTTCAAAGGAGTCCCATACTATAACTCAGGACTCCCAGGAACCTAGTGTAAGACCTCGAAAAGACCAAACTTGCCAGGGATTGATCACAAATGAAGATGAAGATATTCCACCTGCTGTTCCACCACATAAGCCACACCATCGTCTCTTGAAAGCTTTAGTTCACCCACCCCTTTGTCCTCCAACTCCAACACATCATGCCAAACCTCAGCCTCCAGAACGTACAACTAGTGATAAAAGAGAAAAAGAAGCAAGTAATATGGGAAAGGAAGATGGACGTGAGAGAGAGGAGAAACCTGGATCCTCTCATCATCCCAAATTATCCAGACAGCCATCTCTTCGTGATTGGCTTAGAAGATACCCAAAGGTGGAGGTAGCTTTTGATGAGCCTCTTCCTTCAAGTAAGTGACTATTAGTTTAAATCTACTGAAGCTTTTTCAGGCTATTTGAGAATTTTTGTAGTATTAGTAATATCAGTTAAATAAGAAGAGTATTATGAGTATTTCAGATTATGGGATATAGGCCTACTATACTGTACTCGAAGTATTGTACTGGTTCAAGATAAGTGCAACCACGAAAATCCAGACAGTGGTTCCGGACCCATTTCAAGTTTTGAAATTTTCTAAACCTTTTATTTTTTGTTTTTTTTACCGTTTTATTGAAAATTCCAAAATACTGTATATATTTTTACATGCTTGCAAGCTCACATGTAAGTAAAGATCTTTCAAGTGCAAAATTTGTAAATAATTTATTAATGTGATTTTGTTGTCTACTTACGTTTTGTAATGTTATTTATCTTTGTAAACTGATTAATCTAATTAATTTTTTCACAGATTCTTTCCCACCAGAACTTTTTTTCTCCTGTTTCATTTCAAAAAGTTCTCGTGCCAACACTGCTCCTCTATCAACTTTCTCACTCCCCAGCCTTGAGCACAAGTCAAGCCTGGCCTCGGACTGGGCTTGGGGAGTAAAAGAACTCCCAGAACCCCATCCGAGTACAATCCAGATGCAGTGGTACCTTCCTTTACGAATTTAATCTATTCCCAGAGACGGCTCGTAACCAGAAATGAATTTTCCGATAAGAAATAATGTAGATTGAATTAATCCGTTCCACACTCCCAAAAATGTTAACTTCAAAATAAATTTCATACGTAATGAACACAAATATTGTGTACTATAGTACGTACAAGTTATAGCTTAGCTTTATTGATGACTCTTGTTGATGTATGGAAGACAGTGAGGAAGAGAGGTGTTAGTGTTTGGAAGGTGAGTCCCCTCCCATTACAACATCAGGCAGTGATGACTTCTCTGGGGTACTCTCTCCAATGTTTTGCCTGCAACCCACTAGGACCTGGTTGTGGTTCATTGCTTGTTTGTGTCACTAAGAACCAATCCATAGAGACTTGTTTTTCCTCTATGGTCATCCTCACATGTGTTTTCATAGGTTGAACCTTATCACTGGCTTTCTTGGGACTTATGGCATGGTATATAATAATTACTTTTATGTTTAGAAACCAAAAAAAGCTGAAAAATAATGAAATTCTTTACAAAGAATTCAAGCGCAATCATCACTATGTGGGAGGTACTGTTAAACTGAGGTGCGGTCGCCTGTTCCACCAGGAACCATGCACTCGGTCAACTCATGTGAGAATCAACAAACTCACAACTCGAGGCAAAGCTCATAAACCGAATTGAATTTTATGCAGAAATTGTGCTCGTAACCCAAAAAATTTGTAAATAGGGGCATTCGTTAGCCGAGGTTCCACTGTACTTTTATACATCGGTTAATCATTTTTGTCCATGTTAAAATTCCTCTTCTTCCTACTTAGATAGACTTTTCTGGCTGGCAGACATCTTTTGTTATAAAAATTAATTATCAAAAGAAAAATGGATGAAAATCCTTCAGTAACACAGGTCAGATGTCCTTTGCATAGAAGAAGGATCATAGATGCATCCTATGGTGGTAGTACATGCTCATCCACAGAAAATCTGAAACGTTATTTGTATTGTACCATTTATACTTCTGTATATTGTTGCACATTCTTTGTGTAAACAATTATATTTCTGTGGAGAGCCCTGTCGGCTTCCCGGAGCTTTACCGGGCTGATGCGTATACTGTATATTAGACCGAGGCAACAGTCAATCGATGGAGTTCTAAACCTACCGGGGACCAGCACCAGATCCTGGCCTTCTCAAGAGAGGCATGAGGAGCAATGGCCTCTAGACACCCCCCATGTAATTGGAAGCAGTCTATGTCTTCCATCTACCAGGTCAGGTACCCAGAAAGGTAGGAATTTCAAAACAAACTACAGCTGGTTAAAAATTTGCAACCCGAAAGGCGAACTAGCACACAGAACTCCCTAAACAAAAACATCCCAGAACTTTAGGACTATGAATCCAAAGCGCTGTCCACTCAGCTGTCAGGCCCCTTGTGGCATGGCATGCGTTCTGTCAGACCCGCACGCTTGAGTGGCTGGAGTTGACTACGGTTGTTCAGGATTACATGGGGGGCGAGTTTGAACTCCTCAATGCATGCTTGTTCTCCCCCCTGTGCTTCTCTCTGATATTGGTCAGGTGCAGCTTCATATGCAGGTTCCCTCTTTTTCGGCGTCTCTGGTAGCCGAGGATGTGTGCGCCCAAGGCCATTTGGCTTCGGTCTTGCACTTCTTTTCCCTGCTAGAGCTGTATTTGGACTGGCTCGAGGAGGATGTGGAACTAGGCTCTGGGCCTGTTTCCAGTGCAGATTGTCTTGTCGGCTCGGGCGTTGGCTGCCTTGTTGAAGTTGTTTGCGCTGATTCTAAAGGAAGCAGTGTCTCTGTTCTTTGCTTCCCACCTCGCATGCCAGCAGGCGGTGCTCATTCACATTTTGGAATCAACTTGGGCCCTGGCTCTTAGATTTTCATCCCATTTTTGTCTATTTCTGTTTGCAGAGTCTGCGGTGGTGCATTTTCTGAAGGCGGCTTTGACTTGTTGCCGGCCTATGTTGGACTTGTTGATACTCTGGGGCTGGGGGGAAAGGGCCTGTGGTGGTCCTTCCCGGAAGGGTTATGCCAGGGCTCGAGGTTCCTCCGGTCGTCGAAAACCAGTTGTGTCAGATTCGAGGTCGGCCCCTCCTGCAGAGCCGTTGGCGCAGTGATCGCTCTGAGCATCGGTTGGGCACTCATAAGGGTCGTCATGTTTTTTGTTCTCAGTTCGCCCCGTTGACGGACCGATGGGATGGGGAGGCTCGAGCTGTTTGCTCTCGCCTGGTCCCATGATTCGTGGGCATTTTGGGTCATTTCCTTCTGCCTACGGTGGCGTTGGGTTGCTCTTCCTCCTCCTTCGGGGGGTTTGGGGGTTCGGGGGCATCTCTCAGGTGGGTTCCCGCCTGTTTCCAGTTCCGAAACGGGACTGTGCGGACCTGTGGTTCATTCTGGACTTGTTCCGTCTGAACCCCTTGGTCTTTTGCCCTTCCTTTTGGATGACCACTCTGTTCCAGGTTCGGCTGCTTTTGGAGCTGGGCGCTTAGATGGTGTCTCTGGACCTCCGGGGCACACATTGGCATGTCCCGCTTCATCCGAGGTTCAGGGACTGACTTGGTTTTGTCACGGGGCGACACGCTTACCGTTTTTGTTGCCTTCCTTTCGGCTTAAATCTGGCACCTCCGTGTTCACATGCCTTACTCGGGTCGTGGTGACCCATTTGTGTCTGTTAGGAGTTTGGGTTCTGGCTTACCTCGACGATTGGCTGGTCTGGGCTCCCAGCCAGTTCATGTGTGCTCGCCAGGGATTTGGTTCTCTCCCAGCTTGCCGGGTTTGAGTTCTTGGTGAACTACAGGAAGTCCCATTTGGTTCCCTCTCAGGTTTGGATTTGGCTGGGTCTTGTGTGGGATGCACAGACCACTTGCATGTCTTTCCCTCCCGTGGAGTTGCTGCGGCTGCAGTCTCACCTTCGGCTGTTTTTGTAGGGCACCCGGCTCACGTATCTGTTATTCGAGCAGCTATGCAGGAGTCTGAACTTTGCCATGCTGGTCTACCTGTTGGGTTGGATCTGGCTTCAAAGACTGTTCTGGTTCCTTTGGGGACTTTTCTGGTTCCCTTCCGCCTCTCTCACGATCGCTGCATTCAGACTCTGAAGGCCTTCCGGTGGCTGCTTCATCGCCAGCTTCCTCTTGTTTGTTTTTCGGGTTCTGTGCCATGGCACCTACCCAAACCCTTATCAATGTGTTCACAGATGTCTCGTCTCTTGGCTGGGGCTTTGTGACCAGTGCTCTCAATGCCGGTCAATGGGATCCGTCCTTCCGTCGAGCTCACAGCACAGCACTGGGTTTCATGTCGATGTGGCATTCTCTTCAGAGGGTTCGAGTCACTAGCGTATCGACGATCCAGCTCCATTTGGATTGCTCCCCTGTGGTTCATTGTCTGAACCGTGGGGGGTTCGATGCGGTCCTTGGCTCTTGGGGGCTGATCGCTTCGGGCGACTCGTCTGCTGAGTGCTCGGGGTTTGGCTCTCCTGGCAGTTCATTACCAGGGAGTGTCCAACGTACTGGTGGACGGCCTAGCCTGTTTCATTTCCCTGTCCACGGAATGGACAGTTGACGCTGACTTGTTCCATTGGCTCTGCTGGACGTTCGGGCGCCCAGATGAGGACTTCTGCACATCAGCTTAGTTGAGGCGTCTTCCGAGATATGTGTCGCCCTTTCCTGACTGTGAGGGCATTGGGGTCGGTGCCGTTCAACTGGACTGGTCAAGGCGGGGTTACCTGTCCCTCTTGCCACCGGTTCGATTGTTGCTCTAAGTCCAGGCTCTTTTGGAGACTTACCTTGGGAAGGTAGTCCTGTTGGCACCTTGGTGGCTGGCCCAGCTTGGGTTTCAGGCGCTCCTTGCTCGGTGTCCAAACCCCGAGGGTTTTCCCGCGGCTTCACCCCTTTCAGCAGATCGGTCCATTCCAGTTCTTGGCTGGTTTGATCTTTTCCTCCACTCTTTGCATCTGGTCTTTTTGATGCAGGTTTATCATCACTTGTATGGTGATCAGGTGGCTTCGTTCCAACCTGCGAGTCTCGTCTTGGCAGCAGTATGAAATTTCCTGGCAGTCCTTTCGGCATTTCTTGACTCTTCGTAGGTTTTCTATGATTTCTGATTGAGTTATTTTGTCCTTTCTCTCTTGGTTGTTTCAGGACCATTATCTTATGCCGAATACTGTCGCTTCATATCATGCGGCGCTGGCTGCTGCTGCTTGTGTTTGGGGTGAATGTCACTTCTGCTCCGTTCTGCAAGCTTTCTTGGGTGTTGTTTCATCTCCGGCCTGCTCATGTGCTGCCTGAGCCATCCTGGTCTTTAGACCGGGTGCTCTCTCTTCTCAATTTGTGGTGGTCCCCTTCAGTTCAGGACTGTTTTTCCAAGGCTCTTTTCTTGTTGGCATTGGCCTCTGAGGGTCGGGTCAGGAATCTTCATGCTCTCCTCCGGTGCAGGGGCTTCTGCTCTTTTGGTCCTGGTGATCGGTTTGTTCAATTGCTGCCGTCTTCTTCTTTTGTGGTGAAGAATGAGATGTAATGCTGCTTTACGGAGGGGTCCTTGGGTTGTTGATGTTTGGTTGGTTCGGCTAGGTATGCATCATGTTTTGTGTCCAGTTCAAAACGGTTCATTTGAGCCATTTTGCGGTGCTTTGCAATTACTTGCACGCAATGGCCTTCGTGGCAGGGGACGTGCTTTGGGTTGACCTAGTTTCCCTTCTTCCCTCTTCCAGGTCACAGGTCTCCCAGGTTGTCCGCAGGATTATTCGGTGCAGCCAGTCTGCAGTCTATCCCTGTGCCCACGTTCGTCGTAAGTTTGCGGCTTTGACTGCTGTTTTTGGTAATATGTCCATGGCTGACATTCAGGCATGGGGCTTCTGGAGGTCAAACAGGGTCCTGGCCGCACGGTACCTCGTTCATGCTACTGGCCCTTCTCGGACATATGTAGCCTTGGGTTGCAGGTTGCAGCCAGTTGTCTCGACTTTAAGTTGAGGAGCGAGTGGCAGCCGCTTCCCAGGTAAGTCCCTCATTTCCTTTATCTTTGGTTAGGTAGCTCTGGGGAGCCGTAGGGGCGCTCCACAGAAAACCATTGTTGAATGTAATGAAACACCATATTCTGGGCGAGACCCGGAAGCTTAGTAATTAGACCCGTAATTACACTTAGGTAATTACGGGACTCTAGGTTGGAGGTGTCGGCCGACCCAAAAGGCAGTAAGGTGAAGGCAAAATGTATGATCGTCTCCCTAAGGCAGGAGTGATGAACAACCGTGTAATTCATACAAGGCGAGAGTGAGCCTGGAAGAAGTATCCATGGTACGACTGAGCCCATAGGGGCTTTCTAGGGCCCATATAGGAAATAAGACCTACAGGAAGCCCAGGTACTCGGGTCAGCTAAGCCAGTAAAGGCTGTAGTAGACAAACTGACTAAGTATCAGCCATAAACCCTCAGGGGCAACACTGGAGGACCACCACCACAACCTAGGCTAGCCTAAGCAAACCTTTTATGCAACAGGTGAAACTGCCAGAATGAAAACAAAAGAAATCCCAAAATCCCACAACAAGGAAACTAGCAGCCAGAGAGAAACATCGGCTACCACGTGATAGTAAAGCAGGCTGCGCCAGCTGCAGTATGCCCCACTAGTAAACATCCCTCACCAGCAAACCCCCCCCCCCCAACCTGGGGCAAGATGGGTAGCCCACGACCCCCCGGCCTACCCCAAGGGCGAGGAAGCCCTCTGAAGGGGAGTGATTCCCAAATACCCCAGGGGAGATAATTCTGCCCATGCAAGGGCAGTACTGTACTTACGGAGCACCTAGGGAAGGTAACCCTAGAAGCACGAAGCCTGGTACCTTGTAGAACTCATGGCCGGCACACCCAACAAGTGTAGGAACAGCTGTCAAGGCAAAAATTCAGAAAAGAAATTGCGACCTGAGTCGACGTCTGGGTGCTTTCCCTGGTAAATGGCAAAATATACTTTAAATGCAAGTGCTCATAGGCCATTGCTCTCTGCACCTCTCTGAGGGGGCCAGGTTCTGGCTCTGGTTCCCGGTAGGCAACAAGATCTTTGCGACTGATGACCCCAGTTAATATAGCACTATATCAGTAGGATAGTCTCAGGGGGAACCACGTTCTTACACCGCTGTCAGATATATGAGTGGGGCGTAAGAGTGTGAGCATCATTACCATAGGCCCGAGTGTGGTCGTGTTGGCTGTAAAACCATCGTTGGGCCCATATTTGGGGGGCCCTCCAGAACCTCCCAGAAAACTCGGTAGAGTTCTGGGTTGGTCAACTTTTGTACCATCGTGGCCGAGTCGGTTAAGGCAGGCATTTGGGAATCACCAGATTGCAAATTCAAATCACACTATGGTTCAAATTCAAATCAAAATGGTTTTCATATGTGAAGGAGTTTGGTTGTGCATAAATAGGAGTTGCCTTGCATTGGATAATAGGCCTTCTACAGTTTCATTTATTCTTTTGTTATGCTTTTAGGACATCAGGAATATGACCCTGGCTGCTGCCTTACTAACATATTTGGAAAGTGTCCGTGGTTCTTACATCACTAGGATGTCACGAATATGTCTGTGGCTCTTACATCACTAGGATGTCACGAATATGTCCCTGGCTCTTACCTCTGCCTCTAATTCCTATAAATTTTACTTGGGCTAGTTTGTATATCTTTCCATGACTGTCATTCTGTTGTAAAGTTATTTATGTGTATAGATTGGAAGTCAACCACAGTTTAAATGTTCCTGAGCATAAGATTGGACCAATATGAATGTCTTCATAACATAAAATATAAAAAATTATTAAGCAAATAGGTATCTTCAAGATTTAACTTATTATTTCAGATGTAGAAGCTCGGAAAGACAGCCATGGGAGAATTTTCTTTATAGATCATGTTGCCAAAACAACATCATGGGAATGGCCTCCTCCAAAGCCATTATCAACCCACCGTCCTTTGTTCTTCGTACCTCAGGTGGACAATGAAAAAAGGTATTGAAACTTAAAATTTTACTTGTTTTCATTTAGACATTTTTGCAAAGGAGTGTGGTAGAGTTCCCTTTTATAAATATATTCAAATTATATCAAATTAGTGCTGTTTTGCTATAATGTACTCACCATTTTTTGAATGATTGTTATTAGTAGACATCTGTAGCATTTCATATTAAGTCTGCAAGAAGCCCACTTTGGACAGGGTATCGTTTTAATAATTCTCAAGTCCAAGGAAAGCAAATTGTAAACTCTGCATGTGAGTGTGATCTGCACCCACTTAATTCCCCAGATTTTCTCTTTTTAAGTCAGTTTCTAGAGACTAGCAATATGAAACCAAGGAAACAGTCTTAGGACACTTGTTTTGTGACTATTTTGAAGAAAACATTTTATTGGCATTTTCTGTGGGGAGCCCTGTCGGCTCCCTGAAGCTATCCATACTACTAGAGTGTCATCAGTCACAGAGTTGTTTGTAAACCTACTGGGGACCACAAGCAAGAACCTGGCCTTCCACTCAGAGAGGCGAAGGGAGCAATGGCCTATGAGCACTTTACATTTAAAGTATGTCATATTTGCCATTGACTGGAGAATGACCCAGAAAGGTAGGCGAATCAAAACAGATAGCTGCCTGGTTAAAAATTGCGAGCTATGTCCTCACAAAAGCAAAAGAAGCAAACAAACAAGCAAAACTTCATCCAACTAACCCCCCCACTTGTTAGCTCCACCCCCCAGCTCCAGGGGGGTAGGGGGAACCAGCCTGGGTAAGTTCTTTGACTGATGTAGTTGTGCCGAGTGGTCGCTGTCACTCTTGCTCCATGTTCCTGTTTTCTTTGGTGTTTTGCCCTTGCAGGGTGTTATGAAATGGATGTGTGCATCTTGCCAGGAGTTTCGAGTACTGGAGCAGCATGCACCTAGGGCCATCTTTCCTAGGTGCTCCGTAAATACTTCCCTTGCATCTCAGTGTTCTCTTCCCCTGGGCGTTCAGGAAACACTCCACGTTAGAGGGCTCCTTCCTTGTGGTTGTCCTCGCCCTTGGGGCAAATCGAACTTAGGCTTTGCCCCGAGTAGGGATGTGTTTGTTTGGGCGCACTGCAGCTAGTACTGCATGCATTACTGTTGTGTGGCAGCCAATGTTTCTCTCTGGCTGCTAGTTTGTTTGTTGTGAGATTTTTGGGGTCTTTTTCTTTTATTTTCATTTTGGCATTTTTGCCTGTTGTTGCAGTGGAGGTCTGGCTAGCTCCTTAGGCTTAGCCTAGGCTGTAGTGGTGGTTCTCCACTGGTACCCTCAAGGTTTCTTGACTGCTTCTTACAGTCAATTTGCCTGACAGGGTTTACTGGCTTAGCTTGCCACAGTGCCCGGGATTCCCATAGGGCTTATTCACTCTACGGGCCCTGGAAAACCCCCTGTGGGCTTGGTCGTACTATGGTACTTCTTCAGAGTTCACTCTCGCCTTAGGTGAATTTGAGGGTTGTCCATCGCCCCTGCCTGAGGGAGATGATCATCTATCCTGCCTCCGTTATGTTGCCTGTGGGTCGGGCACACCTGCGACCCAAGGTCTAGCAAGACTTGTTCCCTACTTGTGCTCCTATTACTCATCCCTTCTTTAGTGATCTTTTGGATCAGGCAGCGGTCGCGTTGCATGATCATTTCTCCTTACTGGAACGGTCCAGGTTGGTTGCTCGGATGGAGGTCCCAAAGCTACCTGGCTTGGGTTTTGGGGACTCGGTTTGTGAACGTTGGTTGTTTCGGCCTTGGTTCCATCCACATCACCTCTTCTTTCCCAGGTGGGCATTGTTTGCCCTGCTGCTCCTCTCCTGCTTCTGGCTCCCGAACGTCTGAGGGTTTTGGAGTCGGGGCGGGGTTTCGCTCAGGGCGCGGCTCGGGTGACTTCGGGGGCTGTCCCTTCTGATGCAGGCATGGTGGTGTTTGAGTCTCTCTTTCCCAACGAGGCTTCTGTGTCGATCCAGCAGACTCCCTTCTTCAAAGCCTTTCCCCTGAACTCGCCTTTTCTTCTGCGGCTGTGGGAGTAGATGAGGGCTTTGCCCTGGGGCCTTTGTCAATGGTTTCCGGGGCACAAGGAGAGTCCGTATAGAGCTCGTGGGTTCCTTTTGATCTCGTTTGGGCCCTTGTGCCCTCTGCACAGGGTCGTTTTCTGCATGAGGGAAGGGGTTTTCATACCCTTCTTCCCTCCCCCCCCCCCAACCCCCGGGTTCGTTTCCAGGGGGCCCTTTAGATTCCTCGGATTTGTCCTTATGGAGGCTTTCTTCCTCTCGGATTTTCACTGCAGAGATTCGGAAGGCTTTCAGTGCTTATCTCCTGCGGAACCTGGCTTAAGTCTCAGTCCTGGATCCTGCTTCTTTTCAGTTCGGCTCTTCTCCCCCATCTTGGAGTCGTACCGTGATTCCTGAGTTTTCCTGGCTGGTAGACTAATCATTCATCTCTCTTCGGGTTTGGCGTGGCTTTTGTCGTAACTGCACGCTTGAGTGGCAGGAGGTTTTACGGTGTTGCTGGTGTTTTTGGAGGGCTCTCTGGAGGTTCTCAATGAGTGCCTCTTCGTCCTTGCACCTCCTTGTGATGTTGGTGTGGTGCAGCTGCATACTCCAATTCCCACTCTTTCGGCTGCTTTGGTGGCAGTTGACTTTGGACTCAGTCATTTGGCCTTGTCTTGAGTTTCTTAAGTCTTCTGGCACTGTCTTCGGGTTGGCTTTCAGAGTTTGTAGGTGTTCAGGGTAGGAGGTCCTACAGCATGTTTTTCACCTCTCGTCTCACGTGTGAGCAGGCTGTGCTGACTCTGTCGTTGGCTTTAGCATGGACCCTGTTTCTTCTGTCTTCTTTGCCTTTTTGGCATCTGTTGTTCCCAGAGGACTGGGTTGCTTAGTATCTGTCGGCAGCTACTGCTCATTGCCGGCCTATTTTGGTTCTCCAGGGAGGGTCGCTTCAGGACCTCCCAGAATGGTTGTGCCAGGGCTCGGGCCTCGTTTGGTAAGGGTAAGTATGGTGCCAGTTTGAGTCAGTGAGCTCCCGATGGCTTCTTCGCCGAGGTGTTCGCTCTGTATGGAGGTTGGCGTCTTGGGGTTTACGTCGGCCCTTTTGTGGGTCGCATTATTGTCTGGGTGATGGGGTGAAGGCTAGTTGTTTTGCCAACGCCTGGATCCGCAACACGTGAACTTTTTGTGTTGTTCTTATGGCCTTTGGTGGCGTTGGGTGGCCCTTCCTCTTTTTGGGGGTGTAGGATCTGTGGGGGTGGGGGGTGGGCCTCCTCCCCGTCCATCTGTCGGGTTGTCTCGGAGTGGGTTTGCCACTCTTTTTGGATGGTCTCGTTGTCCCAGGTCCAGGTTCTTGGATGATTTATTGGACCTTGGGGTCCCTATCTATCTGGGTTCAAGGCTTGGTTCGATTTTGTTGTGGGGTGACATGTTTCCGTTGTCTTCCTTGTGGGTAAATCTGGCACCTCACATTTTTATGCGCTTAACTCGAGTCGTAGTGGCCTTTTTTGTCTGCTAGGTCTTCGGGTCTTGGCCTACCTCGATGACTGGTTGGTGTGAGCTCCCAGCCGCTATGCTTGTATGCTAGCCAGGGATCTGGCTCTTTGCCAGCTTACCGGGTTCAGGTTCCTGGTGTACTGGCGGAAGTCTCAGTTGGTCCCGTCCCGGGTTCGGTGCTGGTCTGGGGCCTTGTGTAAAATTCTCAGTCTATGTCCTTTTCTCTCTCTTCCGTGGCCTTGCTCCAGCTGCAGTCCTGCCGTAATCTGTTTTTGTGGGGTACTCGGGTCACTCAGGGGTTGCTTGTGCAGCTATCTTTTTCCAGGGATGACTTCATGGTTTCTCTTTGCTCCTGTATGTGTGTATGTGTGGGGTGCCTCAGCAGTTTAGCCTATTCCTTAAGGCTGGGGTTTTCCTGTTTCCTATTTCTAGTATGTGCAATACTTCTTGGAACATTCCTGGGGTTAGTTCATCATCCTGTAGGTGATGGAGGGGGAAGGAGAAGCATTAATGTTTAGCTTCCTTCCCTGATTCCATAAGGTCATCTCTCTTCTTCTTGGATTGGCAGTTTCTTGGAATCTGTGTGCTGGGTTCTGTGTTCCTCGGGTGTGTTTTTCCTGCTACACTTTTGGTGGGTTTCAGCTAGGGTTTGTCCACACCCAGAATCAATGGTTGCAACATTGATTCTGGGTTGCTCAGGTTCCATGCAGCATCTTGTCTTCCTTGAGTGAGGTGTTTTTGTAGCCTGAGGCATCGTATGAGGATATCAGGTTAGTTCTCATTCGGCTTTTTGGGGGGTTTAGTGCCCTGACCAGATTGCACACATTTCTGGGTTGCGGCATTTTCTGCTTATTTTCCCACGAGAGCCGGTAGGCCGAGCGGACAGCATGCTGGACTTGTGATCCTGTGGTCCCGGGTTCGATCCCGCGCGCCGGCGAGAAACAATGGGCAGAGTTTCTTTCACCCTATGCCCCTGTTACCTAGCAGTAAAATAGGTACCTGGGTGTTAGTCAGCTGTCACGGGCTGCTTCCTGGGGGTGGAGGCCTAGCCGATGACCGGGCCGCGGGGACACTAAAAAAAGCCCCGAAATCATCTCAAGATAACCTCAAGGTAACGAGTATGATGCTTCTTCGTTTCCTCTTTGAGTCTGATTAAGTGTTTACACGATTTTGATATTCCAATTCTCTAAAGTTTCTGTTGATCTTACTTTCCTGTTGCTCAATCTAGAACATTTTAAAGCTTTGCTCTTGAAAGATGTGCACCGTGCATCTGTACTTCATTTTGTTTTATTTGGGTTCGGTTACATCCTCTGTTTCCTGGCTACAGTCGCCGGTATTTCCTGTTGTGTACGGGGAAATAATGGATGTTCTGTTGTTCCCTCGTTGTTGAGTGAATGGTGGTATGCCCCTCTTCCATGCTGTGTTGGCAGCCACTGAATTATGTGGGTTTGGTCCATGGCTCTCTTCTTCTTTGAAGAAGGAAGCTTTTGGTCAATACTCTCAGCCTCTGACTCAGGGTAGTCACTCTCTCTGGGGGTCATTTCCCCGGTGTTTTATTTGTTCATTATTTTATCTTCCAGCTGGAAGCCTACCCACCTCAGGGAGCATCTAAATGGAATAGCTCAGAAACCGAGCTTTATGTGAATATGAAAAGCTTTTGGAGAAGATACTTGAATGCTCCAACTTTTTCCTCAAGTTTCTGATTTTTCATGGTGTATTTTTTGTTTGCTTCTGTCACAATGTGATTGGACTCCAGGAAGTGGACTTGGTGTTTGCATGGGTGCTATGGGTGCTGTGGCAGGGATATCGGCCAGGTAGACAAGCTGGCAGTTTGTGAGAGCACTATTTGCCAGTCCTGGTTTATATAAAATAGAGCTCTAGGCTAAAGTGGAAACTTTTCTCTGGTGCTTCCCTAATTCCAGTGCAACCTGACAGGAATGTTTAAAAATGTGTGTTGCACAACTGTAGTGCAGACTTTCACTCTGATCTTTTGATTTATTCCTTTCTGGCCAGGATGGATCTTGCTTTAGGAAGCATCCAGGTGTTCTGCTCAGAAAGTAGCTTTTCATATATTGTATACTTACAGATTGATTTTTTGTTTTTTGACAATGTCATATTACAGTATCATGGGTAGTGTCAAATTTGCCATCTCACTTTTAGACATTATCAAGCCAAATTGGTAAAGTCTGTGTTTTGAACATGGGAGCTGAATCTAAACTGTACTTATTAACACAGATAATGAATTAATTAAAAGTTATATTTTTTATAATTTCAGACGCTCTTTATGTGAAAGTGGAGAGAGTGAGTGTAGTGGGAGTCGGACTAGTAGTCGTGTAGTTACCCCAGAACCATCCACTCCAACATCTGCATCAGGTATGCTGCCTGAAGAAGTTTGTATAAGTCCTGAAAACTGTGATGATGGAGCTCTCATGCAATCACCATCACCACCACCACCACCACCAACAATGTCTCCGCCTCTCTCTCTGAGTGAGTTAACAAATAGTACCAGTGGAGGATCGGGGACAGTTATAAATGGGGCAATAGCTGCTCCATTAGCAAATGTCATGGCAATGTCAACAGTAGCAGCATTACCAGGAGCAACTGCACTATTATCAGAATCAAATAGTGACAGAAGAAGGCAAGAAGATGACAAAGAGACTGACGATGAAAAAGCTCCGACACCACCACCCCGTCCACATCATCGACTTGCTCGCCCATCACCGCCACTCCCACCACCACTTCCTCAACAGTGTCCCCCTACACCCACACATCATGCTCGACGCCCTCACCATTCCATTGCTAATGATCAGGTTTGTTATTTAAACATTTCAATATGATCTTGACCATACTTTTGCTTTGTCATATTAAGTGTAGTTTTGTGTATGTTGTCATGTTTACTGCAAGATGTTCAAACCACATATATATATATATATATGCTGGAGCTGGAGGAGACAGGAGTCACACTGCAACAAGCTCCTGGAAATATCAAATTACCTAAGTATTGGGAACAGGTTGAGGATTAGAATAATAAGAAAGGATTAGAATGCAGTTACCAACATCCCAAAAAATGTTTAAATATGCTTAGGAAAGGTGAGTGTCGATTTGGATCAATATGTAGGTTTTTGCATCCTGACATGTGCCAAACCTCACTGGAGGACAGAAAATGCTATGACCTCAGCTGCCCACACTTTCACGTGAAAGGCACGGAACGCTACAAAAAGAGCGGCAAGCAGGATAATGAATTTGGAGGAAACTCTATAAATTTTTTATACCAGACCGAAAGAGAATTCAAAAGGAGGAGCATGGAGAGTGTATGGAACTGGATGCCAGTTCCACTTCCATTCCAGAATTACACATACAATTACACACCAAAAGGGAACTTTGAGGGCTACAGTGGTGTCCAAGGTTACATAAAGGTTCAGGGAAGTGTAAAAGCAAATAAAATACAATAAACAAGTAAAAGTGAGTGAAAATAGCTGAGTTGGTAAAGTTTGTTTTGGTTCTAGAACAAAAACAAAGATGGCCACCGCCGCCACCACCACCACTGGGAATGTAGACCCACCAACAGATGATTGTTTCAAAGGATTCTGACCACAAAATATAAGGAAAGGAGGTGTTCTTGGCAGGTTAGAGATAATTGAGGATATGCAAAAGAAGTATGAAGAAAAAGTGCTTAAATTGGAAGAGGACAATGGAGCTCTTAGGAGTGAGCTTTGCACTCTAAAAGGGAGTATACTTCAGCAAGGTAAGATTATTACTGCATTAACAGACAAGGTAACAAATCAGGAGGAGCAAATCAAGGAACTAGTGAAAGAAAATGAGGTGTGGAAAGTGAAGTGTGGTGACTTTGAAGAAATAAACAAAAAAATACTCATATAGTGAACAACTCCAAGGGAGCCTGAGGGCTAATATAGAGTTAGGCAAGGATCTCCAACTGGAAACTTCACTGATAACTCACATAGAGCAGGTGAATAAAGAATAGAAAAGTATAAAGAAGAAATAAAAGAGACATATGCCCAAGTTGTAAAAGAGAAAGAGATTATCAAAGAAGTGTGCTCAGAAGTCAAAACCAGAAAGGACCAACAAGAAGCAGAAATTAAGCAAGCAATTAGGAAAGAACTGGTTACCAACAGTAAATTAGTACAAAACACTGCAGACAGAAGTAAGTCTATAATAAGTTTTGGATGTTTAGAGAAGGAAATTTCATCTAGGGTGGACCGAGCAGTAGAAGAGATGAAAATCATAGAGAAAATAGTAGGTTTAGGAGAAGGCTCAAAGGAAAATGTCAGTGATTTTAAAAGAATAGGAAAATATGAGAAAGACAAGAACCGTCCCTTAAGGGTGACGTTTAATGGAGTGAAAAACATTATGGAAGTGCTTAGAAATGCCAGGAAATTGCAGAGTGATGAGGTTGGCAAACTTTGGTCAATAAGACAAGACCTCTCCAAGGAAGACAGGAGAAAAGCTGAAAATGAACCTAATTGAGGGAAAACGTCTAAATAGAAATGAAGAAGACAAATTCTTTTTTTCTACAAAGTGACAGGGACTGGAAAGCTTGTGAAATGGTACATAAAAACAAAGCAATAAGATCAGTAGTGGAAGGGGCAGTAAAGAGCAAAGGAAAAGGGAACATGTTCCTGAAAATTGTATATACCAACATAGATGGAGTGAGGTCAAAAACTTTGAAGTTGCAAGATATAATTCAGCTTAGGGTCCCAGATATTGTCGCATTATCAGAGACGAAACTTGAAGGAAATATATTAAATGAAGTTATATTCCCAAGAGGCTATTCAGTTTGGAGACGTGACAGGAAAACTAGGAAGGGAGGAGGAGTGGCTGTACTGGTGAAAAAACACCTGAAGGTAAGAGAGTTAATATTTGAAAACCCTCGAGATATTAATATAATGGCATTGCAGATCTGGAATCAGGATGATAAGCTGATAATTTTAAATACCTACAGCCCACCAGCAAGCAACATATGGACAAAGGAAGAACTGGATGACAAATGAGAGGGCCTCATAATGGTCATGAAAGATATTATTGTACAAGCAGATAGATAAATCACGACTGTTGATACTGGGGGACTTCAACTTTAAAGCAATAGACTGGGAGGCCTATGAAGCAAGAACGGAGGACTTTTGGACATGCAGATTTGTGAACCTCATTCTGGAGACATTCTTGTATCAACACATCGCCTGATAGCTGGGTGGACAGCACTTCGGATTCGTAGTCCTGAGGTTCCGGGTTTGATCCCCGGTAGAGGCAGAGACAAATGGGCAAAATGTTTCTTTCACCCTGATGCCTCTGTTACCTAGCAGTAAATAGGTACCTGGGAGTTAGACAGCTGCTACGGGCTGCTTCCTGGGGGTGGAGGCCTGGACGAGGACTGGGCCGCGGGGACACTAAGCCCCGAAATCATATCAACATAACTCAAGATCAAGATAACAAGATAACACATAAAGGAGACCACAATCAATACAGGAAGAGGCCAAACCCCCAAACATACCAGTGATACAAAGATGCGAGAAACAACTACACGGCAGTGAGGAGAGAGGCAGAAAGAAATTTTGAAAAAGGGATTGCAGACAAATGTAAAACAGAACCAGGTCTATTCTATAAATTCGTAAACAACAAATTGCAGGTAAAGGATAATATTCAGAGGTTGAAAATGGGAAATAGATTCACGGAAAATGAAAAGGAAATGTGTGAAACATTAAACGAAAAGTTCCAAAGTGTGTTTGTACAAAATGAAATCTTCAGGGAACCTGATACAATAAGAATTCCAGAGAACAACATAGTGCACATAGAGGTGTCTAGAGACGAAGTGGAAAAAATGCTCAAGGAGCTAAATAAGAACAAAGCAGTTGGTCCGGATGGAATTTCACCATGGGTTCTGAGAGAATGTGCACCTGAGCTCAGCATTCCTCTTCAATTGATTTTTCAGGCATCCCTGTTTACAGGAGTTGTAGCTGATGTGTGGAAAAAGGCTAACATAGTTCCAATCTACAAAAGTGGAAGCAGGGAAGACCCCCTTAATTATAGACCAGTATCATTGACAAGTGTAATAGTCAAAATATTGGAAAAAATAATTAAATCTAAATGGGTAGAACACCTGGAGAGAAATGATATATTATCAGACAGACAGTATGGTTTTCGATCTGGAAGATCGTGTGTATCGAATTTACTCAGTTTCTATGATCGAGCAACACAGATATTACAGGAAAGAGATGGTTGGGTTGACTGCATCTATCTGGACCTAAAAAAGGCTTTCGTCACAGTTCCACATAAGAGGTTGTTCTGGAAATTGGAAAATATTGGAGGAGTGACAGGTACGCTTCTAACATGGATGAAAAATTTTCTGACTGATAGAAAAATGAGGGCTGTGATCAGAGGCAATGTATCGGACTGGAGAAATGTCACAAGTGGAGTACCACAGGGTTCAGTTCTTGCACCAGTGATGTTTATTGTCTACATAAATGATCTACCAGTTGGTATACAGAATTATATGAACATGTTTGCTGATGATGCTAAGATAATAGGAAGGAAAAGAAACTTAGATGATTGTCATGCCCTTCAAGAAGACCTGGACAAAATAAGTACATGGAGTGCCACTTGGCAAATGGAATTTAATGTTAATAAATGCCATGTTATGGAATGTGGAATAGGAAAACAGACCGCACACAACCTCTATATTATGTGAGAAATCTTTAAAGAAGTCTGATAAAGAAAGAGATCTAGGGGTGGTTCTAGATAGAAAACTATCACCCGAGGACCACATAAAGTGTAAATATTGTGAGAGGAGCCTATGCCACGCTTTCTAACTTCAGAATTGCTTTTAAATACATGGATGGCGATATACTAAAGAAATTGTTCACGACTCTTGTTAGGCCAAAGCTAGAATATGCAGCAGTTGTGTGGTGCCCATATCTTAAGAAGCACATCAACAAACTGGAAAAGGTGCAAAGACATGATACTAAGTGGCTCCCGGAACTGAAGGGTAAGAGCTACGAGGAGAGGTTAGAGGCATTAAATATGCCAAAACTGGAAGACAGAAGAAAAAGAGGTGATATGATCATTACGTACAAAATAGTAACAGGAATTGATAAAATCGATAGGGAAGAATTCCTGAGACCTGGAACTTCAAGAACAAGAGGTCATAGATTTAAACTAGCTAAACAAAGATGTCGACAAAATATAAGAAAATTCACTTTCGCAAACAGAGTGGTAGACGGTTGGAACAAGTTAGGTGAGAAGGTGGTGGAGGCCGAGACTGTCAGTAGTTTCAAAGTGTTATATGACAAAGAGTGCTGGGGAGGCGGGACACCACGAGCGTAGCTCTCATCCTGTAACTACACTTAGGTAATTACATGAATTTTTAAAAGAATGGCACTAAAAAAATTACAGAATTATTATTTTTATTATTATTATTATATTATTATTATTATTATATTATTATTATTATTATTACAGCATTATTATTATTATTATTATTATTATTATTATTTTGGGCCATTTTCAGTGGTTAAAAGTAACCTATTGATAGAATGATACAATTTACTATACTTTGATATATAGATTGTTACGATTTCTGGAATATTTTACATGTGTAATTTTTGGTACAGTATTGCTGTATTTTAATGTTTTCTGAGAGTTCTGATATGGAGCCTTTTACTCTACCAATTGCTACTCATATGAGTTACCTACTAAGTGTTTGGTCAGTTACTCATAGGGAAAATGGGTATATTTAACCCTTAGACCGCGCATATTACCGCACATATTGGGATCCTGGGAGTGAAAAATATTCAAATTATGTAAAAATAACTTAAAAAGGTTTAAACAAATCTCCAACTTATTGGCTTCAGTGTCGTGAAACTTTCATCAAAATTTAAAAAAAAATTGATTTTAGACAAATTTAAAAAAAAAAAAAAATTGTTGATAAGGAGAACTGCTCCTAATAACTGGAACTGAAGGATTATGCAGTAATAAAGAGATGCAAGCACTTGTCCGACGCTCAAAGAACAATAGTAGTAAGAAGTGTCTACAAAGTGGATATGCAGTAGTGCCTTTATTTATCCTGAGTAATACATAATAACAAATAATAATGAATAACTATGTTAATATGCTCAATTTTGTTATATATCATATAAATACATTGTCCAATGTTAATATATATTACTTTCATCAATGTCCCAAAAATATTTTTTCTGGGGGGAGCCCCGTCGGCTCCCCGGAGTTATCTAGGCTGAATGTATATGTAAAACTTTCTGGCATCAGTCAAAGTGCTAGGAGTTCTTGCCTACCGGGGACCACGAGCCAGAACCTGGCCCCCTCAGAGAGGCACGAGGAGCAATGGCCTATAGAAACCCCTTTGTGGTTGGGAGCATTCTATGTCTTCCATCGACCGGGATAGGCACCCAGAAAGGTAGGCGCCTCAAAACAGACCCCTATTCTGGTGAAAATATTGCTACTGAAAACCGAACGAGTGGACAGAACTCCCCAAACAAAATTATCAAACTTGCATGGCATCATCACGTCGCCGCTCCACCGTCTGCGCAACCTTCACATATGCAAAATCAAAAGCAAAAACCACTGCCAGTATTGGACCTATTCGTACAAGTGAAGGTTCATACATGGAGGATGACAAAAAAATTAGTGAAATCCTAAAAAAAAGCAGTACAGTGTGAGGATATGTTTAGCACTTCAATAAACAACATAAAAGTGGAAGATCTAGACAATTTCTTTATGCGGGATATCCAAACCCCTGTAAATATTACTGATATCAACACGAGCGTACTAGACTTTGAAAGAGAAATTGAAAACATGCCCATGCACTCGGCTCCGGGTTCAGATTCATGGAATTTGATATTTATAAAGAAATACAAAGTGCCGGTAGCACAGGCACTCAGTATAGTGTGGAGGAAGAGCTTGGACACGGGGAGATACCAGATGTACTTTAAGTAGCAGACATAGCCCCTCTACACAAGGGAGGGAACAAAGCATTGGCCAGTTACACTAATGTCCCACATAATAAAGTATTTGAGAGAGTGATTAGGAGTCAGGTCACCAATTTCATGGAGACCAATGACCTTCACAACCCAGGCCAACATGGATTTCGAGCAGGAAGATCGTGCCTCTCACAGCTACTTGATCACTCCAACAAAGTCACTGAGGCATTAGAAGAAAAACAGAATGCTGACGTGGTATACACGAGCTTTGCAAAGGCTTTCGATAAATGTGACCATGGAGTGATAGCACACAAAATGAGGTCAATGGGAATAACCGGTAAAGTAGGACGCTGGATACTCAGTTTTCTGTCAAACAGGACTCAACGAATAACAGTCAATCATACAAAATCGAGTCCAAGTGCAATTAAAAGCTCTGTACCTCAGGGTATAGTCCTTGCACCGCTGCTTTTCCTTATTCTCATATCAGATATAGACAAAAATACAAGTCACAGCTTCGTATCATCCTTTGCAGATGACACAAAAATCAGCATGAAAATTACCTCGGCTGAAGACATTGAAAAACTTCAAGCAGATATTGATAAAGTATTCGACTGGGCAACAGAAAATAACATGATGTTTAACATTGATAAATTCCAGGTACTCGGGTACGGAAAAAATGAGTACCTTAAACATAATACAGGGTACAAAACACAATTAAATGTCCCCATAGCAGGAAAATAGCATGTAGAGGATTTGGGAATAATGATGTCTGACGACCTAACGTTTAGGGAGCACATTCAAGAAAATATTGAGTCAGCCAGAAAAATGATCGGATGGATTGCGAGAACTTTCAAATCCAGGGATCCCATCACAATGGTTGTTCTCTTCAAGTCACTTGTGTTGTCCCATCTTGAGTAATGCTCAGTACTCACTTCCCCCTTCAGAGCAGGGGAGGTTGTTGAAATAGAGGAAATACAGAGAACATATACGTCACACATGCTTTATCGCATCACTCATAGATGCGATAAAGCACCGAAATTATTGGGATCGTCTCAAAGCCTTCCAAATGTACTCTCTAGAATGAAGATGAGAGAGATATCAAATAATATACACATGGAAGATCCTGAAGGGCCAAGTACCAAATCTACACAGTAAAATAACAATGTACTGGAGTGAACAATATGGAAGAAAATGCAGAATAGAACCAATGAAGAGCAGGGGCGCCATAGGCACAATCAGAGAACACTGTATAAACATCAGAGGTCCGCGGTTGTTCAACACCTTCCCAGTGAGCATAAGAAATATTGCTGGAGCAACCGTGGACATTTTCAAGAGGAAACTAGATTCTTTCCTCCAAGGAGTGCCGGACCAACTGGGCTGTGTTGGATATGTGGGCCTGCAGGCTGCTCCAAGCAACAGCCTAGTGGACCAAACTCTCACAAGTCTAGCCTGGCCTCGGGCTGGACTTGGGGAGTAGAAGAACTCCCAGAACCCCATCAACCAGATATCAACCAGATATCTTCGAGTTTTTTGGGGTTCATTGCCTTGATGCCTACTCGAGCCCTCACTCGATGTGTTCACGAACATGTCGTCTCATGGCTGGGGCTTTGTGACAAGTGCTCACCAGGCCAACCAGGGGCAGTGGGATCCGTGCTTCCATTGGGCTCACATCATTGCAGGAGTTTGCTTCAGTTTGGCTTTCACTTCGAATGATTCTGGTTGCTCGGGATTCCACAATCCGGCTCCATTCGAACTGCTCTCTGGTGGTTCATTGTCTGAACTGCGAGGGTTCTCTTCGGTCCTTGGTTCTTTGGGGCTGATCACTTCGAGTGACTCGTCTGCTGGCTTCTCAGGGTTTGGCTCTTCGTGCAGTTCACATTTAGGTGGTGTCCAACGTCATGGTGGATGGCCTGTCTCGGTTCATTTCCCTGACCACAGAATGAATGTTCAACGCTGACTCCTTCAGTTGGCTCTGCAAGATGTACAGGCTCCCAGAGGTGGACCTCTTCGTGTCGGTGTGGTCGAGGCATCTCCTGATAAATTTGACGCCCTTCCCCGATTGTGGAGCCTTCACAGTGAATGCCTTTTGGCTGAACTGGTTGAGGTGGGGTTACCTGTACCTCTTTTCGCTGGTCCAGCTGTTTCGGGTCCTGGCTCATTTGGAGACTTACAAGGGGAGAGTTGTCCTGTTGACCCCTTGATAGCCGGCGCAGCCTTGGTTTCAAGCGCTGCTTGCTCGGTGTCCGAATCTGAGATGTTTTCCATGGCTTTGCCCCTTTCAGTGGATCGGACCGGACCAGTACGTGGCTGGTTCAGTCTACTCCTCTGCTCCTCACGTCTGGTCTTTTTTGACGCTGGTGTATCACCACTTGTATGGTGATCAGGTGGCTTCTTTGATGGTGTCCCACCTGCAAGCTTCATTTCAGTGACAGCTTCATCTCATCCAGCATCAGAACTGAAGGGTGGATAGCTGACATGGGGGTCTGGATCCTTCCCCTTCCCCCTCCCTGGGAGGGGGAGCTGCACAGACAGCAGCATGTTGACGGTTGTGATGTCATGCTCGTTTGCTCGTTTTTTGTTTGGGGAAGTTTTGTCTTACAGTTTAGCTCTCAGTAGTAATATTTTAACCAGATAAGGTTTGTTTTGGGGTACCTACTTTTGAGTGCCTGACCTGGTCGATAGCAGACATTGAATGCTTCCAACCTCACGGGGGTGTCTATAGGCCGTTGCTCCTCATGCCTCTCTGAGGGGGGGGGGCAGGTTCTGGCTCATGGTCTCCGGTAGGCCTTGAACTCCATTTGCTTGACTGATGCCTGGTCTAATACATTCAGGGGTCTAATTCAGCCTGGATAGCTCTGGGAAGCCTCTGGGTCTCACCAAGAAAAATGGCATTTCATTACAATCCATGCTGGTTTCTTTACATAAAAAAAATGTTCTATACAGGATGTTGGTGGACATACGGAGCGCCACAGTCGAACCATGCGGTTACCGTCCATTCCAGAAAGAACTATCAAATTCCAGAGAGTTGAAATTCAACCTGGCGAAGAGCCATTACCAACCAGTTAGTATTTTTTGTATGTTAATGATTTCCCTTATTCTCAATATATTAAATAGTCAACTACTTTATTAAATTGCATGCTTTTTACTTATCAATGCATTAGTTTAACTCCATAGTTTGGCACTCAGTACTTTAATGACCATAGTTGTTTAGCACATGATGAAAATGTATTACAACATTCTATTCTTTTATTCAAATATTAAAAGCTACAATGTGGCAAAATCCTAAAAAGTCTGGGACCAATGTATGGACTCAGTTACCACTTTAACTACTCGTTATGTGTATTTTTAATATTAGTATTAATAGAAAGCATCCATAATCACATCTGTCAATCTTGTAATCTTTCTTCATGCAGGCTACTTTTTCACAAGGAAAGACACCCAGAAAGATACGTGAACCTAAACAAACTACTGCCTTGTTTAAAAATGGGACCAGAGCCAAAAGAGCACCCCCCCCCCCAACAATTAAATAAACAACCAGAACTTAGTGAAACTAGGCCCTTGCTAGTTAACTCCACCTAATTGGGGGGAAGGGGGGCGCCAGACCGGGCTTTCCATTTTTTTACTGATGTGCTAACCTGGTGGTTGCATTGCTCTGGCTCTTTTCCATTCCCCGACTGTGAGGTACTCATGGTGGATGCCTTTCGGCTTGACTGGTTAAGGTGGGTGTGCAGTTACCCCTTTTTCCCAGTCTGGCTGCTGTCCCCGGTGCTGGCATGGCTAGAGTCTTACAGGGGGAGAGTGATTCTTCTGGCTCCTTGGTGGCCGGCCCAGCCTTAGTTTCAGGCACTGCTTTCCTGGTGTCCCAACCTGCACGTCTTTCCAGGGCTTCCTCCCCTCTATTAGAGGGTCCGGCGGGTGATATACCCCGCTGGTTCAACCTTGTCTTCTGCTTTTCATATCTGGACTTTTTGACACGTCTTTATTGCCATTTGTGTGATGATCAGGTGGCTGGTTTGTCCCACCTGCGGTCTTCTCAGCGACAGTATGAGGTTTCTTGTGGGGTCTTCTTCTCATTTTCTTTCCCTTTTGTCGTCTTTTTTTTATTTTAGACCATGTTCTGTCTTTTCTTTCTTGGATTTTCCTCGATAGGCATCTCATACCTGATTCTGTCACTTCCTATCATGCGGCGTTAGTGGAACCGCTTCTGCTTGTGTTCAGGATGGACGATACTTTGGCCCCCATTTCGCAAGCTTTCTCACACTTTGTTTCATCTCTGGCCTGTTCACGCACTGCTTGAGCCAGCCTGGTCTTTGAACTGGGTTCTATCTTTTCTTTCTTGCTCCTCAGTATACTGTGGCCCTTTCAGTCTGGGATTATTTCTGTGGGAGCCCCGTCGGCTCCCTGAAGCTGTTTGAACTGTAATATAGTACTATACTAGTTTTGGGTCATCAGAGTCCTTTGCCTACTGGGGGGACCACAAGCCAGAACCTGGTCCCCTCAGAGAGGCACAGGAAAAAATGGCCAATGAGCACTTTACATTTAAAGTATCCACTCGATTTAATGGCCTATATGGGGCTGTAGCCAGGTCGTTATTTCCGGGGCTCCGGTATTTCCCAAGTTGTTGAAGAGTCGGTAATATTTCAAGTAACATTCAGGTAAGATATATTTTATATAACTAAAATGAAATAAAGTTCATTGTGTAATTGCATTCCAAGTTAGTTCCTCTGACAGTGCCCATTCTGTCACAGGTTACAATTAATAATTCCTTCATATGACAAGTTGGATCACACAAGTGGACAAATGGACCACACAACAAGTGAACTATATTAACCAAACACCTCTCTCCCTCAACCCCCCACACTTCTCTCACCACCACTCTTCCCTCACCCCCCCCCCCACTCTCCCCTCACCGCCCCACTCTCCCCTCACCCCCCACTCTTCCCTCACCCCCCACTCTTCCCTCACAACCACCACCACCCTCAGAAATGATATAATATCAGACAGTATGGTTTTCGATCTGGAAGATCCTGTGTATCGAATTTACTCAGTTTCTATGATCGAGTCAGACATTTTACAGGAAAGAGATGGTTGGGTTGACTGCATCTATCTGGACCTAAAAAAGGCTTTCGATAGAATTCCACATAAGAGGTTCTGGAAACTGGAAAATATTGGAGGGGTGACAGGTAAACTTCTAACATGGATGAAAAATTTTCTGACTGATAGAAAAATGAGGGCAGTAGTCAAAGGCAATGTATCGGATTGGAGAAACGTCACAAGTGGAGTACCACAGGGTTCAGTTCTTGCTCCAGTGATGTTCATTGTCTACATAAATGATCTACCAGATGGAATACAGAATTATATGAACATGTTTCCTAATGATGCTAAGATAATAGGAAGGATAAGAAACTTTGATGATTGTCATGCCCTTCAAGATGACCTGGACAAAATAAGTATATGGAGCACCACTTTGTGAGAGTTTAGAGAAATGGAATATGGGATGGTTGAGGAATTGAGTTCAGAAAATTTTTAAAAATGTTCTTTAATTCTTTTAACCTTTATTCCTGTCGTGATATTCAATTAGGTCGCCTGAGGAAGGACTTGCTTAGCTAACACACCAGTGTAGTAAGCAGCTCATTCCTCACTCTGGGACCATTTATGAACAATTGACTAAGCGCGAGCAAACGCCGAGACCCCAAAAAGTTTGAAATCCCCTCCACTAGGCCGTCAACCTTCGCCATTCGCTGAAGCAAATCTAACGAGTAGGTCCTGGGCTCTCACAACAATAATTTATTGTTGTGTGGTGCCATATATTTAGTCCAAAACTCAAAAATCAGTCTCAATTTAATAGTCGAGTGTGACATTACACTTGCAGGGCAATATAACTGTGTGGGGATGTAACGAAAAGACAGTGTTCAACATAACAACTTACTTTATTCAATAAAGTACTAACTACTACAACAAGAACGAAAGAAATATCAATGACGTTACTTGAAATTACTTACTGCATAGTGAACTAACTTGAACATAAGGTGTGGACACAGAGGAATCAAACAAGCTAGCAAGATCTATAATCACACTGGCAACTATGACACAGTAGGTTCTGAGACATGCATTCAAATTCATTAAAGAACTTTCTAAGTTCCCCATAGTGTTCTCTCTTGCAACCAGGTTTTTCAACTGCTTTATTTTCCTCATTCTCTTTATGATATTAGAAGACAAAAATCTGCTCAAGACTTTAGACCCTTATGTGGGCATCTGGGGCCAGATTCACGAAAGCACTTACGACCGTGTACATCTTTCCTCAATCTTTGACGGCTTTGGTCACGTTTATTAAACAGTTTACAAGCATGAAAAATTCCCATTCAACTGTTATTGTTATAAACAGCCTCCGGGTGCTTCGGAGCTCATTAACTGTTTATTAATTGGAAACAAAGCCGCCAAAGATTGAGAAAAGATGTACTGGTTCATAAGTGCTTTCGTGAATCTGGCTGCTGGTACTTACATAAATCAAGCTTTACTTCATTCACAATTCACTAGTATACTATATTATATAAACTAAGTCTGTATTTTGTTATGTATAGATAAGGATTTGTATGCAGCAGTCATGCTACTGGGGGTAAAATAATAAACAATTAACTTTGCTGATACTGTGTGTTTTTCGTGCTAAATGAAATTCTTCTTTTTTTTTTTAGACTGGGAGGCACGCATTGACAGTCATGGGCGAATTTTCTACATTGATCATGTCAATAGGACAACTACATGGCAACGACCTTCAGGTAACGACACAGCCCAGACTCAAAGAAATCAGTCCACAAATCAGCTCCAGAGACAACAATTGGATAGAAGGTCAGTCATATAATAATAAAAATCATAATAATTCATTTTGTCAGGGGACTGGCAGCCAGTGTATATATATACATGTTAGGCTCATATCGAGGCCACCCCAAGGTTGAAATACTGATGACATAACCCTAGGATTCAACCCATCAACAAGCTGACTAACTCCTGGGTACCTATTTTAGGCTAGGTGAACAAGTGCATTACATGATAGGAAATGTCCCCAACCATTCCTGTTCTGCTTGGGATTTGAACCTTGAATTCTCTGTTGAGTCGAGAATGAACCTGACTGAAAGCTAAGTTGTCATCTGTCAGTATCTGCGATGACGGTATAGGCCCCCAATTATGTATCCCGGCAGAGTTGCCAATTACACTCCGGCTTACTCTCCCTTAAGAGGAGTCGATGTTCCTGTAGAGCACACAACGGTGTCCACCCTGGAGTGCCTCAGAACCTTCCGTTCTGGAGCTCCTCACTGATGGGGCTTTACTTCCCTCCCTAGGTACTACTGTTCACCTCTGGAGAGCATCTCAGTTGAATTGCAGAGCAGGGGTTCCCTCTGAACCCAGCCTTGCACCCCGCAGGGAGTAAGGTAACTTGACCACTACCTAATTTCCTTGCTGGGGTGTCCATGGACGTGGAAACTCGAGGTTTACCCAGGTCGAATTGCCTGTCCATAAGGTTATTCCCAAGGTCGCCAACTTAACTCGCTGTCCTTCACAGTCAAGAACTACTTCCAACACAGTGGGATGTCACCTCCCTCAGTCTAGTGCTTCTTCAACAGTAGTGTGGTACACAGTAAACCTCACAACATCGCATAAAAGAAATGAAGAGGAGGAGGGAAACACAGTCTTAAAATATTATTTGTTTACTCACAATAGTCTACATTAGTGGAAAAATGCTCAAGGAGCTAAGAAAGAACAAAGCAGTTGGCCCAGATGGAGTTTCACCATGAGTTCTGAGAGAATGTGCACCTGAGCTCAGCATTCCACTGCAACTGATTTTCCAGGCATCCCTGTGTACAGGAGTTGTAGCAGATGTGTGGAAAAGCTTACATAGTTCCAATCTACAAGAGTGGCAGCAGGGAACACTCCCCTAATTATAGACCTGTATCATTGATGACTGTATTAGTCAAAATATTGGAAAATATAGTTAAAAATAAATGGGTAGAACACCTGGAGAAAAGATATATCAGATAGACAGTATGATTTTCGATCTGGAAGATCCTGTGTAACGAATTTATTCAGTTTCTATGATCGAGCCACAGAGATTTTACAGGAAAGAGATGGTTGGGTTGACAGCATCTATCTGGACCTAAAAAAAGGCTTTTGACAGAGTTCCACATAAGAGGTTGTTTTGGAAACTGGAACATATTGGAGGGATGACAGGTAAGCTTCTAACATGGATGAAAAAGTTTGATAGAAAAGTGAGGGCAGTAATGAGAGGCAATGTATGGGACTGGAGAAATGTCACAAGTGGAGTACCACAGGGTTCAGTTCTCGCTCCGGTAATGTTCATTGTCTACATAGACGACCTACAAGATGGAATACAGAATTATATGAACATGTTTGCTGATGATGCTAAGATAATAGGTAAGATAAGAAACTTAGATGATTGTCGTGCCCTTCAAGAAGACCTCGACAAAATAAGTATATGGAGCACCACTTGGCAAATGGAATTTAATGCGAATAAATGCCATGTTATGCAATGTGGAATAGGAGATCATAGACCCCACAAAACCTATAAATTATGTGAGAAATCTTTAAAGAATTCTGATAAAGAAAAAGATCTAGGGGTGGTTCTAGACAGAAAACTATCACATGAAGACCACATTCAGAACATTGTGGGAGGAGCCTATGCTACACTTTCTAACTTCAGAATTACTTTCAAACACGTGGATGGAAAAATATTAAAGAAATTGTTCACGGCTTTTGTTAGACCAAAGCTAAAATATGCAGCAGTTGAATGGTGCCCAGATCTTAAGAAGCACATCAACAAGGTGGAAAAGTTGCAAAGACATGCCATTAACCCCTTAACTGCGCGGCCTCCAAATATAACACCCCCCCTCCCAGTGCGCAGGAAATAAAATCTCTGGAAAAATTTCTTTTCTATTTTTAAAGTGTCAAAAACCCTTCCCTGAGTAAGGGCATAATAACAGAAGGTCGAAATTGTGAGTACTTTAGCTGCTATGGGGTCCGTAAGTTCGTGCTTGACATCATTCCCTGGTCGCCCATGGCATACGCCCCTAGGACTGGTAAGGCACTCAGGGCAGCATGTGTGAGTTGCCACGAATATATTTTTGTTCCTTTTCTGTGCACAGTTCCAAATACATTTTATATGCTTTTACGTGCCAATCCTATGTATAATGAACACATACACTATATTATGGCAGTAGAACATCCGTACTGTCCAAAGACACTGTGTTACGTGCATGACACTTGTGTACACATATCCGGCACATATTTCCATTGTATTATGCTAATTTATGTATATATACAGTCTATTTACACACTATACACCATCACACACTATATACATTCACCATGAACACACTCAGAACTCCGCAAGTGTCAGCTGCCACACCCTCACTCCTCCAACATCCAGTCTCTCCCTCACAACCCCAACATCTTACTCGCCAACATTGCTCCTCCCACCATACTGTTATTGTTTGTATTACACTATTTACACATATTATGTATACCTATCTACATGTTTTATTCACCAGAACTATGCAAGTAAGCCTTAAGTAATGTAATGTCTACATGTTTTATTCACCAGAACTATGCAAGTAAGCCGGTATTGTGTCCAAACTTTACAGTGGCCACCATACACTGCATGAGAAATCACAGCAGCCAGCAGACGACGCTACAATTACGTTACCACCCTCACCAAAATAGCTCCTCCCAACATACTTTTGTTGCTGTTACTACACTATATACACACACATTGTATATACCCATGTACAAATGTGTTCACCATAGCAAACCACTAAGCTAGCATGATGAGCAAAACAAGAGTGGCTGCCACACAGTGAGGCTACCTCGATTCTCTCCCTCGCTCCCTCACCACAATTCCTCTTCCCACAATACTACGCACATATGTACAAGTGTATATACCCATGTACATATGTGTTCACCAGAGCGAACCACTAAGCTAGTATGATGAGCAAAACAAGAGTGGCTGCCACATACAGGTACTTTATCCTGATAGCGTCCTACAGAGTACACAGGTAGCCACTGGCACAAGTTTCTCAGAAATGTAATGAGGTATGGGATAGGAATATTTTAGACAATTCAAGAATATATTTGCAAGTGAATGAAAGAACAAGTCTCACAGATGAATCCAGTTAACGAACTAAGTGAATAGTGAAAGAAGCTTTCAGGAAATACAAATTTTCATATACCTGATTCATCTCAATAATTACTGATACTTGTGATTGTATTTTATTTTTATTGACGTTTTGTTGTATTAGTTTATATTATTGTATTTTCCATTGATAGGTACCAGAGCATCCGCCGGACAATTACCTCCAGGAGAATGGAGATGGATGATTTCAGTGCATCAGGTTCTGCTACTCTCTCTTGTTCCACTTCTACCCCAGCACTTGCTTCCTCGTCATCAGTTCCAGCCTTATCATCATCCACATCAACTTCCACTAGCAGTAAGATTATATTATTTGTCAACTTCAGCACTTATTTCAAAGTTCTAACTCCTCTAATACAAATTTGGTTTTGCAAGCTGATAGTGTACTACATAATTATTTTCTAATATTAAAACTTTGATTTGGAAAATTTATGGCTAATTCCATTAGTTAACACTTTCGTTGCCCCAGCGGGCAATCCGCCGCGCACCTCAAGGTAGCCCGAGCAGTGCGCGTGAACTCACTACCACCCACAAATGTTTATACTCTTTTTATTTTTCTTACCTGAATTTTCATGCTATGTTGTTCAATTTGCTATTAAATTGTTTGAAATTGAATACTCTAAAGGAATATGTGCATATAAGAACTTTTTAGTCTCATTTTCCTATACTTAAGACTCACCACGCACTGCAAGGTAGCCCAAGCATTGCCCGAGGACTCGCCACTTCAATGTTTATTCTCTTTTCAGCTTTCTGACCTCAATTTTTGGCTTACGTTGTTCAATTTGGTATCAAATTGTTTGCAATAGAATGCTGTAAAGGTATATGTGCATATATGAACATATATGTCTCATTTTCCTGTACAGTGGGGCTTTGACTTACGAATTTAATCCATTCCCAGAGACGGGTCGTAAGTCGAAAATTCATAAGTAGAAAATTTGTAAGTCGAAACGAATTTTCCCATAAGAAATAATGTAAACAGAATTAATCCGTTCCACACCCCCAAAAATATTGACTTAAAAATACATTTTATACTGAATAACACTCATTTTGTACTAGTTACAATACAGTACTGCATGAGTATCTTTCCTTGAATGAGGACTCTTGTTGGCGTATGGAAGACGGTGAGGAGGATGGGTGTTCGTGTTTGGAATGGAAGTCAACTTCCATTATAACATCACGCAGTGATGACTTTTCTGGGGTACTCTCTCCCCTACATTTTGTCTGTATACCACTAGGACCTGCTTGTGGCTCACTACTTGTATTTCTCACTAAAAACATGTCTAGCGACACTTGTTTTTCCCTATGTTGTAACACTTGTCTGAAGTGAGACATCACATTGTCATTAAAAAGCTTAACACAATGGCCTGCAATAGCTTGATTTGGGTGACACTTTTCAGCAAGACTTTGCAGTTCTTCCCATAATTCACACATTTTCTTAATAAATGAGGAAGGGACATCCTCTACTCTACATCAACAATCTTCATACCATTATCATGTTTACAAATGATCTCTTGTTTTTCTTCTATGGTCATCCTCACATGTGTTTTCTTTGGTTGAATGTTACCACTGACCTTCTTGGGACCCATGGCATGATATAAAATAATTACTTTTATGTTCAAAAAACAAAAAAGCCCCAAAATAATTAAATTGTTTACACGCACGATCGTCACTAAGCAGGCAGCTCTGGTAAACTGAGGCAGGGTCGGCCATGCCACCAGGAACCATGTGATCGGTCGATCCATACGCATATCAACAAAGTTGCTAGTCGAGGCAAAGGTCGTAAATCGAGTCGTATTTTCTGACGAAATTTACGTCGAAACTCGACAAATTTGTAAGAAGGGGAAGTCGTAAGTCGAGGTGCCACTGTACTTTAGACCCCCACCGCATACTGCAAGGTAGCTTGTTGTTACCCGAGAGCTCACCACTCCAGTGTTTATTCCCTTTTCAGCCTTCTCACCTCATGTCAAGATACCACATGGGATATACAGAGAATGGGAAGAAGTTGGCGCTCATTTTACAACAAGTCCCTTAGAATTCGGACAATAAATGGAATTTAAATTTTTTTTTTTAATTAATGACACCGAGTCATTAGGTACACTCCAAATTTTGGTTCTGTAACGGAATATGCAGCATCGGGTAATGAAAGTTTTCCCTTAGTACGTGTTGGTTGCTTTCAATCCATTCTTTCTTCCGGCCGTCACTACTGCGGTGCGGACTTATTCAGCACATTTTCATTTTTGACCCAGCAGAGGTTCTTTAAAACTCGATGCCATGCTGTATATTGCACTTCAGAGCATGATTCATGTTCAAGAATACAGTGGAATTACTTGAGGGAGCAACCAAATGTAAAAACTCAAAGAATATTTGTAATCCATTATGCAAATATCTGTGGATTGAAAAAAATGCCTCGCTTTTCACTTTTTGGTTAGGTAGTAATGTTTGTCATATATTCTTGAGTATATACTTAAATACAAAATTTTGTTTCAGATGTGACTACACCAACATCCATCTCAAGTATTTCTTCCTGTACTATGACTTGCACATCAACATCTGTTCAGTCTCCTTCATCCTCAACTTCATCTGCCAGTTCTTTTACTCTTTCAACATCCTCCACCACCCTTCCTGCTCCTTCATCTTCCGCGTTTCATCCTCCACCTTCTAATTCTGGATCATCCACATCATCCTCATCTGTGACCAGTGATAGAATGGATATGTTGCTTCAGTTGCCAGCAGTGAAGTTTCTTACGAGATCTGACTTCTTCAGCGTCCTACATATGAATGATGTAAGAACAGGTCTTGAAGTTATTTGTTCATATCTGGGGACTAGTGTTGTATTAGTCAAGTTATGAAAACAGTTGTTTACTTTTCTGACAATCGGGGCAAGAGATAAAATGTATATCTGGATTTCATTGCATAACTAGATGTATCATCCCTAAATATGTATGTATTTTCAAATTTCTGACTATGTCACCTGATAGGGGGTTGGGTTATTTGTTTTAGCCACTTTATTGTGATTTTATTCTCTGCCTATTTGACTGTTAATTATGTTGTACAGTATTTGGAGACCTCGGCAGATACTAGTGGTGGTGATGACTTTTGTGTGTGTGTGTGTGTGTGTGACAGTGATAGTGTTTTGAAATTATGCTTAACCATATTGTGTCCAACAAAAGTAATGCATTTGATACTTTAAACTATATAAAGCATTCTTAACATTTTCATTTTCTTTCCTAGGAAGCCTGTGCAGTCTATGAAAGAAGTGCATCCCTTCGGCATATGATTTCCAGAGTGCGACGTGATCCAGCAGCATTTGCACGTTACCAGCACAACCGTGACCTTGTCAATCTTGTTAATTTATTTTCAGATAAAGAACGTGATTTGCCTCTTGGATGGGAAGCTAAATATGATCGTTCAGGGAAGGTAAAGTGAGAAGTCTTTTTACTGGTTTACTTTAATTTTTAATTTACTTTAAGAGTCATCCAAGCACTTTCATGATCGGTTGACTCTTAACACCTCACAGCACGCTTAACTTTGCTTTGCTTTCCAGTGACACTTCTATGTGACATTAAATTATAAAGATCCTCAAAGTATTTCACTATAGTAACCATTATTTCTGGATTACAATGATTCAAGCACAATTGATGGTTATGCTTACAAATTGTTTCACTTTCAATATTTATAGAATAAACATTATTAACCCATAATATGTGGCTTTGGATTTGCATGCATGTCCAGCATTGAATGTAATGAAATGCCAGTTTCTGGGTGAGCCTTCGAGGCTCCCACAAGCTATCATGAGTGATTAACCACCGTGCTGCACTGCCTTAAAATGTGGCACTCCCACTGTGTGCACAAAAAATTCTATGCAAAAAATTATTTGTCCTTCCAAAAAGTGTTAAGTACCCTCCTCTGATCACAGATATGTTGAAAATATTACACAAACGTACTTCCTTTGGCCGAAGTTGTGTTCAGAAAATGGTGTGTAATGTCACGGCTTGGCAGTCGCCCATGCTGTAGACTCCCGGAGGCATTCGCGGGCAGGCTTTAACAAGTACAAGTTGCCACAAATATTTTTATGTTCATTTTTCTGCACAATTACAAATGAATTTTTTTCTGGCTAATCTTATGTATATTGAACACGTTTATATTATTCAGGCAGTACAACATCTGTACTTTTCAAATTAACTGCATTACATGTATCACAAACGTGTCCACAAACATTGTTCATATTTTCTATATTACATGTTCGATTATGTACATTTACAACTTATTTACACACTGTATACTATCACAGAATATATACATCACCTATCAACACACTTAGAACTGCACGAGTGTGTGATAATCAGTGAAGCAATCAACAGAGCATAAGGCAACTTTGCACTCGACGCACAAAGTGCAGATGGATCTTTGCTTCTGTTCCCTACGTTGTGTGTTCTTGCAAGCAACGCAGGCATATTTACCCTTTTCTCATGTGCCTGTGCCTGGCATATAACCAAGCTTTTATACAACCAGAATTTCTTTATCCCTGAGTCTGTCAGGAACTGAGTGAGGCATTGATGCTGGCACCCCCACACAGCACAACACTGCCCTCCACCCCATACTTTACCAGTAGTTATGACACTAGAGCAACACTAAATGTACGGATTGGTGGTCTCTTGCCAGATTTCACGAGATACATGTTGAAACAGTTCAGCACTGCAACATGAATGAGGTGGAAATTTTTTTTCTTAGTCCACTTCACAGAGTTTTGCACGCACTCGACGGCACCAACCATCATGTCATATTTACCTATTAACTGCATATTTACATTGCAGTCAATGACACAATCAGGTTTATACATTGGCAACCTTGTTGCAAAGTTCACTTTGCCACTGTCCAACATGGCACCGGTTTGAATAGTTGTCAACATATTCACCTCACATCTGTTCCTTCAGTGCACTGACAACATTTGATCACACTTTCTCAGCTGGCATTCACCCACTGCCATACCAGTGCCAAATACAGGCATTTCCCTCCTGTGGGTCTTGACTGTGCCAGACATGCTGGAGTTGTGGTCAAGGAGAAATCTGGTTAGAAAGGGGCTGGTATAGTAGTTGTCCCTGAACAAGATCTGCCCCATGTTCAGCAATGGTTCCATGAGTGTTTTCACAACACTGCCTGAGAACCCGTGTGGATCTGGACCTGGTATATCAACATCTGTACCTGAATACAATATCATGTCCATAACCATACCAGTTTTGCAGTCACATAACACAAAGAACTTTAGTCTGAACCTGTGCTGCTTTGATGAAATGTACTGCTTGAACATCAGTCGTCCTTTGAAGAGGACTAGCGATTCATCGATCACGACATTCTGTGCTGGTACAAAATAGTCACTGAACTTTCCTCTAAAGTCACTAAATATCTTCCACATCTTCCACAGTCTGTCATGTCTTCTTCTTCTTGTTGATAGTAGGTGCAGTTTGCATGAAGGGTTTGTCCTCCCGATGACTGCACCAGGACTGATGTTGTTGGACGCGTTTATGTTGAAGATGATCGGAGCTACCAAAGTGCTTGTTGCTTTGTGCTGTAGATAGAGGAACGGTGATTAAAACAGAGGTGTGTGTTAGAGGGAGACTTGCCGCACCGTAGGGCGGTGTGTTGTGTTTATGGCGTCAGCTGATCCTTGGTGTTGCGACGAGGTAGTTGTTTTCTGTGTTTAGCTGTTGGTGGCGCCAGGTATAAACGTGGCGCGGGTCAGATGTGACCCAATTTGTTGGTCGATTGGAGATATTTAGCCAGTGCTTTGACTATTTGGTATTTTTCTTGTGACGAGTGGTCACCGCCTCCTAATATATGCTCGATGGTGAAGGGTATTTTAAGTGCGATAAAGACTTGTTTGAAATTTACTCTGGCACTATAATGTCGGAAGCAGTGCAGGAGATAGTGTTCGACTGTTTCAGGCACCTGACAGTGAGTACAGAGTTCGTTGATGTCTGTTCTGTACTTAGAGCTGTGTGCTGCTAGTTTGGTGTGTCCCAGCCTTAATCTGGTCATCGTTACATCAATTTCTCTGCTTTTATATCGGACATGTTTCCAAGTTTCCCATTTCTTTTTAATGGACCCATAGTGCAAAGGTGAGCATAACGTTTTCCAGTTTGTTGCAAAATCCTTTGACATGGTATCTTTGAAGGCTCCTTTACGTGCAACATGGGGAATTGGATGACGGGTGAGGTGAGGCGTGTCGTGCATTGCTTTGGCTAGTTGGTCTACAAGTTCATTATGGAGAATACCACAATGTGCTGGGACCCATTGGATAGAGGTGTCATAACCGTTCAATTGATGTTTGTGAAGAAGTTGAAGGCATGGGTAGACAATCTCCTTGCATGTTTTCGAAGAGTACGAAATTGCTTGAATCGCGCTCTTGGAGTCACTACAGATTGTATATATCCCAACTGGTAATGTTGTGATGATTTGGAGAGCTTGATACAAGGCATATAATTCCGCTGTGAAAATAGATAGATGGTTTGGTAACCGCCATCCCTGCTTGAGATGGTATTCCGGTATCCATACAGCGCAAGTGACCGAGGGTACGTTGACTTTATCTGGTCGATGGCAGACATAGAATGCTTCCAACCACACGGGGGTTTCTATAGGCCATTGCTCCCCTTCCCGCTTCTGAGGGGGCCAGGTTCTGGGTCGTGGTCCCCGGTAGGCCCATAGAACTCCATACACATGACTGATGCCAAAGTCTAACATTAGCATATCAGCCTAGTAAGCTCCAGGGAGCCTCCGGGTCTCACCCAGAAAATGGTGTTTCATTACATTCAATGCTGTTTTTTTTTTTTTTACTGTATAAAAACATTCTATTTGTTGACTGAACCACACACTAGAAAGTGAAGGGTTCATTCACAATCGACTTGATAATTGTCCAGGACAGACCGAAACGTTGTTGTCCCTTCACTTTCTAGTGTGTGGTTTGGTCAACATATTTCAGCCACGTTATTGTGACTCCTCGTCTGCATTCTATTTGTTCATTGTATCCCTAGCATACAAAATATGATTCATTAATATGTGAAGACTGCTTGTGTAACAAACTGGCAGTATTCTTATGAGCTGTACAGCCACAATACTACATATGAGGCAACAACAAAATTACAAAGTCTGATATGAGTTTCTTTACTAGATAAAAGTAAATATTTTGTTTTATTGTGATATGCTGTGGTTGTGGTTGTTCAACTTAATTATAACTAAGGCAGCATTTAATTTGATTGAATAAATGTCTTTTCAGCTATTCTTCATTGATCACTCCAGTAAAACTACATCATTCATGGATCCCAGACTTCCCATTGATGCTCCTTTTATAAATGCAAGCAAGTTAGCATTGCCAAATCATCATCGCAGATCACGTTCTCCTGGAGATGAGGATGCTGCCCGGGTCAGTTTTCTCACAAACTTTTAAATGAATTATAACTACATTTTAGTTGCTACTTTACATATCATTAATTCTAGATTATTTAATCAAATAAATTACTCATAACCTGAGGATGAACTCAAAACGTGTCCAGTTTTATGTAATTTGTAATAGATAATGCCTGTCTAATATAGTGTTACAGGTTAAACAGTTTTATCTAGACAGTATGAGAGCTTAGTGTTCATAATATAGGCCAATAACAAGTTCATATAGGCCAATAACATTCCCAAAGATCAGTTTGCAGAGTATAACTCCAAATGGTTTGAAAACAAAATATTCTTGTATGGTTAATGGATTGCTGGCCTTAATTACACATTTGGTCATTTAATTTTATACCTTCTAATAATATGCAATTTTGTTATTTCTTGTAGCATCCCAGAGTTGTATATTATTTGAATATGTTTTCTCTATTAAAGTTTTCTGTATAGTAATAGACACAAATATCAAGGGCTTTGAAAAGCAATGCTTATTTTGTTCCTTTAAAGATGATAACTTTGCCTAGCTAACTTATATATTCTGAGGAATGAAATAATGAATAATTCTCAGGCTGCCTTTTAAATTGATTAGAACTGTGTGAGTTGAGTATTGTATGTGTGTGTGTGTATTGTGCAATTACTTAAGTGCCTAAGTGTAGATGCAGGATGAGAGCTACTCTCATGGTGTCCCATCTTCCCAGTACTTTGTCATATAATGCTTTGAAACTGCTAATGGTTTTGGCCTCCACCACCTTCTCACCTAACTTGTTCCAACCGTCTACCACTCTGTTTGCAAAAGAAAACTTTCTAATATTTTTTCTGCATCTTTGTTTTCTTAGCTTAAATCTGTTGCTAAGCTGTTTTCTTAGCTTAAATCTTAACATCTCTTCGGTGGTGTGCGAGGTCGGAGTATTATTCCTAGGTACTCGGGTTGCATGCGCTTAGGACTCCCTTCCCTACGTGCCCTGTAAGTATCGCCCTAGGGGCTTGGGGTTGCCTTCCACATGTCACCTTGAGTCTACCTTGGTTGGTCTTTTGCTGCTTGGTGATTGCCCCCCCTCCCCCCTCCCCCGAGTGTTTTGGGGGGTTTTCCTCCCTAGTTTGCCTTGGGGTAAGTGGTAGTTTTTGCACAGGTTTTGCACAGACCCCTGGCACGACCCAGGGGTCGTGCCAGGGCCCGCGGTTCCGCCCGTCGAGGTGGACCACAGGTGCCAGTTTCGGAGCTGGTGCAGCTTTTGGTCCCGGCTGCACCTGGTCGGCGCGGTGCTCACTCTGTGCGCAGGTCAGGTTCTTGTAAGGGGCATTGGTAATTTTGCGGTTTGCCCCATTGACGGGACAATGGGGGGGTGGTTTGCTCTGTTCGTTCACGCCTGGTCCCACGATTCGTGGGCTTTTCAGGTCATTTCGGTGGCGTTAGGTGGCTCCTACCCCTTCGGGGGGTTCGGGGCTGGCAGGGCAGGCCTCTTCTGCTGCTCTCTGTCAGGTCGTCTTTGAGTATGTGTACTTGGGTGTGGTCAAAACGACGACATCCCTCAGGTGGGTTTCCCGCCTGTTTCCAGTTCCAAAATGGGACTGTACAGACCACCTGCAGTTCATTCTGGACTTGTGCCTTCTGAACTCCTGGGTTCTTTGCCCCTCCTTTAGGATGACCACTCTGTCCCAGGTTCGGCTTCTGTTGGAGCCGGGCGCTTGGATGGTGTCCCTGGCGCCCGTGAGGCCGAGCGGACAGCACGCTGGACTTGTGATCCTGTGGTCCTGGGTTCGATCCCAGGCGCCGGCGAGAAACAATGGGCAGAGTTTCTTTCACCCTATGCCCCTGTTACCTAGCAGTAAAATAGGTACTTGGGTGTTAGTCAGCTGTCACGGGCTGCTTCCTGGGGGTGGAGGCCTGGTCGAGGACCGGGCCGCGGGGACACTAAAATGCCCTGAAATCATCTCAAGATAACCTCAAGATAACCTCAAGGATGCTTATTGGCATGTTCCGATTCATCCGGGGTTCAGAGACTGACTCGGTTTTCTTGTGGGGCGTCAGAGTTACTGCTATTGTTGTCTCCCGTTCAGGTTGAATCTGGTGCCTAGCTTTTTCAAATGACTTACCTGGGTCGTGGTGGCTTACCTCGACGACTGGCTGGTTTGGGCTCCCAGTTGGTCCGCGTGTCTGTTTGCCAGGTGTTTGGTGCTTTTCCAGCTAGCCGGGTTCAGCTTCCTGGTGAACTGGTGGAAGTCCCATCTGGTTCCCTCCCAGGTTCGGACCTGGCTGGTTCTTGTGTGAGAGACTCGGACCGCTTTCTTGTCTCTCCCTCTGGAGTCTCTTCTTTGGCTGCGGTCCTGCATGCGCTTGTTTCTGGGGGCTCCTGGGTCACCCAGTGGTTGCTCGAAGGTCTGTGCAGGAGCCTGATCATTGCGATGATGGTCTACCCTCCGGGTCGGGTTTGGCTTCGTCGGCTGTTCTGGTTCCTTCAGGGGCGACCCTTCCGCCTCTCTCGCGATCGCTGGTTTCGACCCCCAGGGGCCTTACATCGGCTGCTGCATCGCCGGCTTCCTCTTCTGGTTTTTCGGGGTTCAGTGCCTTGGCGCCTACCCGAGCCCTCGCTTGATGTCTTCCCGGACACGTTGTCTCTCTGCTGGGGCTTTGTGACCAGTGCTCACCAGGCCGGCCGGGACAGTGGGGTCCATCCTTCCATCGGGCCCACAGCACGGTATGGGAGTTCGCGGCGGAGTGGTTTGCACTTTAGAGGGTTCGGGTCGCCTGCTGATCAACAAACGGGTTCCATTCTGACTGCTCCCAGGAGGTTCATTGCCTGAACCAAGGGGGTTCGATGTGGTCCTTGGCTCTTTGGGGTTGGTCGCTTCGGGTGACTCGTCTGCTGAGTTCTTGGGGTTTGGATCTCCTTGCGGTTCACGTCTGGGGCGTGTCCAATGTCCTGGTGGATGGCCTGTCCCAGTTCGTTCTCCTGTCTACGGAATGGACGGTCGATGCCGACTCATTCAGTTGGCTCTACCAGACAATTGGGCGTCCGGAGGTGGACCTCTTTGTGTCGCCGTGGTCGAGGCGTCTTCCTATATATGCGGCACCCTTCCCCGACCGCGAGGCTGTCAGGATTGACACCTTTCAGGATCGATACCTTTTGGCTGGACTGGAATCTGCTTGGGCCCTGGCTTTTAGATTTTCATCCTTTTTTTGTTCGTTACTGTTTGTAGATTCTGCAGTGGTGCATTTTCTGCAGGCAGCGATGGGGGGGAGGGGGGAAGCTCGCGCTGTTTGCTCGTGCCTTGTCCCACGAAACCAGGCTTTTTCGGTCGTTTCCTTCGGCCTGTGGTGGTGATGGGTGGCTCCTCCTTCTTCAAGGGGTTCGGGGCTGGTGGAGCACCCCTCTTTCCCTGCACTCTGTTGAGTTATCCTGGAGTGGGTATCCTTGGGCATGGTTGAAACGACAGCATCCATCAGGCAAGTTTCCCGCCTGTTTCCAGTTCTGACATGAGACTGTGCGGACCTGAGGTTCATTCTGGACTTGTCCCGTTTGAACCCCTGGGTCTTTTGCCCCTCCTTTTGGATGACTACTGTCCCAAGTTCAGCTGCTTTTGGAGCTGGGCGCTTGGATGGTGTCCCTGGGCCTCTAGGACACGTATTGGCATTTCCAGATTTATCCGGGGTTCAGGGACTGGCTCGGTTTTGTCGTGGGGCGGTGAGCTTACCACATTCGTTGCCTTCCATTCGGCTTGTATCTGACATCTCGTTTGTTCTCATGCCTTACCCGGATCGTGTTGACCTGTTTGCGTCTGTTAGGGGTTCGCATTCTGGCTTACCTCGATGACTGGCTGGTCTGGGCTTCCAGCTTGTCCACATGTCTGCTTGCCAGGGATTTGGTTCTTTCCCAGCTCGCTAGGTTCGGGTTCTTGGTGAACTGGAGGGAACCAAATCCCATTTGGTTCCCTCTCAGGTTCAGACTTGGCTGAGTCCTGTAAGGGACTCTTGGACTGCTTACTTGTCTCTCCCTCCTGCGCCGTTGCTGCTGCTGTGGTCCCGCCTTCGGCTGTTTTAGGGGGGGGAGCACCTGGGTCACTCGTTGGTTGATAGAGCAGCTGTGCGGGAGTCGAAACTTAGCCGTGCTGGTCTGTCTGTCGAGTCAGATCTGGCTCAGCGGCTGTTGTGGTTCCTTCGGGATGTCCCTTCCGCTGCTCTTGCTATCGCTGGGTTCGGACGTCAGACGGGTTGTGTCGGCTGCTGCATTGCCAGCTTCCTCTTCGGGTTTTTCGGGGTTCAGTGCCATGGCGCTTACACGAGTCCTTATATGATGTGTTTACTGATGCATCATTTCTGCATGATGCTGCATGGAGCCGGTCAGCCGAGTGGACAGCACACTGGACTTGTGATCCTGTGGTCCTGGGTTCGATTCCAGGTGCCGACGAGAAACAATGGGCAGAGTTTCTTTCACCCTATGCCCCTATTACCTAGCAGTAAAATAGGTACCTGGGTGTTAGTCAGCTGTCACGGGCTGCTTCCTGGTCGAGGACCGGGCCGCGGGGACACTAAAGCCCCGAAATCATCTCAAGATAACCTCTCAGCTGGGGCTTAGTGACCAGTGTTCAACTAGCCTGCCAGGGTTGGTGGGGTCCGTTCTTCTGTCAGGCTCACAGCATAGTGTAGAAGTTTGCAATGATGTGGCATTCGCTTCAGAGGGTTCGCGTCGCTCGCGGATCGATGATCCGGCTCCATGCGGACCTCTCCCCAGTGGTTCATTGTCTGAATTGTAGAGGTTCGATGCAGTCTTTGGCTCTTTGGGACTGGTCGCTGCAGGTGACTCGTCTACTGAGTTCTCGGGTTAGGCTCTCCTGGCGGTTCATATCCAGGGAGTGTCCAACATCCTGGCAGATGGCCTGTTTCGGTTTATTTCCCCTGTCCCGTAATGGACGGTCTACGCCTACTCGTTCCATTGGCTCTGTCGGATGTTCGGGCGCCCAGAGGTAGACCTCTTTGCTTCGGCCTGGTCAAGGTGTCTTCCGGTGTTGTTGCAGCAGGTGCTGGCTCGCTTGGGGATTTACCAGGGGAGAGTAGACCTGTTGCCTCCTTGGTTGCCGGGCCAGTCTTGGTTTCAGACGTTGCTTGCTCGGTGGTCGAACCCGAGGGTCTTCCTGTGGCTCTGCCACTTTCAACTGATCGGTCTGGTCCAATATGTGCTGGTTTGATCTTCTCATCTAATCATTGCGTCTGTTTTTTTTTACGCGGGCTTATCACCACATGTATGGTGATCAGGTGGCTTCAATGATGGTTTCCATCCCACGTGTTTCGTCTCGACAGCAGTGTGAAGTTTCCTGGCAATCCTTTCGGCACTTCTTGACTTTTCGTTAGTTGTCTTCGATTTCTTATCGGGTTGTTTTGTCCTTTCGGACAAACCTCTCTTGGTAGTTTCAAGACAGTCATCTTATGCCGAATACTGTTGCCTAGTATCGTGCAGTGCTGGCAGAGCTTCTGCAGCTTGCATTTGGGGTGGGTGTCACTTTCGCTCCATTCCGCAAGTTTTCTTGGGCATTGTTTCACCTCCGGCTTGCTCATGCACCACCTGAGCTGTCCTGTTGAAAGGACGGGGTGGACCAGGTGCTCTCTTTTCTCTCTTCTCCTCAGTTTGTTGTGGCGTCTTTGGTTCAGGACTGTTTTTCTAAGGCCCTTTTCTTGTTGGCATTGGCCTCTGGGGTTCGGGTCGAGAAGCTTTTTGGAACAGGGTCGAACAGGGTCCTGGCTGAACGGTACCTTGTTCATGTTCTGGGTCCTTCACGGGCTTGTATAGCCTTGGGTCGCAGGTTGCAGCCAGTTGTCTCTACTTCAAGTTGAGGAGTGAGTGGCAGCCGCCTCTCGCGTTAGTCCCTCTTTTCCTTTATCTTTGGTCAGGTAGCTCTGGGAAGCCGTAGGGGCTCTCCACAGAAAACCAGCGTTGTATGTAATGAAACGCCATTTTCTGGGTAAGACCTGGAGGCTACCTGGCATATCCTGTCAGCGTTTTTTAAACGTTTTTGATACTCAGCCTCTGAACTGGGGATGGGTAGCTGGACGTGGGAACTGGAGGGGAAAGCTGTGCAGACAGCGGCATGGTGTCTGTGGTGACATCGTGCTTGTTTGCTTGTTTTCTGATTGGGGAGTTCTGCCTGTTTGTTCGGCTTTCAGTTTCCAATTTTTAACCAGCTGTAGTTTGTTTTGGGATTCATACCTTTCTGGGTGCCTGACCTGGTAGATAACAGACATAGACTGCTTTCAACACATGAGGGGGTGTCTATAGGCCATTGCTCCTCGTGCTTTTCTGAGGCAGGCCAGGTTCTGGCTCGTGGTCCCCTGTAGACCTAGAACTCCATCGATTGACTGTTGCCATGGTCTAATATATACATATTACTCCGGGAAGCCTTTGGGTCTAACCCAGAAAATGGCATTACATTACATTCAATGCTGGTTTTTCTCTCTGACACTCTCACAATTTCTGTTGAACCACTCCTGTTTTCTGGTTTTGCATCTCTGTTTTGGTATGAATGTTTGTTATTTCATCGTATATTTCGCAAAATTTGGTATATATATCTTGTTTACTTCCTTGCCTAGCAACAAGTCTGTCCAATTAAACTCGATAAAAAAATCTACGTTTCCCATAGTGTGCTCTCTTTAAATCGACTTTATCAGCTGTTTCAATGTCCCCATTCTCTTCTAGATTATATCATATTTAATCTCAATAGGACATGATCACTCTTCCCCAAGGGTGGAAAGTACTGGATGTCAAACATCTCTTTCCTGGTGAATATTAGATCCAGTACTGGCAGAACATCCCCTTCCCTCATTCTTGTGGCCTGCTTGACGTGTTGATATATGAATGTCTCCAGAATGAGGTTTATAAATCTGCCTGTCCAAATGTCCGCCGTTCTTACTTCATAGGTCTCCCAGTCTATTGCTTTCAAGTTGAAGTCCTCCAGTACCAACAATTGTGACTTATCTCTATCTGCCCTTACTATAATCTCTCTCATGACTTTTCGCTTCATCGAGGTTTGTTTTCAGCTTACCTCTGTCCTCCTCCTGAAAGGTCTTGTCTTATTGACCAAAGTTTGCCAACCTCATCATTCTGAAATTTCCTGGCATTTCTAAGCACTTCCGTCATGTGTTTCATTCCATTAAATGTCACCCTTAAGGGGCGATTCTTGTCTTTCTCATATTTTCCTATCCTAAAATCAATGACATTTTTCATTGAATTGAGGGTTTCTAAAACTGCTATTGCTCTGTGATTTTCATCTTTTCTGCTGCTCTGTCCACCCTAGATCATATTTCCTTTTCTAAACACCTGAAAATTATTATGGACTTGCTTCTACAGTGTTTTGTACTAATTTACTGTTGGTAACTTGCTCTTTCCTAATTGCTTGCCTAAGTTCTGCTTCTTGTTGGTCATTTCTGCTTTTGACTTCCAAACACACTTCCTTGATCGTCTCCTTCTCTTTTACAACTTGCGCATATGTCTCTTTTTATTTCTTCTTTCTAGTTCTTTATTAACCTCTTCTTTTTATAATTGTCCATGAAATTTTTCATTGCATATCTTTGCCTAACTCTATGTTGGCCTTTAGAGTTTCTTGGAGTTGTTTACCATATGAGACTATTTTCTTGTTAATGTTGTCAAATTCACCACTCTTCACTTTCCATACCTCATTTCCTTTCATTAGTTCCTTGATTTGTTCCTCGTGAATCTTTATTTTGTCCGTTGAGGCAATAATTTTGTTTCCTTGTTGAAGAATACTTCCTTTTAACTCACTCCTATGAGCTCCATTTTTTTTTATAATTCAAGTACTTTTTCTTCATACTTCTTTAGCATATCCTCAATTATCTCTAACCTGCCAAGAAAATCTCCTTTCATTATATCTTGTGGCAAGAATCCTTTGAAACAATCATCTGTTGGTGTGTTTACCTTCCCTGTCGTGGCGGCCATCTTTGTTATTGACGATCATTTGTTATGGAGTATAAACTTTTCCAACAGAATTTTCACTCGCCTTCACTTATTTCTTGTATCTTATTTACTTTTAAACTTCCCTATACCTTTATGCAACCTGGGACACCATTTACAGCCCTCAACCTGTTCCCAATACTTGGGGAATTTGATATTCCTGGAGCCTGCTACAGTGACTCCTGTGTTCCTGGCACTGCTAAATAGATCAGAACACAAACAAAAGTGTGTGTGTGTGTTCACGTGCGCATGTGTACTTGTTCTTGTATATTATTACCTGTATTTTATTACCTGCTTTAATTACAGGTAGTGTCCCATCTTACTACAGTAGTATATTTGTGATAAAAAATAGTGATATAACTTCCATTAGTTTAGGCATGCAATTTCCTCATGGAATTTATTCGAACCATTTACAACTCTGTTCATAAAAAAGTGCTTCCAGTTATCTTTCATCCATAAATGCTTTTCAGTTTTGTAGCTATGACCTCCAGTACTGCTTGTTTACTATAAAAGAACCTCTACCTTCTCTTGTTTCTTTTTACCTCAATTGTTTCCTTAGGCAAGGTTCTTAGTTTAAAGTTCAATAACCTGATATTTCTTATAAACCCCTAAGGAATAGTATATTGTGGCTGGGAAATTGTGGGAGTTCAGTACAGTATTTTGCAATACAGTATATTGCAAATAGTTAGAGGAATCAGAGACGTGTCTGAAGTCTCTCACAGGTATAGATACAGTACAGTATGTCAATTTCCAATTATACATTGTGCTTACACATTGTAAGACTTAGTGCTTTCTCCTGCTAAGTACCTTACACAGGATATTAATCATGTTACACAAATTACACAAAATCCAGCCAGCAAGGAATGGCCATAATTTTTGTGTGAGACATGTCTAAAATATTCATAATTTTATGGCTTATGGCAGATTACCAGAAATTTATGAGCATAAAATGCAATAAAATTTTCCCTAGAGAATTAAAAATTACAGCATGTCATTTGTAATTCTATATGATATTATCATAACACAAACTAAGACTCAACTTGGAGGATGGAGAACCTTTCACATTGTCAGGAAGCATTTTCTCCTGAACCGTTCCCTCCCGGATTATAGATAAAACTTAAGGAATACACATTTGCCATATTAATCATAAGTTATTATCTGTTATGTTAGTGGAATGAAGAATTTGTATGTTTTTGTACCAAATGTTGCTGCATGAATTTCTTTATAACAATACTGTACAGTGGACTGTGGCTTAGTAATGATGCTTTTATTAATGTTTAATTTTCACTGCAATCTTTAGTTCTTTTAGTTATACTTATTTGTACAACATCTTATTTTTTAATTATTTTATTATACTGTACTTCTTAAAATGTACATTCTTTGGCTAATAATCATTTTAATTAATTGAGCATGTGCTATTTAACAGCATACTGTTAAACACCTGGGTACTTGTTACTGGACTACTCTTGGCTTGTGAGAGTTCACTAATAAATTAGTGAATATTCCAACTTATGTCATGTAGTACTGATCTTATTGTCACTTAAAGACTATCAGTCTTACTTATATGAATAGCATTTCAAATTGTATAAAAAGAGTACGGTACTGTAAATAGCTTACATTTAAATGCACATAATGTTGAATCCTGGTGACAGCAGAATACTCCAAAATGTTCCATAAAACATTTGTAGAAGCTTGCTTTCAGTATGGTCACTGAGGCAGTGTAGCAAGTAGCTGAGGTAGCCTGAGTTAGCTCTTACCAAGACTCACTCCCCACGCAGGTTCCCATTCCCCCGCCACGCCCACCTACCACAATTGGCAGTGTTTGTGGTGGCATCGCTGCACACGTCACCCCTAACATTCCTACTGCCTACAATGACAAGGTGATATATTGTAGTTCAGCAGTGATAACATAGGGATATTTCAGCCACATGTTATGACTATTGTACATTTGTTAATATGAAAGCATTAAGAAGACATGACGGGTAAATTAATTATAATGCCAAATTTGTCCACTCACTCAGTACTGCTAGCAAGTAGACTTAATAGTTAATTACTCTAATAAAATATTATAATTGTTAAATGATAACAAATTAAGACATCTACATATTAAGTTACAGTATTTGCACAGGGCTCAGTATGGACCTGTGAGAACCAGTATGCACTACAGCAGGTAACCAGTAAAGAAATAACTGACAATCAAGATGGAATCAAAGAACATGATTTAGGAATGTTATGTACTGCTTAGTACATGGTGACATGCTCTGAGGTGGAATTTCTGATGATTTTAGTGACATGCACAGTGTGTATGCAATGTGACATACACACAGAAATCACAATTGCGTGATAAATCAAATGAATAATTCCACAAGGGCCGTGATGAGGGTTCGAACTTACGTCCAGGATGATCCCAGACGTGCCTTAATCGACTGAGCCATAACATGGTCAAAAGAATTGCAACCGGGATTGCTACTGCTCTCACACGGATCCCGCAGTCTCTCCAAGACATAAATCGGGGTTTTACATAATTCCCCCCATGCACTCAGACTCTGTCAACAAGCTATTCTACCTCTTCGCCCTTACTTAAATACACACGTCGTGGTTCAGTCGATTAAAGCGTGTCTGGGATCATTCTGTACGTAAGTTTGAACCCTCTTAAAACCCTTGTAGATTTATTCATCAATGCAACATTTTAATTTTTTGTCAAATCTGACCATTTATGATAATTTTGAGGTTTCCTGTTTTTTCCCCTAATATATACATATATTGTGGGTCAAATTGTATTGTTCAGATTTTGTTTAGTTTCAAAGGTGAATAGTGAGCTGTATAGAGGGGATGGGTTTAGCAATAAGGATGACAATTGTATTGCCTCACAGTAATGATCGAACAATGTATAATAGCTCGATATGTATAAAAGATTATACGTACTAAAGGTATAAGGTTTAACCCTAGTGTGGCTCCGGGCTATTTAGCATTTGTCACCCACAGGCACATACCAAAAAAAAAAAAAAAAATATTTTTTCTTCTAAACCTGTTAATTTGTGTTCTCTGATCATGGGGTAAAATAATAAAAAAATCGTAAGCGGCATATATTGCCCGCTATAGGGTGGGAAAGTCTGGCCAAAAACAGACGCTGACTCAGTGTGCATCCCAGGTGGTCTGTTGCTCACCAGCTGTCAGGCCAGAGTGGCCACAAAGAGATAATTACCTAATTATTTCAATATCTCTGATTGATTTTTCTTAGGTTTTTGGCTGTAATATTATTCAATAGTGTGTAGTGTGATATATTTATATAATAAAATGAGTGAATCATCGCTGTTCTAAAAAATATGGTGTGCATATTGTTGATTCAATTATTATGTTCATCAAGCAGTGAACAAATACTTTGTCAGCTATTACACTATATACACAGGTTATATATAAGTATCTGCATGTTTTGTTCACCATAACAAACCACTGAGTTGCTATTATGAGTCAAAAAGCAACGAGGAGTGACCTCCACACACCAGCCAGCCGATGATGATGTATGTACATCAAGATGATGTACTGAAACAACCATGAAAGAAAGGACACGACAACCCTATCAGAGACCAAAGTACACCTACGCGGAGATAGGACAAACGGAAGGACCGCCAGACAACTTCATACTGATGCCAATACAAAGCCCACAAGTGGGAAACCATCAACGAAGCTATGTGCGCACCATACAAGTGATGACAGACACAAGTCAGAAAAACCAGATGTGAAGACTCGAGGAGAAGAACGAACCATCCTTGTACCGGGCTGGACCAATCTGCTGAAAGAGGCGGAGCTGCAGGAAGACCCTTGGGTTCTGACACCGAGCAAGCACCGCCTGAAACCAAGGCTGTGCCGGCCACCAAGAAGCCAGAAGAACAGCTCTTCCTTGGAAGTCTCCAAGCAAGCCAGGTCCTGGAGTAACAGCGGAACCGGGGGGAAGAGGTATATGTAACCCCTTCTCGCCCATTTCTGCCAAAAGGCGTCGAACCCAAGGCTTCCCCGGCCTCGCAGTCGGGGAAGGGCGCCACGTATACCGGGAGATGAATCAACCACACTGACATGAAGAGGTCCACTTCCAGGGTCCCGAACGTCCGGCAGAGACAACTTAATGACTCAGCGTCGACTGTCCATTCCGTGGACAAGGGAATGAACCAGGACAGGTCCTCCAGGACATTGGACATTCCCCGAATGTGAACTGCTTGGAGAGCCAAACTTCGAGAACTCAGCAGACGAGTCACCCGAAGTGACCAGCCTCAAAGAGCCAAGGACCTTAGCGAACCCCCGTGGATCAGGCAGTGAACCATCGAAGAACTGTCCAAATGGGGCTGGATCATCGATCTGCGAGCGATCAGAATCCTCCAGAACGACGGCCGCACAGCCGCGAACTCCCGCACCGTGCTGCGAGTCCAATGGAAGGATGGACCCCACTGACCCTGGCCGGCCTGGTGAGCACCTGTCACAAAGCCCCAGCCAATAGACAACGTATCTGTGAACACTTCAAGCGAGGGCTCGGGTAGGCACCAAGACACTGAACTCCCAAAACCCGAAGAGGAAGCCGGCAACGCAGCAACCAGTGCAAGGCCCCCAGAGGCTGAACCCAGCAGTCACAAGAGAGGCAGAAGGGACGTCCCTGACGAACCCAGAATCGCTGACGAAGCCGAACCCGACCCGGTGAGTAGACCATCATGGCAAAGTTCAGGCTCCCACAAAAACCCTTGAGCAATCGCCGCATGATCCGGGAGCCCCTCAAAAACAGGCAAAGGTGGGAACACAGCCGAAGCAGAGCCACTGGAGGGAGAGGCAAGGAAGTAATCCGAGTGTCCCACACAAGACCCAGCCAAGACCGAACCTGAGAGGGAACTAGATGGGACTTCTGCCAGTTCACCAGGAACCCGAACCTGGCGAGCTGGGAAAGAACCAGATCCCTGGCGAGCAGACACGTGGACTGGCTGGGAAGCCCATACCTTCCAGTCATCGAGGTAGGCCAGAACCCAAACACCTAACAGAAGCAAGTGGGCCACCACGACCTGAGTAAGGCGTGTGAAAACATGAGGTGCCAGATTCAAACTCCATTGATTGACTGTTGTCACGGTTTAATTATATACACATCAGCCCAGCATAGCTCTGAGGAGCCTCCGGGTTTCACCCAGAAAATGGCGTTTCATTACATTCAATGCTGGTTTTATATTTTTTCTGTGGAGAGCCCCTTCGGCTCCCCAGAGCTATACCGGGCTGATGTGTATATATTAGACCGTGGCAACAGTCAATCAAAGGAATTCTTAGCCTACTGGGGACCAGAGCCAGAACCTAGCCCCCTCAAGAGAGGCACGAGGAGTAATGGCCTAAAGACACCCCTGTGTAATTGGAAGCAGTCTTTGTCTGTCATCTACCAGGTCAGGCACCCAGAAAGGTAGGAATTTCAAAACAAACTACTGCTGATCAAAAAATTGCAAACTGAAAGCCGAACTAGCAGACATAACGCCCCAATCAAAAACAAGGAAACAAACATGACGTCACCACAACCGCCGCACATCCGTCTGCACAACCCCTCCTCTTCCCGGGAAGGGGACAGGGGGTCCCAGATCTCCACGCCGGCATCTCTCCTCGTTTCAAGAGGCTGTTGTGTTGGTGACGGTCGATCGCTCTGGCGCCACTCTTTGCGCAGTGCTGCAGTGTGGTGTTGTTGCTCTGTTTTGGTGGCAAGAGAGCTAGAAGTAACACAAGAGTACTGGGGCTGCATGCACCTAGGGCCCTAGGTGCCCTGTAAGTACTGCCTTTGTGGCCTCAGGGTTATCTTCCATGAGCCGTTCAGGAACAGCTACCTCCGTGTGGTTCTCTCGCTGCTCGGTGATTGCCCATTCTTGGGGGTTCAGCTGTGGAGGTTCTTACTCTTGTTTGCCCTTGGGTAGGAGGTAGTTTCGTCGCTGGCTGGGGCACAAGGTACTGTGCAGCTATCTGATATACGCATAGCAACCGGTTCTGTTCACCTGGAGACGTTGTGCTTTTGCAGGGTTTTCTTTTGTTTTGTTTTGCCTGGTGGGGGTCTGCCTTGTGTGGCGGTAGGACCACTTGTAGGATTTTGGTGGCCCCTCCACTAGGTCCCCATGCTTGCACATGTCACAGGGGTTCAGCTTTTAGTTGCTTGGTAGCTCTGGGATAACCGGTTTGCAGTACCTCGCCTGGGCTTCCCTTAGCAGTCAGCCTAAGGGCCCTGGAAACCCCCCTTTGGGGCTCAGTGGTCCAATGTAGGAGACCTCTGAGTCTCACCTCGCCTTGTGCGTGTTTGAAGGTTGCTCTGTCCCCTTGTCTCGGGTGACACTCACTGTCTGCCTCTGCCTTGCTGCCTGTTGGGGTCAGTGACACCTTTGACCCGGAGTCCTGCGAGTGGTGTTCTTTGCTTGTACTCCATTCACCCAGTCCACTGAGACTGATATTAGGGTGCAGGCAGCTTTAGCGTTACATGTGAGATTTAGGTTGCAGCAACGTGCGAGGTTGGTTGCCTTTCCCGATGCTCCGCAGCTGCCCCACTACATAATAATGGTAGTGAGATTCGGGTGGCTTCGGGGATTGCCCCTTCCAGATCGGCGGCAGAGGCATTCGAGCCTGGTCCTCCTGCTGGAGCTTTTGGGCCACGCCAGCGGGTCCCCTTTATTCCTGCTTTTCCAGTGGACTCTTTTTCTCCAGAGGCAGAGGGTTTGGAGGACGGCTCGGCCCCGGATCTTGACGTAGAGGATTCCAGGGCTAGGGAGGAGTTGACTTGGGAGGCCTCGGCCCCACTTGTCCCTGCTTGGGTGTTTGGTACCCTCGGTGCGGGGCTTGTTACAGGGGGAGGGATTTTCCTATCCCCCTCCCTGTATGATTTTGTTATGAGTTTGACTCCTCCCCGGCTTCGGTTCTGAGTTCCCTTGGGTTCTTCGGTTCCCTCCTTCTGGAGGTTTTTGGCTTCCCACATCCCACTGAGGAAGGTGTGGGAGGCCCTTGAGGCTTACCTCCTGCGAGCCCCGGATTACGCCTCAATGATGAAGCCTTCTTCTTTCGAGTTTGGCTCCTCTTTTCCTTAATGGGTGCATTGCAAGGTGCCGGAGTCTTCCTGGCAGGCAGACTGTCTTCTTTTGTTGGGGGCTTGGCATTCGTCCTGTCGGACTGCACACTTGAATGGTTGAATGGCGAGAGTTGGCTACGGTCGTTCAGGTTTTCCCGGGGGGGGGGGGGGGGGTGAGTTGGAGCACCTCAATGCGTGCTTGTTCGCCCCCATCCTTCCTTATGATGTCGGCCAGGTGCGGCTTCACGTGCCGGTTCCCTCCCTTTCGGCATCCCTGGTGGCCAAGTATTAGTGCGCCTGTGGGCATTTGTCTTCGGTCTTGCGCTTCTTTTCTCTGCTGGAGCTGTCTTCAGACTGGCTAATGGTGGGTGTGGAGGAGCTGGGTTCCAGGCCCGTGTCCAGTGTGCTTGCTTTGGCAGCTTGGGCGCCGGCTGCCTTGGTGAATTTGTATGAGCCGTTTCTGAGGGAGGTGGTGTCTGTTCTTCACTTCTTACCTGGAGTGCTGACAGGCAGTGCTTGTCCATATTTTGAAATCGTCTTGGGCCCTGGTTTTTAGATTTTCATCCCCTTTTTGTCCATTGCTGTTTGCAGAGTTTGTGGTGGTGCATTTTCTGCAGGCGGCTTCGTCTTGTTGATGGCCTATGTCGGACATGTAGGTTCTCCGGGGGAGCCATCGAGTCCTGCCCAGAAGGGTCGCACCAGGTCTCGGGGTTCTTTCGGTTGTCGTAAGCCAGTAGTGCCAGATTCGGGCCTGGCCCTCATACGGAGTCGTTGGCTCAGTGATCGCTCTGAGTGTCAGTTGGGCTCGCGTAGGGGTCGTCGTCCCTTTCACAGTTCGCCCTGTTGGCAGGGCGGTAGGGGGGAGGCTCGCGCTGTTAGTTCTTGCTTGGTCCCATGATTCGTGGGCATTTCGGGTCATTTTCCTCCGGCTTGCAGTAGCGTTGCTTCTTTTCTTCTCCTTTGAGAGGATTGGGGCTTGCGGAGGATTGGGGCTTTGGGAGGATTGGGGCTTGTCATGGAGTGACACTTACCACTTGCGTTGCCTTCCTTCCAGTTTGGATCTGGCACCTTGCGTGTCCACACGCCTGCCTTTCGGCTGGACTGGTCAGGTTAGGATTACTTGTACCTCTTCCCACCAGTTCGGTTGTTGCTCCTGGTCCTGGTTAGCTTAGGGCGACTTAGCAGGGATGAGTATTCCTGTTGGCTCTTAGGTGGCCGGCCCAACCCTGGTTTCAGTCCTATCTTGCTCAATGTCCGAACCCAAGGGTCTTCCCACAGCTCTGCCTCTTTCAACAGATTGGTCCGGTCCGGTACATGGCTGGTTCGATCTTTTCTGTTTCTCGTGTCTGGTCTTTTTGACGTGGGTTTATCACCACTTGTTTGGTGATCAGGGGGCTTAGTTGGTGTCCCACCTGTGTGTTTCGTCTCGACAGCAGTATGAAATTTCCTGGCGGTCTTTTTGGCACGTGTCTCTTCGTAGGTTGTTTTGTCCTTTCTCTCTTGATTGTTTCAGGACCGTCCTTTTATGCCAGATACTGTCGCCTCGTTCCGGGTGGTGCTGACGGAACCGCTGCGGCTTGTATTTGGGGTGGATGTCACTTCTGCTCTGTTCCGCAAGCTTTCTCTGGTGTTATTTTCACCACCGGCCTGCTCATGCGCCACCTGATTTGTCCTGGTCGTTGCACTGGGTGCTCTCTTCTCCTCAGTTTGGGGTGGCCCCCCCTCGGTTTAGGACTGTTTTTCTATGGCTCTTTTCTTGTTGGCATTGGCCTCTGGTGGTCGGGTCAGAGATTTTCATGCTCTGCTCCAGCACAGGGGTTTCTGCTCTTCCGTTCCTGGTGGTCTTTTCTTCGTTTGCAGAAAGGTAAGCATCCCAAAACAAACCCCTATTCTGGTGAAAATATTACTACCAAAAGCTGAACAATTGGATAGAACTCCCCTAAACGAAACGAGCAAACGATCATGACATCACACATCGCCTCGCCGCTGTCTGCGCAGCTCCCCCCTCCCCGGGAGGGGGAAGGGGGAGCCCCAGACCCCACATGCCAGCTATCCACCCTGCCTGACCTGAGTGGATATCGACCGGGTCAGGCACTCGGCCTGACTCGGTCGATGGCAGACATAGAATGCTTCCAACCACACAGGGGTTTCTATAGGCCATTGCTCCCTTTGCCTCTTCTGAGGGGGGCCAGGTTCTGGCTTGTGGTCCCCAGTAGGCCCATTGAACTCCATACACATGACTGATGCCAAAGTCTGACATTAGCATATCAGCCTGGTAAGCTCCGGGGAGCCTCTGGGTCTCATCCAGAAAATGGTGTTTCATTACATTCAACGCTGGTTTTTTGACTAGCAGTAGGTTGTTTTGAAATTCCTTTCCTTCTGGGTGCCTGACCTGGTAGATGACAAACAAAAACTGCTTCCAATTACATGGGAGTGTCTTTAGGCCCATTGTTCCTCGTGCCTCTCTTGAGGGGGCCAGGTACTGGCTCTGGCTCCTGGTAGGCTTAGAACTCCTTTGATTGACTGTTGCCACGGTCTAATATATATACATCAGCCAGGTATAGTTTCATTCAGGAAAGTCTCCAGGTCTCACCCAGAAAATGGCGTTTCATTACATTCAACGCCGTTTTTTTTTTTTTTTTAATTTAGGTTATTTTGTAATTTATAAAATTTTAATTTACTGTATTAATCTTTTTTGGAGTGCACACATACTGCTTTTACATGAATGGGTAACTTAATATCAGTGGGTGTAAAAGTGAACCCAAGACTGGACACTTGCAGGTTGTCTAACACCTTTGTGCTTCTGCACAATGCACTTCATTTTGATGCATGTATTAAGTGTTGAAGAGCACTGAAGCTATCACTAAAAGATCACTGTTTGTATGTTCTATTTGAAAATTCTGCTCTTACTAAATAATTTTCTCGTTTTAGCTATGATCTTATGAATTTATTATTTTTTCTGGCAATACAGGTGGTTGCTTGGCTTCGTCAGGCCAACATTATGGATATTCTCTGCGAGAGGCATAGTGGTCTTCGTACTTCACCAGCCCTCAGAGACAAGGTCACAGCTATTAGAGTTGATGGCACCACAGCATTGGACAGACTCAGTCACGATGTTGACCTTACCATAGTACTTAGGTATATGAATCATAGTAACTCTTTGAATTATCTTCTTAAGAGCAAAAGATCAAACTAGTAAATATCTAAAAAGTGTGCTTGACTGCATAAATAAAATAATTTATCAATTGATCCTTATATTTACTCTATGATAACACTGAACATTGTAGCAATAACCTATTTTAAAAAAGAAGTAATGTATTTAGATTTTTTTTTAATGAGCTGTTTTATTACCCGCAGTTTGTTTGAACATGAGATCATGTCGTATGTGCCACCAACAATTGGTATATCTCCTCGTGGCTCCCCACAACCATCTCCTCAAGCCTCACCAGGACTGGCAAGGGCAAATGCTCGTGCACCAGCCCCGCACAGAAGGGACTTTGAGGCAAAGCTCAGGAATTTTTATAGAAAACTCGAAGGCAAAGGCTATGGGCAAGGTCCAAGTAAACTCAAGTGAGTAATTTAAAACATTCAACTATTTTACTGGAAACTTTGCTCTCCTTGCACCAGCTACAGATAGATTTTTGTTTCCTGTTTCATCGTTCTGTGTGCTTGCAAATAATGCACTCGCGTGCACCCTTGGCTTTAGTACTTGTAGGTGGTATGTAGCCAAGCTTGTAAAGCATAAAGTAGTATTGAAACGATTATAGGAAAAGCTCAATTGTAAGGTAGTCTTGAAAAGATCGCTTTGTAAGGTCCCACACAGGAAGAGATTCAGCTAGCCTCAAAGAGTGTCCATCAGTCAGGAAGAGATTCAGCTAGCCTCAAAGAGTGTCCATCGGTCAGGAAAAGATTCAGGTATTCTTAACAATATCAATGAACACCACCACCATGGAAGCCGCTAACACTGTTCATCTATGCTACTTGTATCAGATGCATCATCACTGAACGCAGAAAACGATTCATCTATGTATCATCTATATACATTAGAGATGGCAAGGGTGGGGCTCAGAGCTACACCTGGATACGCTCGCTGTATCATCCTCATAGATGAGAAATTGAAGTATTCTTTTCATTAAATTTAAACTGATATATAATTAAAGTATCTGTGAATCTCTTTGTTTTGAGTTAGATAAGCAAATTTTCTGTGGGGAGCCCTGTCGGCTCCCTGAAGCTATCTTACTGATCAAGTGCCATCCTACTTGAGTGTCATCAGTCACAGAGATCTTGTATTGCCTACTGGGGACCATGAGAACCTGGCACCCTCAAAGAGGCAGATGGAATAATGGCTCGTGAACACTTTACATTTAAAGTATGTCATCCTGCCATTAATCAGGGAAGGCTCCCAGAAAGGTAGGTGAATCAAAACGGACTACTGCTTGGTTGATAATTGCAACCTACATCCTCAGAAGAGCAAAAAAACTCCACAAAGTAAACAAACAAGCAAAACTTCATCCAACTAACCCCCCTATTTTATAGTGGAGTCTCTCCCCCTTTTCCCGTGGGGGAAAGGGAAGCTGGCTCGAGTGAGCCGGGCCACCCACCAGCCAGTTCTTGTTGCTACCGCTCTGGCTCTGTGTTCCCATTTTCTTTGGTATTTTTGCCCTTGCAGTGGTGTTATAAACAGAGGTGTGCATGTAGCCAGGAGTTTTTGCGTACTGGAGCTGCATGTGCCTAGGGTTATTTCACCTTTTGCCAGAGGAGTTCTCCTTTTCACCTCTTTAGGCTTTGCCTAGCATGTAATTACCTAAGTGTAATTACCTACGTGTAGTTACAGGATGAGAGCTACGCTCATGGTGTCACGTCTCCCCAGCACTCTTTGTCATATAATGCTTTGAAATTACTGACGGTTTTGGCCTCCACCACCTTCTCACTTAACTTGTTCCAACCATCTACCACTCTGTTTACAAAAGTGAATTTTCGTATATTTCTCCAGCAGCTTTGTTTTGTTAGTTTAAATCGATGACTTCTTGTTCTTGAAGTTCCGGGTCTCAGAAATTCTTCCCTATCAATCTTATCGATTCCTGTTACTATTTTGAACGTAGTGATCATATCGCCTCTTTTTCTTCTATCTTCTAGTTTTTGCATATTTAATGCCTTTAACCTCTCCTCGTAGCTCTTGTCCTTCAGTTCTGGGAGCCACTTAGTGGCATGTCATTGCACCTTTTCCAGTTTGTTGATGTGCTTCTTAAGATATGGGCACCATACAACCGCTGCATAATCCAGCTTTGGTCTAATAAAAGTCGTGAACAATTTCTTTAGTATTTCTCCATCCATGTATTTAAAAGCAATTCTGAGATTGGAAAGTGTAGCATAGGCTCCTCGCACAATGTTCTTAACCCTTAACATGCTCGGGGTTTAATATCCTGTCATCCCCACAGGCGCATGTCATTTTGAAAATAAAAAAACTTATTTTTTCTTTCTAACCTGTTAATTTGTGTTCACTGATCACGGGAAAAATAATAAAAAAATCATAAGTGGCATATATTGCCCGCTATAGGGCGGGGAATTCTGGCAAATTATAGGCGCTGACTCAGCGTGCGTCCCAGGCGGTCTGTTGCTCGCAAGCTGTCAGGCCGGAGTTGCCACAAAGAGATAATTACCGAATTATTTCAATGTCTCTGATTGATTTTTCATACTTTTTTTGCTGTAATATTATTCAATAGTGTGTAGTTTGATATATTTATATAATAAAATGAGTGAATCATTGCTGTACTCAAAAATATGGTGTGCATATTGTTGATTCAATTATGTTCATCAATCAGTGAACAAATACTTTGTCGGTTATTACATTATAAGCACAGGTTATATATAAGTATCTGCATGTTTTGTTCACTATAACGAACCACTAAGTAGCTATTATGAGTCAAAAAGTAACGAGGAGTGACCGCCGTTTACCAGCCAGCCACTCCCGCCCTCCCTCGTCATCTGACTCACCCACATTCTCCTCCCACAATAATGTTTTTGCTATAATTCACTATATACAGACATTATATATAAGTATCTACATGTTTTGTTCACCATAACTGTACATCTAAGCTTGTATGGTGAGTAAAGGCACAAAGATGTGGCTACTCACACAGTCAGCTGATCAGCGCCGCCCTCAAGGCCAGACGCACTAATATTTCTCCTCCAACAATACTGTGTGGTGTTATTACGCATATATCTTATATACAGACGTTATATATAAGTATCTACATGTTTTGTTCACCATAACTGTACATCTAAGCTTGTATGGTGAGTAAAGGCACAAAGATGTGGCTACTCACACAGTCAGCTGATCGGTGGCCACCCTCAAGGCCAGACGCACTAATATTTCTCCTCCAACAATACTGTGTGGTGTTATTACGCTATATACACACATTATATATAAATATCTACCTGTTTTATTCATCATACTTGTACAAATAAACTGGTATGGTGCCCAAAGACCATCGTGGTAACCAGTAAACAACACCGTCGTCTGCACGGTGGCGTCGTGCAGACGACGCCACCGCCCTCACCAAAATGGCGACTCCAAACCTTCTCTTGCTGTTTATACCCTCTATACGCACATTATATATAAGTATCTACATTTGTGTTCTCCATAGCGAACCACTAAGCTGGTATGGTGAGTGCAGTCAATAAAAGGTGGCCACACACAGTCAAAAGACATCGCCACCACCCTCCCTTCCACAGCATTACTCCTCCTTCCATGGCGCACAGCGCTAAATATCACCACAATCCTGCTATTATCAGAACCCTGGTCAGTTTTATCACAGTCAGGGGTCTTCTGTAATAATTTTGTTTGGGGAGTTTTGTCCACTCGTTCGACTTTCGGAAGCAATAATTTCACCAGAATAGAGGTTTGTTTTGGGGCGCCTTCCTTTTCTTGGTGCCTGTCCCGGTCGATGGCAGACATAGAATGCTTCCAATCACAAAGGGGTTTCTATAGGCCATTGCTCCTCATGCCTCTCTGAGGGGGCCAGGTTCTGGCTCGTGGTCCTCGGTAGGCAAGAACTCCTAGCACTTTGACTGATGCCAGAAAGTTATACAGTTATATCCATTCAGCCTGGATAGCTCCGGGGAGCCTCCGGGACTCACCCAGAAAATGGCGTTTCATTACATTGAACGCTGGTTTTTTGCATTTAAGGATGTCTTAACCAAACTAAACTCAGCCAGACGAATCTCACGCTTTTCACTTTGTGACTGCTAAATAGCTTAACAGAAAATGCAAAATATTTACTTTCTCAAAATTGGGAGATTACGATATCTTTGAAATAGCCTTTTATTTTAAAGACTAAACCAAAACTATAGATATATGATGACAGTGTTGGATTTGTCTGAAATTAAGTTTGCCTAATGTAGAAATTGTGAAACGAACATTTATATAGTCTAAAAATATAATAATGAATATAGTTAATTTTAAGATACTTATATATATTAAGTTCATATATTAAATATGTTCATATATTAAATGAAAGCTCTTGATGTTTTGTGGCAACTGTATTCATAATTGCAATAATGACAGGTACTGTAGAATAATACATTATAATTATTTCAGGCTCAACATACGGCGTGATCACTTGCTAGAGGATGCATTTAATAAGGTTATGGGAGCCAGTAAGAAGGATCTTCAAAAGTCAAAATTATACATAACATTCTATGGGGAAGAAGGACTTGATTATGGTGGACCATCTCGAGAATTTTTCTTCCTTCTATCCAGAGAACTCTTTAATCCTTATTATGGCCTGTTTGAATACTCTGCAAATGATACATACACAGTGCAGATTTCTCCCATGTCTGCATTTGTCGACAACTACCATGACTGGTTCAGGTTTTGTGGGAGGGTGCTGGGCCTGGCTCTAGTTCATCAGTATCTGCTTGATGCATTCTTTACCAGACCATTCTACAAGGGTCTACTACGCAGGTACAGTACCTTAGCACTTTACTCTTTACATACAGTACTACAAACATTTAAAATCCTCAGAATCATTAATTTTTCTTTCCAAATGTAGATGATGATGATATTTTCTCTTCTTCCCAGTACATTGAATATGTGTAAAACCATAAATATGATTGATAAAGAACACCTTGTTATCTTTATTGATTGATTGTATTGAATACCTTGTATTCTTTTCCAGTCAATGAGGTTGCCAGAAAAGAAATTAGCATCGAGTGTAATGAAATGCCATTTTCTACATGGCATCTCAGTAGCTCGCTATTCTCTCTAAATCTCCCCTTCTTTTCCAGTCAAGTTAGAACCTGAGGTGTCAGCTCAACTGTGAGGAGGGTTACTGACTGGGACTCTTGAGTGATTCAATATGCTACCTGCTGGTGTGTTGAGTGTGTTAGAACAAATGTAGTTGCCAAACTTCAGCTATAAGATGGGTTGTTTGGCCATTTTATTCTTTTCTCTTAGAGTTGTTGATAACTTTGCTCTTTAATTTTGTCATTTACTGTGGTTATGAGTTCAATTTTGGTACCTACAGTATGTGCTCTTGCCTCTTTATGTAGGCCAGATATCAGTTCTGGCTCCTGATGGGCAGAGGAAGTCTTAAGAACCAAACAATTGGGGGTGGGCCAGGGCTGTTAGTGCTTTAAGCACCAGGAAGCTGCTGAGATGCCGTACAGGAAGTGGCATTTCATTGCACTCAGTGTTTTATTATTGTTACCCCCCCCCCCCCATGTGATATAGATTGTCAATCATGACTGCCCCATGTCAAATTGTATGCTATAGTGTATCTGGTAGAAATGTTACACAGTATCCAATAACAGCCATTTCCTCCACAGTCCTGTGTCATTATCGGATGTAGAGTCTCTAGATTCTGAGTTTCATCAGTCTCTCTTGTGGGTGAAAGACAATGACATCACAGATATGTTGGAGCTCAACTTTTGTGTTACTGAAGAGATATGTGGGCATGTGGTTGAAAAGGATCTCAAGCCTGGTGGGAAAAATATTGCTGTTACTGAGAGAAATAAAAAGGTATATGTATATACTGTATATATATTGCTATATATTTTAATACTTTTGGAAATAGATTACATACACATACTTTAATATACTTTTAAATATTATTTATAGCTTCACAGCAAAACAATTGAACAACCCTTCATTAACTTGCAGCTTACCTCGTTTCTCTCATATCAAGTTACTTAATGCTTTTCATCATCTTTACAACAGGAATATCTGGAAAGAATGGTGAGATGGCGCTTGGAGCGAGGGGTAAGCGAACAGACAGAGAACATGGTTCGTGGCTTCTATGAGGTTATTGATCCCCGTTTGGTTGGAGTATTTGATGCCAGAGAATTGGAACTGGTTATTGCTGGCACCCTGGAGATTGATGTTGCTGACTGGAGGAAGAATACAGAATACAGATCAGGTACGTTGCACATTACTGCTAACTGTGCTGTTTCTACACCTTGTGAAGTGTAGCTCATGGAATTTTTTGGTACTCCTGGTTCTACCAGAGATTAACTTCTCTCACCTTCTCTTTTTGGTGGAAGGATAGTCCCGAGTGATCCCAGGAAAGCCTGCACCTTGGCTAATAACCCTGCATAGTGAACGTCAGATCTGGTAACCTGTTTGTGGTTCGTGAACCTTACCCTATGGTTACTTTTCATTGGTTCCAAGGGTTAATATCCCTGCAGCCTGGTCTCTGACCAGGCCTCCTGGTTGATGGTCTTATCAACCAGGTTGTTAGATGCAGTTACTCGTAGCCTGACATGAATCACAGCTAGGTTGATCAGGTATGCTTAGGTGGTGTTTAAACCTCACAACACTGGAAGACAGAAGAGTTAAGGAAGACATGATCACTACCTATAAAATTCTCAGAGGAATTGATAGGGTAGATAAAGATACACTTTAGCACAGGTGGTACATGAACAAGTGGACACAGGCAAAAACTGAGTACCAAAATGAGCCACAAGGACTTTAGAAAGAACTTTTTCAGTGTCAGAGTAGTTAATAGATGGAATGCATTAGGCAGTGATGTGGTGGAGGCAAACTCCATAAACAGTTGTAGATATGATAGAGCCAGTAAGCTCAGGAATCTATACACTAGTTGATTGACAGTTGAGAGGCAGGACCAAAGAGCCAAAGCTCAACCCCCGCAAGCACAACTAGGTGAGTATGTACCTAGAAAAACTGGGAACCGAAGAGTCGGCAACTCATGGAGCTGCCAGACAAGTCTGATATCAGTCAAAAGACTAATGGTTGTTGACATGAGGAGCTGGCAGCTCCCATGGTGCTGCCACTTGGTGATGGCCAGCTCTAACGAGGGGAAGGGGGCAATTATTATTATTACCTAACTACTTGGTGGATAATTTCCAGAGTCATTTGCTGCATTGTTTATTTTTTTTCTGTGAACCTTACAGTTGTCTATCATGCTTTGCATCCTTTTTGGAGATTTCTTTAATTGACATGATTAATTAATTAATTAATTAATCTTAAAATCCCTGCTTCCTGCAACTCTGTAAGGAGCTCTGTAAGGGAGTTTTGTTTTGGTTTTGTTTGTTTTGGCCTTTGATCTCCATTAGGCTATTCAGGAGTCTAGGACTGATGTGACCTACATGTGTTGAACAATCTCATTTCAGCTAGCAACAGGGAGCCACCATTCAGCTCCTTCAGAAATACAATTACACATGTCGGAAAGCAATTTTGGTCAAAAAATAAATGTTTAATATTTTTAATAAATACAGTAGTACAGTACACTGTGTTTGTATTGTTATTTCAGGTTACCATGATTCTCACCCTGTGATCCAGTGGTTTTGGTTAGCCATTGAGCGTTTTGACAATGAGCGTCGTCTACGATTATTGCAGTTTGTTACAGGCACCTCCAGTGTGCCTTATGAGGGCTTTGCAGCTCTCAGAGGCAGTAATGGACCTCGCCGATTCTGCATTGAGAAGTGGGGCAAACCATCTAGTTTACCCAGGTTAGTTTATTGATTTCTTAAGGTTAGTTTATTTCATATTAATTTAAGTACAAAGTGCTAACCTAACCAAAAATGCATGAACTCAAGTCACCCACCTAACCTACCATTGCATAGAAAACATTGATTTTTGTGAGTTGCTACTTTTCACAGGACTTTGTAATTTGTACCCTATGATACATAACCTACAAAATGAGGTACATTAGTTGAGAGAACGTTTTGTCTTGTTATCCAACATTAACTAAATGTGATTATTCTCTGCTGACCTGATTTTGTATTCTTAAATTTGGATATTAATTTAGTGATCTCACATCTATTATGTTCCCCAGTAATATATTCCATAAATCAACAAAAATATTTCCAAACCAGTATTTACTCAGGTCTTCCTGAATATAATTTATCCAATTTGTATTCATTGTATAATTTTATATTTTGTGTTGATATACTTAATACCTTGTAGCTTATTTATGTCTCTTTCCGGGCAAAGCCCTATTGGCTCCCTGAAGCTATTGTGCACTAGTCAATGCCAAACTACTAGGTGTCATCAGTTGCGTAGTTCTATTGGCCTATCAGGGACCATGAACTAGAACCTAGCCCCCCTCAGAGAGATGCAGGGAGCAATGGCCTATTTATTTTTATATATTTATATACACAAGAGTTCTTACATTCTTGTACAGCCACTAGCATGCATAGCATTTCGGGTAAGTCCTTAATCCTAATTTTTACACCCCCCCTCCCTTCCCCTAAGAAGCAGCCTGTACCAGCTGTCTAACTCCCAGGTACCTATTTACTGCTAGATGAACAAAGCCATCAGGGTGAAAGAAATTCTGCCCATTTGTTTCCACCTCCGCCAGGGATTGAACCCGGACCCTTAGGACTACGAGCCCCAAGCGCTGTTCACTCAGTCATCAGGCCTCCTGAACACTGTACAGTACAATTTAAAGTTAATCATAATTGCCAACATCAGAGAAGCACCCAGAAAGGCAAGCCAAAACAGACTACTGCATGGTTGGGAGCCGGTCGGCCGAGCGGACAGCACGCTGGACACGTGATCCTGTGGTCCCGGGTTTGATCCCGGGCACCAGCGAGAAATAATAGGCAGAGTTTCTTTCACCCTATGCCCCTATTACCTAGCAGTAAAATAGGTACCTGGGAGTTAGTCAGCTGTCACGGGCTGCTTCCTGGGGGTGGAGGCCTGGTCGAGGACCGGGCCGCGGAGACACTAAAGCCCCGAAATCATCTCAAGATAACCTCAAGATATGGTTAAAAACGAAACCACAGCCCCAAAGTGGCCAAAAGAACTCCCCCCCCCAACAATGAAAACAAACCACTAAAATTTCATGAAATTAGTGCACAATAATTTGCACCTCCTCCCACCTCATTTGGGGGGAGGAGGGAGGAGTACCAAGTCAGCCAGCCCGCCCCACCTTCAGTTCTATTCTGATGGTGCCCTTGTGCAGTTCTAATGGCTCTGGCTCCAGTCTCATTTTGTCAGCTAAGTGATGTTGCCTTTGAGGCAGGGTTGCCTTGTTTGGATCTGTATCCCGAATGGGCTATAAGAAGCCCAATTGTGTTACTGGCTGGTTACGTTTGCAGCTTCAGCTCTTCATGTTCTTGCAACTACTACAAATTACTCTTAAGGCTGTTTATACACATTCGTGTAGCATGAGCCAGGAATTTAGTGTGTTTAAAGTTGCATGAGCTTAGGGTTCTCTTCCCTGTGTGCTTATTTCGTACTAACCATGTGCAGTCAGGGTTCGCTTCACTGGGGTGCTCAGGATCCGCTCTGGCGTGGCCTACTCACTTTTTGAGGGGTGGTCCTCACCCTTAAGGTAAGCTGTAAGTAAGGTAAGTCTGTGGCTATCTGTCTTCCCTAGGTTAGTGTTTTTGACTGGTGGGGTGTACTGGGCACTGGGCGACAATTTTACAATTAATACAAATGTGCCAATGTTTCTTCCTGGCTGTTTATTCTTTGCAGTTTGGTTTTGGGAGCTTGGAGGTTTGTGTGTTTGGTTTTTATATATTACTTCCCCCCTTTTTCTGCTTGGGTTCTGCTTTTTTGCTTTATTAGGCTTGCCTAGGGGGTGTGTAGCTGTAGCTGAATCCCCTTTTTGCCCCCTTTGGCCTGGTTACCTGGTTGATGGGGTTCTGGGAGTTCTACTCCCCATGCCCGGCCCGAGGCCAGGCTTGATTTCTGAGTGTTTGGTCCACTAAGCTGTTGCTTGGAGCGACCCGCAGGCCCACATACCCACCACAGCCCGGTTGGTCCGGCACTCCTTGGAGGAAACAGTCTAGTTTCCTCTTGACAATGTCCACTGTTGTTCCGGTAATATTTCTTATGCTCGCTGGGAGGGTGTTGAACAACCGTGGACCTCTGATGTTTATACAGTCTTCTCTGATTGTGCCTATGGCACCCCTGCTCTTCACTGGTTCTATTCTGCATTTTCTTCCATATCGTTCATTCCAGTACGTTGTTATTTTACTGTGAAGATTTGGGACCTGGCCCTCCAGTATCTTCCACGTGTATATTGTTTAGTATCTCTCTCATCCTCTTTCTAGTGAATACATTTGGAGATCTTTGAGACGATTCCAATAATTTAGGTAGAGTGCTACCTCGGAACACGAGTGTCCCTGTATGCGAGTTTTTCGGAATACGAGCAGGATTTCCTCAGAAAATGTGTCTCGGAAGGCGAGGGTTACCTCGGAACACGAGTTTGTTGATACGTGTACAGGCCGACTAGCACATGGTGGCATGGCGATCGCGCCTCAGTTTACCAGTGTCTCGCGCCCAGTGACTATTCCACCTGAATTCTTCACAAGGATTTACAGTTTTTTGTCGTTTTTTCTGGGGGGAGCCCCGTCGGCTTCCCGGAGCTATCCCAGGCTGATATGCTAATGTCAGACTTTGGCATCAGTCATGTGTATGGAGTTCTTAGGCCTACCGGGGACCACGACCAGAACCAGGCCCCCTCAGAGAGGCAAGGGAAGCAATGGCCTATAGAAGCCCCTGTGTGGTTGGAAGCATTCTATGTCTGCCATCGACCGGAACAGGCACCCAGAAAGGTAAGCGCCTCAAAACAAACCCCTATTCTGGTTAAAATTGCTACCAAAAGCCGAACTAGTGGATAGAACTCCCCAACCGAAAACAAGCAAACTAGTGTGACGTCACACACCGCCATGCCGCTGTCTGCGCAGCTCCCCCCGCCCCGGGAGGGGGAAGGGGGAGCCCCAGACCCTCCACAACGGCTACCCACACCTCAGTTCTTGAGGCTGATGCTATAGGCGATGATCGTGTGCTCTGGCTCCGGTGTCGCTACTGCACTGTGCTTTGCGTGTGGTGTTGGTTTTGTGGGTGCGAGAGCCAGGAGTTATCTTCAGTACTCGGGCTGCATGCACCTAGGGCTGCCTTCCCTAAGTGCCCTGTAAGTACTGCCCTTGGGGCTTGGGGCCACCTTCCACAGGCTCCTCGGGGTCTGCCTCTGATGGTCCGTTTTACCTTTCGGTTTTTCGGCCGCCTGTTGGGCTCTTGGGTGTTCTGTTCTCCCTTGTTACCGGCAGGTATGTGGCAGTTTGCACTGGTAGGGGCGCAGGGTGCTGCACAGCTTGTATTCCTGACATCGCGGCTGGCTCTGTTCCTTGGGGTTCGCTGTCCTCTTGCGGGGTTTTGTTTTTCTTTTTGTTTTTGCCTGGTGGGGGGTTCTGACATTTTATTCAGTTTGTTTTTGCCCTTCCACTGTTCTCCTCGGTGGCACCCCCCGCTAGGTCCCCGTGAGTGTACACGTCCCTGGGGTTCAGCTATAGAAGTTTGCTTGGTAGTTTTGGGCGCCGGTTTGCAGCACCCTGCCTGGGACTACCTGAGCGCGAGTCCTCTTAAAGTAAACGCTCAGGACCCTGGGAATCCCCTAGGGGGTGCGTGGGTCTGATGGATGTGACCCCGGAGTCCCCACTCGCTGTGTGCGAGTTTGAGGGTTCCTCGGTCCCCTTGTCTCAGGGTGACCCTCATTGTTTTCACCGACCCAACAGGCAGCCACGCTGCCTGTTGGGTCGGTGATACTTTCAACCCTGAGTCCTGTGAGTGTTCCTGCTTGCTTGTGACTCAATTTACCCAATCCTCTGATGATTCTATTTGGGTACAGGCGGCGCGTGTGTTGCAGTCTAGGTTTCGTCTGTTGCAACGCGCTCGGTTGGTTGCTCACCCGGATGCCCCGGGGCTGCCCTGCTTTGCTTTTCGAGACCCGGACTTGGGGGTGGGGGTCACTTCGATACTGGTTCAGTCCGCACCTCCTCGTTCTTCCCCTTCTGTTCGTTCTGGTCCCCCCCCCCTGCTTCCGGCCCCAAAGCGTCTGAGGGTTTCGGGGTCGGAGCAGGGGTTACTTGATCTTGAGACTCGGGCAGCTTCGGGGGGTGCCCCTTCCGGGGGGGCGGCAGAGGCATTCGAGTCTTCTCTCCCGGCCCGAAGCTTCTGGGTCTGACCAGTGGGCCCCCCCATCCTCCAGCTTTTCCGGCTGCTCCATCCTTGTCTTGTGGGGTCGGAGCTTGGGGAGAGGACTCGGCCTCGGGTCCTGTGGTGAAGGACCTTGAGGCTGGGGAGGGACTGACTTGTACCCAGTCATTATCACACCCTGGGGGTGTGATAATGACTGGGTACAATGTTCAGATATCAGTGATTCAATGCTGTTCATGATGTTCACAGCGTTAGCCACTGCACCACAGCATTATTTCGTCCATCTAGGAATCTTCAAACGACTTTTTAGGTTCCTTTTCAAAATAAACTTGTGGTCAATTATTCATTTACAGGTATTAGTGACTAGGATTGTGGTTATAATGAGCGTTGTACGTAGGAAGGAGAAATTTTGGTGAGGGAGGGAGGAAGGAAAAGAATTGAGGTAGCCTCACTGTGTGGCAGTAACTCTTGTTTTGCTAACCATACTAGCTTCGTGGTTCACTATGGGGAACACACATGTACATGGGTATATACAGTGTGTGTGGAATAGTGTAATAACAGCACCAGGAGTATGTTGTGAGGAGCTATTTTGGTAAGGGAGGTGACGTCGTAATCGTGGCGTCGTCTGCTGTCTGCTGTGTAATTTGTCATGCAGTGTATGGTGGACACTATACTGTTTGGATACAATACCGGCTTACTTGCATAGTTCTGGTAAATAAAACATGTAGATAGGTATATATAACATGTGTAAATTGTGTAATAAATACAATAACAGTATGGTGGGAGGAGCAATGTTGGCGAGTAAGATGTTGGAGTGAGGGAGGGCTGGCTGGGTGTGGCTGTTCACACTCGTGGTGTTCTGAGTGTGTATATGGTGAATGTATATAGTGTGTGACAGTGTAGCGTGTGTACATATGTTGTGAATATACATAAATGAACATGAAACATTGGCGTGAATAACTGTATGATTTGGAGGAGTAATGTTGGTGAATACAATGTTGGAGGAGTGAAGGAGGGCTGGCTGGGTGTGGCTGCTCACACTCGCTGTGTTCTGAATGTGTTGATGGTGAATGTATATAGTGTGTGACAGTGTATAGTCTGTAAATAGATTGTATATATACATAAATTAGCATGATACATGGTAAATATGTGCAACATATGTGTACACAAGTGTCATGCACGTAACACAGTGTCTTCGGACAGTCTGGATGTTTTACTGCCATAATGTAGTGTACGTGTTCATTATACATAGGATTAGCATGTAAAAACAAATAAAATGTATTTGGAACTGTGCGCAAAAAATGTGCAAAAATATATTCGCGGCAACTCGCGCGCTCTACCGGCCCCGGGTGCATACTGCTCTGGCGCACTGGGAATTATGACGTCACGGCCCACCTTTCGGACCCCATAGCAGCCAAAGTAAGTACAATTTCGAACTTGCGTTGCTATACCCATATACAGGGAGGGGTTTTTGACACTTTCCGAGGAAAAAATTATTTTTTCCCAAGGTTTCATTTCCTGCGCACTGGGGGGGATGTCATATTTATAGGCCGCGCAGTTAAAGGGTTAAAGATTTCTTACATAATTTATAGGTTGTGTGGGGCCTATGTTCTCCAATTCCACATTCCATAACATGGCATTTATTCACATTAAATTCCATTTGCTAAGTGTTGCTCCACATACTTATTTTGTCCAGGTTCCTTGGGTTATTGATGCTTGGTTGGTTCGGCCAGGGATGTGTCATGTGTTGTGTTTGGTTGCGGCTCTTCGCCGTTACCTGCGTGCCGTGACTAGGGATATGCTTTAGGTTGATCCCTCGTTCCCTGTTCCAGGGCTTGGATCTCCCAGGTCAACCGCAGGGTTAAGTCTAGACAGCCTGCAGTCTATCCTCGCGCCCGTGCCGTTCAGATATTTGCAGCTTTCGCTGCCGTGTTTGGTAACGTGCCTTGGGCTCATTTTGGGTGCAGATATTTGGAGGTTGTACACGTTCCTGGCCGCCTGTTATTTTATGAGCATGTCTGCTTCTGGGCGTTCTGGTTTTGCTTTGGGTCACAGGTTGCAGCCTGTTGTCTCCAGAGTTTGTGGCGGCCGCCTCCCGGGTCGGCCCTTCCTTTTCCTTCTCTTTGGATATGAAGCTTCAGGGAGCCGTATGGGCTCCCCAAAGAAAACCAGCGTTGAATGTAAAGAAACGCCATTTTCTGGGTGAGCCCCAGAGGCTCCCAGGCAACCCTCCCTCCCTCCGGTCGGCGGTTTTTACGCGTTTGTTGAAGCTTAGCTTTCGAACTACAGTGCTGTGCAGCCAGCGCGGTGAGGTCCGGGGCCCCCCGCCCCCCTTCCCCCTCTCGGGGAGGGGAGGGCTGCACGGACGAGCGGCGCAGCAGTAGTGTGTTACGTTTGCTTGTTTCCTTGGGATTGTAGGGAGTTATACCTCTCTTTTCGGTTTTTGTTGTTAGTTTCTTACCATGTGGGGTTTGTTTTGTTATGCCTACCTTTCTGGGTGCCTAACCCTGGTTGATGGCAGAATAGGAAAACTTCCCCCAACCACAGTGGGGTTTTCCAGGGCCATTGCTCCCTGCAACCTCTCTGAAGGGGCCAGGTTCTGGCGCTGGTCCCTGGTAGGTCTAAACTCCATAGCTAATATCCCGGTCTAATATAACATACATTAGCCCGATAAGCTCCCAGGGAGCCTCCAAGGCTCACCTAGAAAATGGCGTTTCATTACCTGTACATTCAACGCCGTTTTTTTTTTATTCTCTCAACAGAGCTCACACATGTTTCAACCGTCTTGATCTCCCGCCTTATCCTTCTCCGGAGATGTTGTACGACAAATTGCTCTTGGCTGTGGAAGAAACATCAACATTTGGCATTGAGTAATCATATCTTAGTGCTATAAATTGATTAACAGTTGATGTGTGTATATTTAACTGACTGTCAGTGATGGAATAACGTGTAGGAACCTTATTTTTTGTGAAGTCTGGTGAATTGTTAATAATGCTAACACATTGTTATCAGGTATTTTAAGCCTCATTAAGAGTTTTCAAAGGGGGTCTCTCATGAAATATTATGACCTACCATTATTTTTCATATGGTGTACTTTATGAAAGTAAATCATGCATGATCCCTTCCCTGTGATGTAGTTCCCACAGTCTGACTTTAATAGTCATACCTCTTGCCAGTGCAGTATGTAAGATTAATTTGATATATATTTTACAGCTTATAATATGCAGATTGTCTGGAGATAAAGTTCATTCATGACAAAATCTCTTTCCTTTACAAAAGTTCAATATTCTCATGGATTTTAAAGATTTCATCATGTATTTTATAAAGCTTCATACTTTCTTTTTTACTTGATTATGTACTTCATTCAGCCTGTATATTTAGCCATGCTGAGTGAATTTTAGAGCTTATATTTCTATCTTTGAGTGATTTATCTCTACTCCACTGTACAATATAAACAATTTCTGAATGTATAAATTTGATTTATATTTAATCAGTTTTGCATTAAAAGATTTTAATCTGTGCTATAACTCCTCCTGTCTTTTATGTTTTTCTCTGAATATATGATTATTCACTTTGTAGACAAGGATACTCTTCAGTTAATTGATTTTCATTTAGGGTAGAGCCATGCATCAAAGAAGTGGCTCGTAAGTGTAGGCATTACAAAGGCCAGTTTTTAAAGTATTGATATATAGTCACTAAGTTTATATTTATTTAACATGAATAATTGGCATTGCCCGGAAAGGCCAATTTCATGTAAGTGATAATAGTATTGTAATTTGTAAATAATTCAAAATAAGGGAGTTTAAGCTCTCCTGTTCTTTTTTGTAGTTTAATTTAAGACAGCTTTCTTGACTTAGAGATTAGGATAGATGGCAGCTAGGAAAGGTCATTATATTTGCATTATATACAAGTATGCGTGTACATATATGTGTTTGTGAAAAGTGAGTAATATAACGAGCAGTGATACACAGTGTCATTATACAGTATTCACTGTCACACCCAGCAATAACAAACTCTCCAGGAAGATGTTCGAGTTATCTCCATAGTAACTTATGGCTTTCCTCTTGGCAAGTTTATACAAAAAATTTTAACATTATAGTCAGTTCTACATACAGTATACTTTTATTTAAATGAAAATAATTGTAAGAAATACAAATTTTACCATTTCTGTAAATTTACATTGTGTGTGTGGGGGTGTGTGTACACACACATACACATACATGCATACATGAGAATAATCACACTATATCACTTATATGATCAAACTCAAGTTTTTCCCAATACGTTACATAAATAAGGGGGGTTGTGTCATACGCAGATACATGTGCAAGCATTAGACATCGGGGAGAATGTGACCAGGGCAGTAACTCTCGGCTACTGTCTTAACCAATAGTTGTGAAGAAATTATAACTAAGAAATCAATCATGTAAGGGATTTTATTGATCTTTTGCTTGCATCAGGCACTTATTATTTTCAATAAGCCCTTTACATGATTAACCAAGAAATTTGTGTAGTTAAATATTGAGTTAGCTGTATGGCTCCTAGGTGGCTTACTCTTCCAGTACACACTTTACCTCTTGTTAAGTTATTTGAATTTGATAAGCTGTATATGTCTTTGTGTAATGTAACATATTCCAGTTACTCAAGTGTTTTTTGCAATTTTGCTTAATTAGTGTGATATCAATCTGCAGATTTAGTTTGGTACTTATAAATGTACAAGTATTTTACTACTTCCATCAGCAGTAAGATTTGTTTTATTTTGAATGTGATACATATGTACATACACAGTTTAGTATTACTCTTACACAGAAAACTGTTTACATTAAACTTTTGTGTATGATATGATAATAGCAACTACATAATACAAATTATAATGTTATTTTCATGTACTTGGTGTGTTAGTTTATAAGTACCTATAGTACCTGCTTTCTGTTCCAGGTTAGGCTGACCATTAATATTAGGTGTTTTTATTTATTGGAGTCTAAGTTGTGTCACACCTGGTTTATTTATATATGAGTAAAGCAACATTAATTATTTTGTGTAACGTTCCAAACTTCATTACATAAAATGTTTGTCACTTAGTTTACTGTTGACAGTACCTTTTTTTTATTACAGTATTATTATTATTTTTTTTTTTTTACATTTGGTTAAGAGGTGCACTAATAAATGATATTTTTTAAGCTCCTACAATGAGAGAGATGCTGTATGGCTGTGTTTTTGTATGGCTGATAAATATTGTGCATGTACAGTATTCACAACAAATATGTTGTAAAAGAAATTCCTCAGAATGCATAAACAAATCTTGTATACAGTTTCTTACACAAGGCCACAATGTGGCCTCTCCTGGAAACCTAGATTTTGGATATTATAAAAGCTTTCTCAGACATTAAGTATTTGGCATTTTGATCCTAGAAAAATATTGTTAAGAGTTTGTTTGACCTGTTTATCTTATTTTCATCATTTTTAGTACAGTACACAAGGCTACTTATATTATGGAGAAGGTACAGACACCAAGTTAAGTGTACCTGTTGTTCAGTATCTCTGAAATGTATTGTGTCAATTAAATGTATCTAAGCTGTAATGGAATTATTCATATTAGCCATGCTTGAGGTTCATTATAAATGTGAAAATATTTTTGGCCTTTATGTGTAACTAAATTTAATCAAATGTTTCTATATTTTTATCATAAGATAGCATTATATTTTGTAGCTAATATCAGTGATCAGACTTGAAAATTGTAATGATCCAACACTTTTGTGCCATAATAGAGGGTTAGCATTGTCAATTTGAAAGATATGGGTTTGAGCCCATAGATGGGCAGGGTTGGAGAAGTGTGTTCATTATACAATGCATTGGACCACTCTTAAAGCTTACACAATTTGACACTTGTTACATGAGGAATGTCACCCTTGAAATTGTAGGTTATGGTATGAAAAATGTTTGTTTGAATATTTATTGATTTATTTATTAACAGTTTGCTGCTTGGTGAGAGATGAATAAGAAAACATTTGAATGGAATGAACTGGAATAAGCAAGAATAAATAAGCAACTTGCCCAATCTATTTATATCCTATACTGTATTATGTATGAACGTAAAAAGTGTCGTTATTCAACAGTCACACAAATCAAGTGATATCTTTGATGAGTATATCTTGTTATATTCTCTTCTATCACATGATGTTACTGAGTCAAGTAATGTTAAAAAATGCTTGATTGCAGTCTTCACTTGTTCACAAATCTCAAAGAGATTATTCCCTGATAAAGCATGGATGAAGCCCATTATTCTGTTCATGAGTATTCTCTACTTGCATGTGCAAGACCAGAGTGATCCAAAATGATTCAGATAATATATCAGATGGGATCTGTGCCTCTATTAACTCTGTCTCTGATAAAATGTTTCCATTGCATGCAATTACTTTCTTAATCTTTCTTTCATAGCACATTCTAAACCACTGCCACTTACCTTCAATATTCTTCTAGCATTTGTGTTACACTCGTCAAATTCCATCAATCTTAAGTAACTTTATAACCCCATATTTCCTTCTGATATTTATTATTAATTTCAAATATTATTTTATCACTTTTACACTTTGGGGGGTCGAGCACTTCACCTTGCCTAGTGGTTTTGGGCGTTCCGTGGGAGTGCGCGGTAATACTGAAAAGTGTATACTCTTTTCAACCTTGTCACCTTAATTCTAGTCCTAGGTTTTTCAATTTTGTAGCAGTGTTCGCAATAGAATGTTCTACAGGACTAAAAGCATATAAACTCCAAAAGCCCGGCTGACCACCTGCAGCAAACGGAGAAAGTGAGAGCGTGTTACCCGGGAGCGCTAAATAGCAATGAAATGCGTACAGTCTTTTCACTTTAGTCACCTCAATTTTCGTCCTAGTTCTTTCATTTTGGTATCAATGTGTTGCCAATAGAATTTCCAACAGTAGTATATGCATATAATGTCAAAATCCGTGGCCCGCTCCACTCTCCGACGTGATGAAAGCAGGCCGCGTTTATCTGAAGAGAGCAGGGAGGCGCACCAGGCCTTCCAGTAGAGAGCACAGTAATACTGAAAACTGTATACTCTTTTCAACTTTGTCATCTCAATTCTCGTCCTAGGTTTTCCAATTTGATATCAATGTGTTCGCAATAGAATTCTCTACACAATTAAATGCATATGAAGTCTGAACGCCCAGTGTACCACTGGGCGTTCTGGGTGTACCACAAAACAGAGAAAGTGAGAGCGTGTTACCCGGGAGCGCTAAAGAGCAATGAAATGTGTACACTCTTTTTCACTTTGGTCACCTCAATTTTCGTCCTAGGTCTTTCATTTTTGTATCATTGTGTTTGCAATAGAATTCCCTACAGGAGTATTTTCATATATAAAGTCCAAAAGCACAGCATATCACACATAGCAAACAGAGAAAGTGACAGTGAAAGTGACCCCCTTGAACGCTCATCAAGAGCAATAAAATGTGGTTTACTCTTTTCAACTTTGTTACCTCAATTCTTGTCCTAGGTCTTTAATTTTGGTATCAATGTATTTGCAATGAAATTTCCTACAGGAGTATATGCATATAATGTCCAAAACCGAGATGTACCCCTCCCGCAGCCAAGCCGAAAGCAGGTAAATTTTTTTTTATTTTTTGACACCATACTTCATCAGTGGATATTAACTTATTAAATTTTGACTCCATACTTCGTCATTGGTGGGCGAAAGTGTTCTTAATTTAAACTATAATTTTGATACTACTATATATTAAGTATTCCCAGTTCGAGATTTATTTTGTCAATTTTTTTCTCCACCACATGACACTCATTATCTTCTGCATTTTTCTTCTATGAGTATCCATAATAGATCACATTGTAAGAGATGCCCGACATAGGGACTGGGAAAACCTCTCTCAACCGGTTGCAATAAAAGCACATTTAGTGGAAAACTTTATTTCAAAGCCATAAACACAACAGTTAATCACTATCTTTTCATGGAAATGTTTTGCATGCTCTACATACCTTAACTACTTTCTTCTCAGCAAGACATTCAAGTGCCTCTTAAACTTCTTCACTGGCTTATGCTACGTTAAGCTTCTACTTTTCTACCATTCACTGAATGTTGCTCACTCTTTTATACAGCAATTTGACATCACCCGGCTCTCCCCACTACACACAATTCCAAAAACAGCTACAGGTTAATGGCATCTATGTGCAGCTACCGAATGCTTAACGTCAGTATCCTGCCAGACTGCTACCCAGTCCCTCACATGCAGTACATCTCCTGTATGACACATGGTGAGATGATGATCTCCAAGTATGACATAATCTGAGCATTTTACCAAATATTAGTGTTTGTGGATGTCATCCAGTTATGACATCCAGTGAAGTTTATCACTGAAAATAGCCAATAGCTACAAATTTGATTACTCCTGTTCTCTTCCTCCTGTTGAGACTACAGAGACTGTCGCCCAGTACGTTGCTGCTGGCATTGCTGCCGTCTCTTTAAGTCAGAAACGTAAGCCTGGCTCCTCTCCTTCTTTCTCCCCAGCAGGTAAGTCGTCGCTTTCTTCCCCACCCTCTGACTCCAACTATCACTACATCCCCTCCCATTTCGGTGGTCAAGCCCCCTGTCCCGGCTATGATGGTTCCTTTAGTTCTCGATTCTCTCTCTGCCCTTGCTGAGGTGCACTACCCTGTTTCCGCCCCCCTCCCCCTTATTTCCTTGACTGCCCCTATCCATTACCTCCTCCATCTCCGGACCCTGTCCATCCTCCCACCCCCTTGACTTCGTCATTGCTAAATTTACCTCCATGCCCCATAACTCTGATTTCACTGATCCTAATCTTATTTAGTATACTGTGTTCTTCTTTGCCTTTGTCTTTTCATTGGTCTCTGTTGCTGTTTTCTCTCCTTTTTACAATGTCTATTCTTCAATGGAATATTTGTGGACTTTATGCCAATTTCCATGAACTTCATCTTCTGATAACATGGTTTTTCACAGCTTTGTGGATGTCTCCAGGAGCAGATACTTAGTGCTCGTCCTGGTTTCTTTCATGGTTATTCCTTTCTCTCTCCTCTCCTCCCCTCCAGCAGGCTGAGGAGCCTGGGTGGGCATCCGATCTTGGGGAGGATCTTGAACAGGCCATCCCTGCTGACGAGGTCGAAGGCCTTCGTCAGAGTGGATTCATTAAATAAACTAGTGCAGTGTTATTTAAACAAGGCCAGCAGTCAAGACGGCAGCCTAGCCTCGAGGGAGCTCAGGAGCCTCCCTCAGCCCAGTTCAGCTTCGTCAGCGGTTTCATGCACACCCACAGATTTGGTGGCGTGTTATTCTGTGAAATGACAGCGCTAATATAGAAGCCAGCCAAATTAGTGACTGTGTCGCGAGATTGTTCACGGATTTCGTGGTGTTACATTTCGCGAGAGATTATCTACGAATTTTGTGGAGTTTGTTTCGCGAGGTCACTAATAATATTTAATACTTCTTGATAATATTAGAAGTTTCATAGAGGCTAATTAAGAGGCTATTAACAAAATTGTGTATATTATTTCTCCAAAATAGAGAATTATTTAATATATATTGCACTAGTGATCACAGTATAATATTTACTAATTGCCAACCCACAACAGGGTAGGATACTGACTAGTTGAACTATTATTGTTCATCCTAGTCCCATTATTACTATAGTCAGTTGTACTATATTGAACAACCTAACACCATTAATGAATGGTCCAGACCCTATTTTGGGTGTAATTTTTATCAACTCGAATTGAGTTGTATATATAATAATTTACTTGATCATTACACCTTTGAGTGATTAATTAGTGTCAATTCCATCCTAGGGTGATATAGAAGAGCTAACCTAAAGGTACTTCCAGTGACACTGGTTTATCACTCAAATCATTAGTGTGTATGATTGTATATATAATGTGTATTAATTTTAAGTGCTAACCTCTAGTAGAGGTAGGATTATTGCCTAGTGAGTGCAGAATTTACCCTAGGCTACCATTAGTGTTTGTTCAGTATTATGAGCAGCCCAAGTACAAGTCCCACAAGGCTTCACCAACGAGCCAGTATGGATAATGCAGGGAGAATGAAAAGAACCCTTGCAGGTCTTAAAGGCCACTTAACAAGACAGATCAAGAAATGTGAAGATTTGTCACAACAATCAACAGTTGATTATGCTGACCTGGAAAGCTATTATCTGCAGGTAAATTTGAGCTGCAGGTAAATTTGAGCAAATCAAATGCCAAATGGCTGTCCTTGTAGGGACAGACTATTGTCATCGATTCATCGGTAGCCCTACTAAATATCAGGGCATAACCATGTTAAACTCTGCAGGAGGTAAATTACTCTCAGGCCCAGTATCAAGCCTGTGGAGACCTATGCCTGCAGATAAACAATACCAGTAGAAACCTAAATTTGTCAGCTGATTATATTTCTCCAGTAGCATTATACTAAGGAGATTACAGCTGACTATACCAACAGAGGTTGATGTTAGTATCATCATTTAAAGCTGAAGATGAGTTCATGAGGCTTCAGTGGCAAATCAGTGAACAGTAGCCTAAAACAGCTACAAGTCACTGCGACCAATGTCACTGAACCCACTGCAGTCTCAGAACCATACTTTACTTTAATGATGAGCTATTCAATCTTCTGAATCAATTAACTAAATTAAACCCCAATAAATCTGATGACTGATTTGATACATTTATTATTTAATCAAGATGTATTCCATGGGCCTCAGTGTTTATATATCAGTGACCAGTTACCTGAAGAAACTTCAAGTTATATCTAATGTCACTGATCTCACTGCAGTCCCTGAATCATACTTGACTGTAGTACTTGATCACATCCAGTCTTTTGGGTTAAATAATATGTAATTTGGCTTGAATATTAGCCTTTCAAGAGTTGACAGGAAATGAAATTGCATTAGACTTCTAACCCCTGCAACTCTAGTACGGGACATCCGTCCTGTACGAACAGACGCACAAATGTGTGATTACTAACTACTAACATCAAATTAATCTAATAATTCGAAGGAGGAGTATCGGTGTTCGTCTGTT